GTCATACCCTGCCGCAACGCATCAAGCAAAGCACCCCGACCCCCAAAGCCGAGGTATGTAACCAACACCCTTCAACCCCACCAAACTAACATCCCCCCCAGTCCCCAAAGCTCAAAGCCAGTGGCCATAAAACGGCGAGCAACTCCGCCTCGCCAACACCCAATCCCGCAGAACCGTCAACCCGAGACCGCCAATGCTGAACCCAGAACAAAACAAGGCCATGGCATCCCACCCAGAGCCCTCACCTTCCTGGGAATCTCAGCACTCACAATCAGCACGTACTGCGGCTATTTATACGCGTCATACACGCGCGAAGTAAGCAAAGCGCAAACTCTCGACGTGCCACGCGATGTCTCCGATCGCTACAACACAACAGCCGCAACCTTCGACGCGGACGTCGAGCTCTCCGAAAAAGCAATGGGACTCGGCAAGAAGCGACGGGATCTCGTGCGCCAGGCACGCGGAAACGTCCTCGAAGTCAGCTGCGGCACTGGACGCAATCTGCCGTTCTACGAGCTCGGCGAGCGTCGCGGGACAGATGCCGATGGTCGCGCTACGGTTTTGGGTTGTCGTTCTGTTAATTTTGTCGATCTCAGTCCGCAGATGGTGGCTATCGCGAAGGAGAAGTTTGAGAAATTGTATCCTGCGTTCCCGGCGGTGTTCAAGGCCTGTGATGCGGGTGCAGTTTCGCCGGCTGATCTCCAGCGGTCTGGGGCGAAGGAGGAGCCGGTTTACTTTGATTCCATTGTACAGACTATGGGTCTTTGTTCGATGCCAGATCCGGTTGCTACGCTGAGACATTTGGGATCTGTTACGGAGCCTAAGAGTGGGCGGATCTTGTTGCTTGAGCATGGGCGTTCTTATTATGATTGGGTTAATCGGATTTTGGATAATCTTGCTCCGGCTCATGCGGATCGGCATGGTTGTTGGTGGAATCGTGATATTGGGGAGATTGTGCGTGAGAGTGGGTTGGAGATTGTCGAGGAGAAGCGTTGGCATTTGGGGACGACGTGGCGATATGTGTTAAGACCGAGGCAAGGTGCTGAGAAGTCTCCGTCTTGAGCTTGGTGGGACTTTGGTTGGTGTTTTTTATATGTAACATAATTTGGAGATGTATATGAATGTTTGGCGTATAGAAATGGGACTCAGAGATACATTATATTCATTTTTGATCGATTATGTAGCAAAGCATGATACCTAGGTAAGTATGATTAATTAGCATGATGCTATCTCATAAATTAGTCTACTCGACCACATTTATGCTTCGGTGCTGCCGTTTAGTAACGATATCTGAAGCCTGGGGTCTTCCAGTCCGTAACATCCTCATAGTCATCCGTTCCCAATTGAACTCGGTTCACCATATCCGCCACATTCTTCGAATCATCAGTATCCAACGCCTTACCACCAACAGCACCTGCGTTTCCAGCACTGCCCACAAAGCCCTCTATGCGCACACGACGAGCATTAAGCCACTGCAGATAGAAGCGCAGAGCCAACGCCAACACAACAGCCAGGGCATAGCAAATCATAATCGTGCGGAAAGCAGTATTATAATGTGGCGCCTCGTGACTAAGAAAGAACTGAGGCCCAGAAATGTTTCCAGCGCAGTAAGCCAAGAACAGCATCGCAGTGACAGTCATTTTCTTAGTGACTCCACGGTAATTGGACTGCACCAGCGACAAAGCAAGCGGCATTGCTGCAGGTCCAGTGGATAAAAGGAAATATCCAAATAACTGCACCCCCAAGACGATATGCTGACGGGAATAGATAATCGCACTGCCGACGACGCAAGGGACCACAACCACTACGACAAGCAAGCAGTTCATGTGGCGGAAACGACCGGCCAACCAGCCTGATCCGGTGATTGCAGTGATAGTGATGATCGAGTAAGGGATGGTGATCAGCGTTGATTGCAGGCTTGTGAACCCGAACGAGACAATCACTAGGTTGGCAAAGTTTTGTGTTCCCCCGTTGGGGATCTGTGTGCAGAGCTCTAGCCCGAAGATAAGCCACGTCTTTGGATCCATCAGGCATTCAAGGAACTGGTCCCATCTCCAAGCGGTCTTCTCTGTGGAACCTGTACCTGCAACGACTACTCTGTTGCTTGCGAATTGACGTTCCTCTTCTGTAAGGAATTTGGCCTTGGAGATTGAGTCGGGTAGCAGAATCCAGATAGCGAATGACCAGAGGAAGGTCGCACAGCCAAGGACGATGAACATCCATCTCCATGGTCCAACGTGATCTTTGACGTGGCCTAGGCCGTAGGCGAGGAGGCTAGAAAGAATACCACCAACACTCTATAAAAAGAAATAAGCGTTATCCAAGCTATTGCCGATATGGGACAACATACGTTTCCAGCGAACCAGAGGCCTGTTCTAGTAGGAATCTCATCACGAGTGTACCATGTCGAGGTAATAAACATAAACGCCGGGGTGATGGTCGCTTCGGCAACTCCAAGCAAGAAGCGAACTGTTATAAGACCACCATAGTTGGTGCAGGCTGCAGTGAGAGCCACTACAGCACCCCAGAAAAATGTGTTGGCCGTCAAGTATTTGGCGGCAGGCACACGAGCGATGAGTAAAGTTGTTGGATATACCCATCCCAAGTAGCCGAAGTAGAAGATCGATGATACCCAACTGTACTGCTGGCCAACCAAGCCCTAGATATGATCTTAGTTAGGGTTTCTTGCTTCTTGTCTCTCTTCAGATCTTCTTACAGTATCATCCCTTAACCCGAAGACAGATGCGCTCGACAAGATGGTCTTATCCATAAAGTTGAACATATACGTTGTGAATAGCAGTGGTATCAGTCGTCTGTCAATCTTCCCCAGTACTCTTTTCGCCAGAGTCTGATCCGTCCCTTGTTCCAGTGTCGCATCGGGAGTCATTATGTCCACACGAAATGCCGTCAAAAAGAGAGACAGATGCTCAGAATCTCCCAAGACAATGTCAAGTCTTATAAAGTCATATGCCGTTATCTTTCCCCGCTTATTGGCCTATTGGTCGCCCTGCGTGTTATCGCAGCAGGAAATCCTTCGAATCCTTCGAGTCCCAATTGGACGAGCAGCTCAGTCCTCTGGGAACTACCTAGGTAATGCACCGATATCGTAGTTTTGGAGTTCTTCTACCCCAACTCTGAACCTTGACCTTTAAACATTTAACAACTTCTACCTACAGACCGGAAACCAACTTTGCATTTTATTTGCCCACACTGGTGAATCACTCAGTAATTATGAACGGCCTCGAAATTACCCCATTTATAGCCAATCTTCCCAAAGTTGAGCTCCATATCCATATCGAAGGCACCCTAACACCCTCTCTCCGCTGGGACCTAGCCCACCGGAACAATATCGCTCTCCCCTACGCCACCTTCTCAGAGCTTCAAGCCTCCTATGCAGTAACCCTCAACCACCGACCCGAGCTCAATGGCCGCCAACCAGGCATCCCAACCTTCCTGGAAGCTTATTTCGCCGGGTGCGAAGTTCTCCGCACAGAGACCGACTTCTACGATCTAGCCATGGCATACCTGCGACGCTGCGCCGCCATGAACGTGCGCTACACCGAGCCCTTCTTCGATATCCAGGCGCACACACGGCGCGGTGTCCCCGCCGCCGCCGTTCTAAACGGATACCTACGCGCAAAACACGATGCCGCAGGCCAGCTCGGTGTGCATTCGCGCTGGATTCTGTGTTTCCTGCGCGACGAGCCCGTCGCACAGGGTCTGGAGGCGTACCGCGAGGCGAGACCTTGGGCTGCTGGGACTGTTGATGGTGGGAAGGGACTGTTCCATGCTGTTGGGTTGGCGAGTAATGCCTACGAGAGGCCGCCTATGCTTTTTGAAGAGGGATTTGCGCTTGCGCGCGCGGATGGCTTGCATGTTACCATGCACTGTGATTTTGGACAGAAAGATACGTTGGAGCATGTGAGGGAGGCTATTTTTGAGGTTTGTGGGGGGAAGGGGGCAGAGAGGATTGATCATGGGTTGGATGCAGAGGATTCCGAGGAGTTGTGGCGGGGGTTGGTGGGTAGGGGGATTGGGCTGACTTTGTGTCCGCATGCTTATCATCGGAGGACAGCGACTGAGGTTTTGTTTCCGAAGATTCGGAGGTTGGTGCAGAGGGGGGTGAAGATTTGTATTAATAGTGACGATCCGACCTTGATGCATGATGTTTGGATTGATGGAAATTTGCAAAAGGTTTATACTTACTGTGGGTTTAGTCGGAAGGAGATGGTGCAGCTTGCGAGGAATGCGGTGGATATGTGTTGGGCTGAGGAGGATGTTAAAAGGGCCGTGTATGAAGAATTAGATAATGTTGATATCTGTGAATAAAGGCTTGTCTAGGGGTTGTCCAAAGTAGACGGTTTCAGAATCATATATAGTGCCCTATCTGATAATGATGGGATCAACCTTGGAATATTACCTACCCAAGGTAAGCTTCCCCTCCAAACTCTCGAGTTCTCTGATTATCACCTCCATCTAGGGCTGTCTCTTTGCAAAAGAGGTTCGCAGTGGCTTGGGTGTGGCAAAGCACCCAATGTCTCCGGTGTACAGACTATGGAAGTTCATCTTCTTTTTTGGATGACAGCGCAAACCACTTCCCTACTGGTGGAGCCCCTGTTATGACTGGTGATTTTTTTCACGGATATTGCCAATGTAGCCGGTGTTCTGGGCTTTATAATTATCTTTTGATCTCACTAGTAAGATATGATCGGTCACGATATTTATTGCTTTAGGATCTAGGCTCGTTATAGACACAAGTCCTTGGTTTGAGTCTTTATTCGTTTATCATGAGGTCTATCACAGTGCCGTCAATTGGGCTGTACTATAGCGCTAGTGTGATCATAGTCCTATACATGTAACTGACTATTATATTTCAAAGCATCAAAAAGGAAGTTAGAAGTACATATTGGGAGATACATCCAGTATTGAAAGAGTGTGACGTCCCCGTGTGATGTGTCCAATGCTATAAGGTCAACCGTGAAGCTCCGCGGCCTTTCTAATCACTGAGAAAGCTGCTTCTGGGCAATCGTGGCCCGACGAATTAGGTCATGAGATTCTATCATGAAAAGAGGCTTAGAAACGCGGCATTCATTTTCAAAGGAAAGGGTACATACACACCATCTGGTGGAGGACCAACCGGCTGACCCAGTGGGACTTTGCGGTATTTGATAGAATCTGGCGGGATTAAAATCTTTCTGCGCATTAGTCTATGGCGACAACTCTCGAGGACATATGACTTTACATCGTTGGCGTCAAGATCTGCAAATACCTGATCTGCTAACTTGCCGATATTCTGCAAGTGGTTTGTCAAATGGGACGTTTGCGAGGTAACCGCAAGCAAGGGCAGACGGTATTTCGCGAACAGCTTCCTCCAGCTATACCATTTGACGGACGTTGATGAAATGGTATAGTTGCTTTTCGCCAGCCAACATATCAACTCCATATGAGCGTAGGCCAGAAGCAAGCCACGGTTGGCACATTGAGAGTTTTGCCTTGAAGCATTGATGAGTCGTCCATCGGAGGCAGTGCGTTCAGCGTAATCACCAAGATATTTTCGGAAGCTCCTCCTGTCGAGTCTGTTGGCTTTAAGGTTGTTTGTGATTGTATTGATGGTGGTTTCTATGGTTCCCAGTAGTTCAACTGCGTTATTGGTTTCCTCGGGCATGGTGGATATCAGGTTCAAGAGTATCAGATAATCCTTTAAGACTCAGGTGCGATGGCGACCCCTTATAACGACAAATTATGGATTTTGAATGGAATGCCCAGAAATTGAGCATATGGATTGTTATTATAACCCACATGGGCGGTAACAAATGATCTACGAAGCCAAAATCCTGCTCTTCTTGGTCCATGCTACGGATTTGTTACCAGCAGGCAACGAGACTTGCCATTATGAATCGCAGGATATATTGCGGAAAGATCCTTATATGGACCTCAACAAAAGATCCTTGCCACCCTCTTCTGACGTCTACATCTCATGATATAGCGAGAAAGCAGTCGACAAATCCCCTTATAAACATGGAAAAAGTGTGGGGTAAGTCATCTGATCTGCACACGCCACGAGGGATAAAGTTCAGCCGCAAGTGTTGAAGAACCATGGATGTTTACCATAAGATATGGAGGCAGTATGGAGTATCCGGTTTATAAATTCAGCTTAGTAGCAAATGATACAAAACCATCTTCTTGGGATCCTTCCACAAAATGGACGACCTTCATATTATCCTTTATCAAAAATGCGAAGACAAGCTTGGCAGAGCTCTTTGCATGCGTGATCCCGAGCTCCGTGTCTTAGTGGGGCATTCTAATATGCTAGACTATTTACATGCTCGGCTGCTGTTTGAGCCCGCCCCCAATGATCCATCTTAATAACGTCATACTATGTTCACAATTCCGTATCGTTCGAGCAACTTACTGCTCACCCTGAGGATTTGAAGGCAAGTCGTCTCTTACTTCGGGGTTTCCCTCTAACATAGCTTGCAGGATGTTTACCAGATAACCCATGAATCGATCGATCCCTGTCATCAGAAGATCCCGGATCACTTATATACGGGTGGTTATCTCAAGCTCAACCGCTATACAGCTGATGTTCTATATGAAGTATGCAATCACAAAATCAATGCGACGTTCTTCCACGGAAATGTCTCACGCATATGATCTATTCTCAGTTAGAGAGTAAATTTGATCCGTAGTAATCTCTATTTTCGATTGAGAGGGGCATATATCTGACCAAGAGACTCGTCATAGATCAGATAGAGTAGCCATAAATAGCATCAATACAAATCGCAAAAACTTCCTAATATTAGCTCGAAGTCTGTTGAACTTGCCTCTTGAGGGAATTCTATATCAGGAAACATTACCGCATGTTCCAATAACGACTGAAAATTTGTTTTCCCAAATTAAGCCCGTTTTCTCTCTGCCGCTTATCTACCTACAGAACAAGGAGGAGAGAATTTGAAGGACTAAGATTGGCTAGGAACTGGCGGTTCATGAAGTTGACTGGATGATACCACGGACTTAGATATCCAGCGATGATCATAAGTTTCGGAGATCACCATTCAAACACCTATAATCTGTATATCTCTCACCACCCTCCAGGGCTGTGCTGTGAGGTTCTCAGGGAGCAAGACCCTGAGCCCCCTCATGAAGCGGCGCTACCCCAATTAGGACAATCGCTACGGTCTGGAATCCGGTACATAGAACGCCATAACATATGTATGCACTAGCAGTCACCCGGTACTTGTTTTTCTACAGATGGTATTGGCCGATGATAATTTTGAGCTTGTCCCGCATTGAAACGGGTTTTGCTACCAATCCCTATCGTTGGATTGTATGCAAGGTGCAGATCTTGAACAGGGGTCATGCCGTGTTATGCATTTAGTCATCCGTTCTTTGTTGCGGCGGGGAAGTTGAACCGGGAGATGGGTTGAGGTAAGGTTTGGACGTTTGATCGATTATCGATCGTGCTTTCATTGGTAGATCTAGACTTTGAGTGTGTTCCGGTTAGATTGGTATATCGGACTTCAAGTGTGAGTGACCTCGACAACTTTGATTTGTCTACTCCATATACAATATACATTGTACGACTACAATATATAAGATTTGTGGATATACTAAGTGAGAAGACGCTAGACGGATATGGATATGTAGTATCATACCGGAGAATTTCCCTGCATCTGCATACTGTACAATGTAGGTACAGTCTGTACGCTGTACGCTGTTCCATATTCAATCATTCAACGTTGAACGCAATCGGACGAATCCGAAGTAGGCAATTGGTGTTCCATGCGGCTAGGGCAACAAGCTATTTCCATGGTTGACTACACCCTCTTCACCTCGACATCATGAAAGCGGAGATCGGCAGAGGATAAATGCGACACTTGATGTATATCGCAGGGGTAAATTCAAGGAATGATGTTTCCCCCTCAATACACCATACGGAGGATATGCATCATATCCAGAAATGCTATGTCAATCCCTTGCTGGATGCCCGACGGAGACATGGACTATGATGTACAATGCAATATCCGGCAATAATAAACATCTCCTACTGATCATCATATTATCACTGAAAGTCCGAGTGGATATGGGGTCCGATGGCTGGGGAGGGGATGGATTTCATCATATACACGTACCAGGGTCATACTCTTACTTTTCTTGGATCCTTTTTGACTGGGAGGCAACTGCGGCGAGTTTGAAATATATGTCTCGATAATATCGTACTTCCTACTCCGTACATGTAGATTCAATGATAGATCTCAAGTTGAAGAAAACAATGTGTCTCAGCTTTCATCATAGGGTGGCAAACGTTCCTTTTCTCCCCGAGACGCTAATGTGAGCATCCCTTACTAGCGTCATGTACAATACGATACGTCGACTCTGATTGATTGTCCCGTTCGATTGGGTCCTTGAGATCCACCAAATAAATGGGGACGGTGGACTTTTAAGTGGTCACTTCATATCTTTTTTTTTCTTTTCTTGTAAACGGTTACGCTAGGGGACTGTTTTGGTCCTCGGTGTTTCCGGAGGGCTCGGCTGGATGTCTTTTTTTTTTTCTTTCTTCTTCTCAAAAATCATTGGGCTAGTTGATGCTTAGTTAGTTGATTTGCATATTTAGTTTATTTGGCTTTAAAGAAGTGAAAGTATTTTGATCTATCAATAGCGGTGTGTGCTTTGGTTTCCTAGCAACAGATGACAGATCGAATAGTTGGGACATACAACATAAGCTATAATCTACATATCCCATGCATTACGAAGGCTCTGAGTGTCGAACCCGACATTCCGACCAATCAATTCAAAGACTTTTCACTATTCAAAAGAATTTGCGATTAGCGAAATCCGATGTACCTCCATGTTGTACGGAGTAATCACTCTATGGAGACGCCAAGGGTACCAAAATTGGAAGCCGGGTCATAGAACACATGGTCGACTCCACCCCAACCTCTTGTTCCGGTATATAGAAATGCGCTAAGACCTAAGATAGAATGGAAGAACTATGGATTATCATACTAAGACCTGAAGAGGAATGGGTTAATCCCCACCCTGGGAATTATTCGGTTCGATTTTCGTTGATGTCGCATGTCACACTTATTCTTTGACATGGCGGTGAGAAGCATATAGTAAATCTATGTGAGGTGATCCAAGTACCGAGTACACGGATTTCGGCCCTGTGATGCACTGTGATAAGAAAGTACAGAGGTATAGAGGTACAGAGTACGGAGTACGGAGTACCAGATAGGCTTCCCACATTTCTCAGGGAAAAAGAAAAACAGACCCCCAGTTCAACCAATCATCGCCACAGTTATGTAATTCGGCCACATTTAAAGACATAAATTACCATACCGTAATTTACCCTTTATTATCTTTTTTTCTTTCGCAAATTTCCACTTTTTTTTTTTTGCGCGGATTCCTCAGGCCTTGACAATTTGCCATCCAAACAGCTCTGTCGCATCTTGATGATCCTCCCCCCCCGTTTATCCTTCTCATCCCCCTTTCTACTAACATTTCCCCCCTCCCTATATCTTAGAATCGTTTTTTTATTATTATTCTTATTATCTTGTTTATTATTATATTGTTCGTTTCTATATCCTCTTTGTCTTCGCTGCTTGTTTCTCGAATCCTTTTTTGTCATCTTTTTTTTTGTTGTTTCCCTCACAATGCCGTACAACACTCGTCGCAAGTCACTATCCCTCCCATCCTTGGGCATTCAGCTTCCAAATTCCACTCGTCGTTCTCCCTCTATCTCAAAAGTGCACACCGATGAGCAACCATCAAAAAAAGTCAAGAGATCGCACGGTTCAAATTCATTATCACCCGAGCCATCCGACTCCAAAACTATCGCGCGCGCGGGCCGACATGGACTATTTGAGATTACACCACCACCCTCACCTATGGATGGAGTGCTGGCACCCAAGATCGATACAGAAGGAATTAACGACGACATCGTGATCGCTGTAATTAAGCAGCTGGAGAAGACTGGGAATCGCCCTCATCTTGTCAAAGAACTCGCCGCAGTCCTGGTCACACTAAATGTCAATGTCGCCAAGTACGTATTCCACCGAGGTTGTCTTGGAAATACCAACCACTAACATCTTCTCTCTTAGTTCCGCCAATCCCGCCGCGTTGCTTTCATCGCGTCTAGCAGCCTATATGAAGCGTTCTTGGACAGCTCTCGCGCCGTGCCCTATCGCCAAGGAGCTTATCTTAATTCACCCGCGCAAAGTGTACTACTATCTTACTACGTTTCCCCACCAACCCATTCCTGAGTCCGATGATCTGGTATCTGCCGTGGGTAGCAAGCACATCACCCCCAGTGTGTCCAGTCTCGAGGATGAGGAAGACGCGATGGTGCGGGAACGTAGCCCCAGTCCCGAAGTGGACCTGTCGTCTCCCGACTTCGAGGAGCATGGCGATTTGAATACCTCCGCTAGTCACGGTTCATCTGAGCACTTTCCCAATGCTAGTAATTTGACGCGTCTTATGAACTCGCACCGTGCGGCTTCTCCGCCCCTGGAGGGTGATGAGAAGGAATTCACACAAACTGCTAGCGCTGTGCGTGAGCGTGCATCTGAGGAAAAAGCCGAGTCGAGCCGTAGCCAGTCCATCCTTTCCGAGAGCCTGAGTGCCTTGGACAACCGTGATATGCGCATCTCTGAATCACCTGTGAATGGTGGTTCCTTGTCTCCTTCTCTGCACGGCGACGGCATGTCTGAAGAAGAGAATAGTGACTACTTCTCGCACATGCCCATCGACCAAATGGCCCAAGATCTGGATGAGGCTGCCGCGACTGCCCTATTCGGCACCTCTCCTTCACCATCCCTCACCTCCATCGCATCGTCTGTCTCGTCTGGCACGAGCGCTTTGACAGATCTCGGTGTGGACGGTGAGGAGCTTGCCGGCGCTCTCGCTGCCCCCCAGATCAGCCTGCCCGAAGATCCTGACGCCGCGCCAGTTTCGACCCTCAAGCGCTCGATTGATATGTTGAACAGCGGCCTTCCGGACGTCGACCTGAAGATGTCGGACCTGACGGAGTCGCACGAGAGGCTCACCCTCACTCCTCGGGCTATTTCTATGAACTCGGAGCCCGTCTTCGAATCCTGGAGAGAGTTGCGAAACCCAGAGATGGTGGAAGTCGACGAGCTCGATGAAATGTTTGGCGAATTCTAAAGAATTCTAAACTACCTTCGACTACCGAGTCCACTTCTCTCGGTCCATGTTCCCTCTCTTCTCCGTCTCTCTACTCTTCGCTGGGCTGTGACCCGCCGTCTTCTCTTTTGACTTCTATCTACCTCGCTTGTACATGTTCATCATCTTTTTGGCGCACCCTCTTACCCTTTTCTTTTTCGCTAATGCCTATTTTCTCTTGTATATATACTTATGTTTTGGTTTATTTGCCCTGAATGGGCAGATTGGGATGATATTCACGGCTGGAGGAATGGCTATATCCAAAAAGTGACAAAATAACTAGCGTTTCTTCCCATAAATTCGTCTTTTCAATTTGCATCTTCCATTTTTATAGACGTTGAACTTTAAACCGTCCCTGACTAATCAAAGGGGGGGCGTCCCTTATCGGTCCCACCGATTACGCATAATCCGCCACTCGGGGACTTCATTCTTTGGTTACCACAGTGTTTTCACTCCCGAGGTACAAACTTTGTCCTGATCCTGATGGACATCAAATCTCTCCTGTACATATCTCTGCATCATTTCTCGGCTTCCAATATAGAGATCCGGTCCTATCAATCATCGCTATTCATAGGGCCGGAACGCAATTTCGAGATTGATACTTACCGGACATTCCCTCGTTAGCTTGCACAGGACTTCTGCCACCATGACGATCGAAGAACCGCCTCGGCAGCGGGACTATGATACCAGCATTCCTCAACACGAAGCGTCTGCCCAGCAACCAGCATACCTCCCTCCTACCATACTCCACCCTCTTTCCGTCCCAGACACAGTGTCAAACACCGGCGCCAAAAGAGCCAATACAGCCTCGACTCTGCCAAAGACACTTGCTGCGCACACTAAGGTTGCCATTCCTCGTCAACGGGCTGTGCCTCCTCCTCGTTATAATCGACGAGTGCCTCGCGCTTGTTCATCCTGCAGACAGCGCAAGACGAAATGCAGCGGCGATACTCCGGTGTGTCGCCAGTGTCGTGAACTGAGGGCTACGTGCAACTACCCCGAGGGTTGGAGAGAGAGAACGAAAAAGTAAGTGTCTCTGTGGCTATATGTGCATATTTGGACACAAACTCAATCGAGAGCAAGCAAGCTGATATTGTTCGCGCATTATAGGGAAGTTGAACACCTTACGGAGAGAGCACAAGAATATGAGAATCTGCTGAAAGACTTGGCGGGTGTTGTTGACTTAGGTGCCGCGGAGCGGATCAGGAGCTTGCTGGACAAGGTTTGTCCTTATTATTGGGATCCCGGAGTATCGCTAACACTCGCAACCACAGTATGGCCCGGAGGTGGATTATTTGTCGCATACTTCTCAGTCTCAATCAGTCACACCTCAGGATGACCTCCCAATAAATGATGAACCATCCTCCCCTTCGTCTATTGGGTCTCTCGAGGCGATTGATCGAGTAGAAGAGGACATCAATCGATCAGAACATGCCAGAGCAACTGGTTATATGGGGAAAAACTCGGAGATTACCTGGATGCAACGGCTACAGAGAGAGGCAGACCAACGTTCCAAAGGTCTTCCGGGGAGTCTGGAGCCTGGCCAAGACCTAAAGACCGATGATGCATTAGCTTTGCATGCGGTCAACTATCATCTTGACGACTTGGATATCTCCGTGCCCGGACCGGTACAACTGTATTCCATGCCCCCTCGGGAAATGGCGGATCATATGTTTGAGGCTTATTTGACTACTGTGCATCCGTTCTTTCCCATCATCAACAAACCTCTTTTCTCAGCACAGTATCGGACATTCTTTGATAGCACTGCTCGGCCTGGTGACAAATGGCTTGCTATATTGAACATGATATTTGCGATTGGGGCTAAACATGGGCACCTCACCGACGCACCATGGCATGGAGACGAGAAGGACCACTTGGTATATCTGACCAGAGCCAGGATTCTTAGTATGAACGGCGATGTTCTGTTCAGCCATCCCGATCTCCAGCAAGTCCAGGTGGAGGCCTTGATTGCCTTCTACCTTCTCTCTTCCGATCAAATTAACCGGTGAGTCCAAGACCCTCTTGCAAAATGAATTGGAGCGGCCCATAACATTTAGAAAGGGCATGGAGAATCTCGGCTTTAGCAGTGCGGTCTGCAATCACACTTGGAATCAACATGAAAAGTACCAGTCCAGCCACACCCGATCTTTCGAAAGAAGCCCGTTATCGAGTCTGGTGGTGTTTGTATACATTTGAGCACATGCTCGGAATAATGACTGGCCGGGCGAGTTGTATCCAGGATGGAGTGTGCACCGCACCTTTCCCGGTTCCATTTGAAGAAGAACAGCTGCATGAAATCGGTGCCATTGAAGTACTCACAGATACGACCATACGAGATGAACGAATCAACAACGTCATGGCAAGTGCACGAATCAGACAAATGCCGCTCCACCCGATAAACGGTAAGGATGCTGCCCAACACTCTGGAGCACGAGACCCCAGATGGATCAAAAACCTGCCTGTTAACTACGGGCTCTGTTATCTCTACTACTGCGATTTGGCAGTCGTCGCGCAAGAAATCATCAACAAAGTCTATTCAGTGGACTGCGTGATGGTGCCATGGGCACAAATCGAGAGCCGGATTGGTGAACTCAAGACTCGAACTGAGACATGGAAATCCAACCTTCCAACCGGGCTTGACTTCACATGCAAGGAAGATAATGGACCGGATATTCTTCGCTGCAAATTGAACTTGGCCCTACATTACTACAGTGCGCGGATCACACTAGGCCGTCCCTGTCTCTGCCGGCGTGACGCCCGCCAAAAGGACAACCACCCCTCCTTCAGCCACGAAATGGCAGTGACAACCCTGAAATCTGCACGACACATGCTAGATCTGATCCCAGATGAACCGGATGCTCTCCAGTTGTACCGGATTGCTCCATGGTGGTGCATTCTCCACTATCTCATGCAAGCGGCGACCGTTCTCCTCCTTGAACTGTCCTTCGGCACTGTCCACATGCCAGAAGAAGAACAGAACTTCGTCATCCAGTCTAAGAAAGCGATCCGCTGGCTCTTCGCGATGTCCGAGCACAGCATTGCCTCCCGACGCGCCTGGCAGCTCTGTGACCTCAGTCTCCGCAAACTGGCCCAGGGCATGAAATACGACCTCAGCGACATGCCTTCCTACCCATACACCCTAGAGCCTACAAGCACCATCGGCTCGGAGCCGCTATCTGACCAGGTAGTATCTCATGCCACCGGCGACTACTGGGGCCCGCAGTTGGAAAATCCCCCAATACCTGTCCCGGATGCACCACCCGGTATAGACCACCACAACAACCCGAACATCTCGACCACGGACCTGTTCGAAGCCTTGACGCCTGAGGCCCAGGACTCGTACTTCCCTTATGATCCTATATCTGGGGAGTTCATGCGTTCTTTCTTCCCTCATTTCAATGAGAATGAGAACTGGGAACATTGAATACAGTCATCTCCCATACTCATGAATGTCTTATTTATGAAACCACAGAACAGCATGCAAGTACGCTAAAAGAGCATGCGAGTGCTTTGTTACTATCCTATTCTTCACAGCTGACTTTCCCACTTATTGCCCTTTAACCCATCACATTCCATCCCCCAGCAGTATACCTAAGAACCCTTTTTTTACCTATTCATATTCCTATGCCTATACTTCTTATTCGTCCTTTTTCTTACACATGTTTTACTACTTTCCCATCCCCACTTAATGCGTTTGATGCTCATTTCTCATTTCTATCCATATTACGAATCTCTTTGATCCACCACGAATATCTCTTCGCATCACAAATGTGTGTATAATTGCATATCAATACCCGAGCGTGTTGGCATTGATATCTCCGTGATATCCAAAACCAACTAAAAACGAACGCGTGTGGTATCTCAGATCCATGATTGATTCTGGTACTGAAAGAACTTGGAAGAATCCGGGCTGTGCCTCGGTATAGAGCTGGACTCATTGGGTATTTTAGAACTCTGGGGTTGGATTCTAGTTGGCACTGGTGTGTTCATCGGCGTTAAATCACAACTCTAGGACTTCCTATACTAATTTCATGTACAATTTGTTTTCATCCTTAGAGTGCAATCAATTGTATAATGAATATCAAATCTGAAGTGCCGTCCTATTACACAGCCTTCCCTATTGATCCGTAGAGTGGAAAAAAAATAAGTATATACATTCGGGAATAGTTTTTACTTTGAAAAATAAAAATACATAGACCAGACCGAGAAGAAATCAAGTCCCTCCCACATCCTACTTGTGATTATCGTAAGGCCACTTCGGCTCTGGTGCCTCCGGCTTCGGTAATGACTCCGCCAATTCCTTCGGCCAGTGAGATCGCATGAATGGATCAGACCGGTTGTACTTGATCCGCTGTCTGACAGGTCTTCGCGTGGGAGAAGAAAAGACCTTTCTGAGCTGCATGCGACGCATGTGACCCGGGATCTCGATGTCGATCTGGTCTTCCGGGAGACCGAATTTGAGGAAAGTCTCGAGACAGTAGTCCAGGATAGACTCGAGTTCTGTTTGTGGCATCTTGCCGGTCTTTAATTGGTAGGGGTATTCCTTGCGGGAGATGGAGGGCGTGTATGTGGTTGCGGGGTCGTAGACGAAAGAGGGAGAGGTTGTGTTGTGAGGGTCGGAGGTCTTGGATTGGGGTATACTGGGAGTGTGGTTGTTTGGATGTTTTTCTGTGGATTCTTTCACGGATGCAGCGTATTCTCGGACTGCACTTCGTGCGAGGATGCGGACGGTGTTGAGATCTGCTATTGTGGCTTTGCTTCGGACGTGCTTGACGTACTCTGCGTCCCATCCTGGGGCACCGTGTGAATTGGTCCGTTCGTCGCTGAAGAGGAGTCGGGCAACGCCGCCTGGAGATTGGAGTTGGCGTTTGGGGGATAGCCAGTCGACGCAGACTTGATCCCAGAGCTGCTTGCCGACGATGGCGCCTTGTGTTTCTACGACGGCGGCGAAGATCTCGTGGAAGGTGGTTGGGGGGATCAAAGTGGCCTTGTGGTGTCCGGTGATTTCCTTGGGCGGCGACACTTGTCTCAGGAGGTCTGGGAGAGGACCTGGGATGAGGGAGAGCACGCGGTGCATACGAGAGAGGGTTCGAAGTTGAAAGTTTCTGACTTTCTCACGGGTATGCTTAGCATGCCACTCGCCGCGGAAAAGGCGGAGCAAGATGTCCTTGGCTTGATTCAAGTCTTCTGTATCTGCTTGAGTCAATGTGCCGGCGGATGTCTTATGCTTAACGGTAGCATCGAGCCGAATTATTGCACTTGCTAGTACACCGATATTCATGTAGCCCCAGGATTTGGCTCGGTGGTCGGTCAGGAAGTTGAGCATCAGTACCACGCGCTTCCAATCTTTTCGTGCGATGCTAAAGTTGATCAAAGATTTGATCGTGTTCACAGAAAGGGGGATCCCGAGCGATGCGATGACACGCTCGCCAAGCTCGGTATTACCAGTGGCAGCTGCAAATCGAAGAATAGAGGGCGCCAGGGCCTGATTGCTATATGCGCTTTGAGGGATGGCAGGGCCATCGATGTCATTGTTCAAGAGTAGTTGTTCACCAAAATCAAACGCGTGGGTTGTAGTTGCCACGTCAAGGAGATTGGCAAAAGTGGCACATGACAGCTGCGGGATAGACGATTGAGAGATATCTTGAGGTTCAAAAGATTTGAAATCAAACAACGTAGAAACTTCTTCATCACTGGCTTGGCTCATCCGCTCAAAGAAATTTTGGATGTGCTGTGCCTTGCTTGCATCGGCAATATTTTGAAGCCAGGCATACTCGTGAAAAAGGCGTCCGCTTTCTTTGTCTCGAGCGTAATAATTGAGATTGAACTCTATCAAACCAGTCATGGCAGCCGATTCATCGTAGAACTGCGCTCGCGTTTTTCCATTCAACGTTTGTGCCAGGCTCAACTCATTCCCTTCCCACGGGGGAACAACATTGCTCTGAGATCTCAGGAGGTCCTCGAAGGAAACAGGATCAGAGGACGGTTTCAAACAGCCCGACGCTAATATCCGCACAATGTGCCAATTAGTGAATCTGCTTGTTGGCCGAAGCTCCTCACGCCTGGGCGCGGGACGGTCAATAAGGTTAGTCAGAGGGGCTGATAAATTGGTGAGATCTGCAGGAAGATATCCCCGATCTCCCATTCCGACATAGGCCTTGTTGGCCAGGCCACTCCGCAGCGATGCAACTACCTCAGAGCTGATAGTTCGGAATCCAAGTCCATTGAAAGGTGCTTTGTTTTGACCCTTGAGTGTTGCAGGTTTCTTGTCTTGGCCTGGCCGACGCCATGATTGCTCGATACTGACATTAGTCTGTTGTACAGTATCAAGGTCACTTATTAAAGGCGCCCAACTCTCAGCTTTCCATTCACTAAGCCGGGCCATTTGATGCACGAGTAGTGTGCCCGTTCTGCAAAATCCATGCTCCACACAACACCACAGAATGAGCTCAAGCCAGATTTCAGGACCCAGCTCTCGAATTCGAGGGGTGTAAGGGATGAAGGGCGACGACTCTCCCGCATCAGCGGCTGCAGCGGCCACTGCTGCTTCGTGTTCATGCCACGCCGCATCGGACAAAACGCTCATAATGGAACTGGACAAAAAGTGAAGCCCTGGTGGGCGGAACACGATCTGGCTGGCATCTGGCTTCGGATATTGATAAACTCTGTCAGAGATCATGCCTGCATGGTGTAAACGGGCAAGAGTTCGGAATACACAGGTCATTGCATGCTTTGAATCATCTGATCGACTGCGCGAGGCATACAAAACCAGAGAGCCAAGGTTTGCGAGTAGTTCGGCCAAAATTCTCTCTCCAAAGAATCTTGGTGCAGGTTCCACCGTCAGCGTATCAAGAGAAATGCTATCTGATGGAAGAGGTTGGAGACGAGACCATTTCCAAGGGGATGTTGGTTTTGTGCCCCCCCGTAAGCTTGCTGAGGGAAATCTCCGTGGTGAGGGGAGATACAGGGTCGGATGTTGACTCATCTCTGCGGCGCACGCGATATGGCTTGTTCCAATCAAGCCCAGCCGAAGGGTGTTTAGGGGGCATATGAGAAGCTAGCAGCTCATAGGTGTCGATCATGCTGTTTAAAAGAGCCTGCACATTAGACCATTCATGGTGCGCAAATCCGAGATGCGCAAGAAGCTGAAATTCAAAATGAACCCTTCCATCCCATAGACACCCCAGAAGAGCGTGGGTCTGATCAAGCTGGTGTTCCGATTCGCGGAGCGGTCGAAGCCTGGGCTGGCCTGCAGATTGGGCAACGTCTGGTTGTTTGGCATTTCTTGGTGGAATACAACCCCTCAACACCGGCATCCATTCCTCAATATGCCTCTTCTGGTCATGCCTGAGGCGAGGGTGTTTGATTAAATTGTATCGCCGTAGGAAAAGAACTTCATCTGGAAAATTAATCTCTCTTTGATCATTGCGAGTCTTCCGGGTAAATTGAGTCCAAGTCGGCCGGGAAAAAGGAGAGACGGATTGATATGGGAGGAAAGGGAGGCGTGAAGCAGGCCTGCGACCGAATGGCAGGATGCCGGAGCGCAAGCACCGGCTCATGGTATCACAGCGAGGCTCAAAGGCGGGTGTATAGGTTTCGCGATCTCGATGGGTACGGGATTGGCGTGATACATGTCGATTTCACAGGTACATGGCGCAATATCGAAATCCAATTGAACCCCGTACCAACAGGGGCAAATGAAGACCAAAGGTGAGCGAGATGAGGTTCATGTTGTTTCGAGAATTTTGGAGATCAGGAACTGCTGAGTCAGCACCGAGCTATGAGCCAATCGGAGGCCACAGAATGCGGAGTTTCTCATCTACGATCTATAGTGTCGAGGCATTTCCTGAGAGATTGTCCTTTGGTTTTAATGAGGGAGATATATATGGTCAGTATATGAGCAGCAGTATAGGAGCTCGTCCAAACATTGAATCGAAAAATCTAGCTCATTCACGGCCGTCCAACATCATCTTTCCAAGTGAAACAATGGCGAATAACCAATCCAGCCGCCTTCGCAAAGCCTTGGTGTCCAAAGTGAGCCAGCCACACGAACTTGTACCAGGAGGTCCCGAGTCGCTAAAATTGTGGCTAAACACCCTGTGGAGTTGAGCTGACTTCACAGCTTCGCCAGCAATTTCAATAACAGTTGGATCGCGTCCATCCTGCATGACAGTGCAGTTAGAACGAGAAAGACTTGTTGATACTGACTTCGAGCGAGTAAGAAGATATCCTGGCTGAAACTAGGATTTCGGGAAATAACTATGAAAATGACCACGGGCACAACAGGGATTATAAAGGGGCTTCGGGGAGGTTTGAGCGATCAGACGCCAGATGGGCTTGGGGTGATGCCTGGAAATTGATTGTGGAAAACCACAGGTCAGCTGGCGACCTACTATGCCAGATATTTCGGCTATAGGACCATAATGAGATCCTAAATTATATTTGCCAATCTTTAAAAGGCATTCACTCCCTCCACCGCTCCTTCTGCGCTCCTTGTCATTGGTAAGTTCGGTGCCACCATCTTCATCTACCCCAAAGCGACACCATCGAATGCGTTAGCCTCACAACTTCATCTTCTACCACCTTCCACCATGACGCCAGAGAGAAGTTACGCGAGCAGATCGGTGCAGTCACACTTCACGTTGGAGATGGCGAGACAATCCACAGCTTCCTCGATGATGTCGAGACACAAATCCGTAAGCTGCGGAATGATTCCCTGAGCTCGAGCCTGGCGCAGCTGCAGGAAGGCAATGTTGAGGTGAATCAGATAGTGCAAGGGATCCTCAAGCCTGCGGCACTCGATGCCATTCACGAAAGAGAGGGGCGAGATCAGTCGATGCGCGCGACGCAGACGTACCTCGTTTTCGTTGTTTATATTACACGCTCAAGGGCAGGGAGGATTTTGACTGAGCCGACCAGCATTTTATATGAGTACCGCTCAGTTCTTGTGCTCCAGACATGAATAGTAGCTGTGGTATTTTGAAGTAGCATTAGATGCATCCTAGCAATACATTAGCACAATTTTCTTCTATATGCTTCTTACTTTCTTATCATACCGTGAAATAAGAGTAATTATGCATATAGTACAGCTAGTAAATAGAATAGCAGCACTGAATGGATATTGAAGACCTGACAATGAATAGTAATCAAAATCATTAATGTCGAGTATACTGCAACTATATCTTTCTGAACGACTACTTTCGCTGCGTCTTTCTATAGAGCCGGAATGGGATCTTCACACCAGCCTCCAAGCCTCTTGGGGTAAGGGATTCTCAACGGCCAACTATTACGCGGGAAAGATTGTGAGAGACTAAAAACAATCCGAAGTAACCCACCATCCCACACTGACTGGATAGAATCCTATCTACTTTTATGTATCAAAATTCCCACTTTCTAGTGAAGCTGAATATTTCGATTGGCTCATAACCCCAGAAGTACTCTGGAGTCCACAAAACCTCACCAGGCACTGTTCGAGCGGAGTTAACGGAATTAAGGGTAGGTGAAGCTACAATCGATTGATATATGGGCATGCGACTAACCGACCCCTATAATTTTGTTCAAATGACTGGACCCTCGCAAATAAGGGCCTGACACCTATTATCTCCGTAAATTCTGACAGCCTTACATATAAAAGCTTAGTTACTTCAACCCTAAAATGTCACTAAAGCGCACGTAGTCGCATATCAAGCCGAAGCAATTGACCATAGCCATACGACAAACACACATGTCTCCATCAACATTTCCCCCTCTCTTGCCAGAGAACGGCAACGGCGACAGCATGGGCTATCTCGAAGCGATTGGAGAGAAAATACATCAGGTCGAGGCTGAAAAGGAAAAGCAGACTGTCGAGTCCAACAAATCGTCCACTATAACATCCTCGTCTATCAATAGCTCAGACGATCGTCCTGCTATTGATGAAAAAGCTGTGGATGAGTCACCAAAACCTGTCACGGAATATCCGAAAGGTATCGAAGCTTTGTCCATCATGATTGCGCTCGTGCTCAGCATCACCCTCTGTTCTCTGGATCAAGTGAGTTCTACCGCTCTAAGCTTCTCATCGAGTTGTCTCTTGCCAACATATCCCGCACTAGTAAGCTAATGCTCTCGACTCAGACTATTGTTGCAACCGCTATCCCAAAAATCACCGACCAATTCCACAGCCTTGACGATATCTCGTGGTACGGTTCGGCTTATTTCATGACGCTCGGAGCTTTCCAGTCAACCTGGGGCAAAGTGTATAAATACTTTCCCCTCAAAAATAGTTTCCTGGTGGCAATCTTCATCTTTGAACTTGGGAGTTTGATCGCCGGTGTCGCCCCAAACTCAACAACTCTGATTGTTGGGCGTGCTATCTCGGGTCTCGGTGCCTCTGGTATCGCGCCTGGGGTATACACGATTTCTGCGTTTGCTGCTGAGCCCACCAAAAGAGCTACCTACACGGGGGTTATTGGTGTGTCATATGGCGTTGCCGCTGTCTGCGGACCACTTATTGGGGGAGGGCTTACAAAAGGAGCGTCCTGGAGGTGGTGAGTCCAGAAACTTTTGCTACTTTGTCTTTGTTGCAAAACATAGGGCTATTTTCAGTTATCACATCCTTCCATAACCGAACCTGGCCTGACATAACAGCTTTAGGTGTTTCTATGTCAATCTTCCAATCGGTGGTCTGGCCGCTTTTGTCATCCTACTCACCTTCAAGACCCCTAAAGCCGCTAAAGTGGTCCAGGCTACGCTTAAGGAGAAGCTTCTGAACATGGACCCGATAGCGACGGTGCTTATAATGGGTGCACTAGCTTGTTTGCTTCTAGCTCTTCAGTACGGTGGTGTATCCCATGCGTGGGATTCCAGTGTTGTCATCGGTTTACTTGTCGGCTTTGTTCTCATGATTATTGCACTTATAATTGCAGAAATATGGCAAGGTGAACGCGCTATGCTGACACCACGCATTGTGCGCAAAAGGACTATCTGGGCCAGCAGCGTGTGGGGTTTCTTCTTTGCTGGAGCGTATTTCGTCACGCTCTATTACCTACCTATATATTTCCAAAGTATCGACAACGTCAGCCCGATTGACTCGGGTGTGCGCAACATTCCTCTCATAATCATGTTTGGCATTGCCACATATGGCTCAGGCAGAGCCATCACGAAGACAGGTATTGCAACTCCTTATATGGTAGCTGGCTCTGTGATCGTGACCATCGCCGCTGGTCTACTATTTACTCTCGATATCGGGACCTCGACAGGCAAATGGGTTGGGTATCAGATCTTGGCGGGCTTCGGATACGGCCTCGCACTCCAAGTCCCCGTGGTCGTTGCGCAGGCTTTTGCTGCGCCAAGCGACATGGCTCCTACGACCGCGATTATTATATGTAGGTTCCACTTCGCCCCATCCTGGGGTTTTGTCAACTTTGTATATCCGCTTGTATTCCCAAGCTAACTATGTCCCTCGCGCACAGTCGCCCGATCTGTCGGAGGCACAATTTTACTCGCAGCCGCGCAATCCGGCTTCGTTAACCAGATCCTATACAAGCTTGCTAGCACCGCACCGAGCGTCGACCCTGCCTTGGTCACGGGTACCGGTGCCACTGATGTGCACCGGCTATTCTCTGGAGCCGAGCTGGACGGTGTTGTCCGTGCGTATGCATGGGGTATAAAGACTGTTTTCATAATTACTATCGCGGCCTGCGGTCTCACTATCCCCTTTAGTTTGTGCAACAAATGGACTAATGTCAATGCAAAGAAAACTAGTGGTGGCGGTGCTTGAAACAGCTGTTCAGGGAATTATGTCAACGGAGTTATAGCCACTTTTCTGTTATGGAACTTGTCTATCTTTTATGATGATTCGGATCGCTTAGAGAGAGGACGGAATAGAGGAGTGTATCGAAGGAGGAAACTGGATGGGCAAGGCTGGTTATTTAACGTTTTGAAGTAATACTGTCAAATGGATTGATACTGTACTGTTTCATGAAAATTGTAGTCGAAGTTGACTATTCTTTGGGAGGGATTTTCGTTAAATCTACAGGTCCAGAGAAGATGACTGAAATCTTACTATATGACAATGGTACTATATGTTCAATCATATACAACTCTCTGATCTTCAAATAAATAGTCTCTCATTCTACAGATTGGTTGTCTTTTATACCTTATTCCTAGTTTCTTGAAAGATTGAGTACCCCTATCTCGGTAGCATTGTCAACACTTTTATATCATATATTCAAATCTGAACTCCACTCATGAAAAACAGGGAGCATATATATCGCGTAACAAAACAAAATTTGAGATCCATGATTCGACAACGATACTGTGTTCTGACACCTACATATAAGACCCTTTGCTCGAGTTTTGTGAGATGATCATCTTTCTTAGTCCGCTAATGCTATTATTGTTATGCTACGTGTTCACAGATTTACAGATTTAGTAGGCAACATGGCGCTTGCAAAAAGACCCCAAAATGGCAAAAAACTTCGTTATAGCTGATCCAGCAGCCACTAAAAAGGAAAGCAGAACTGGTCTATCGCATCGCACATGGTACAGCGAATGAAACTGCAAAGTGCAGGATCTAAAACAACATATGACGGGCGTGGAGACGAGCGAAGACTCCGGGCTCCTCAGACGAGCCCTGTTCCTCACCAGCGGTAGCAGCAGTCTCGACTGGGATGGGCAGAACGGCAAAGGAACCGCTAGTCTGGCTACCAGAGAAGCCACCGGGGAATCCAGGAGGGGCACCGGTAGTTGAGGGGTATCCAGTAGGTGTGCTGGTGGGGGTTCTGGTGGGGGTTCTGGAAGGAGTGCCGGTAGGAGTGCCAGTGGGAGTGCCAGTGGGAGTGCTGCTAGGGGAGCTGGTGGACTTGGATCTATGAGGACCATTTCCTCCGGTGCCGGGCTCCTTGTGGCCAGGTCCGTGGCGATGTCCGCCATGGCCAGATCCACCGTGGCCAGGACCTCCATGACCGGGTCCTCCATGGCTAGGACCTTCATGACCGGGGCCTTCATGACCGGGGCCTTCGTAGCCAGGGCCTTCATAACCGGGTCCTTCGTGACCAGAACCTTCATGATCGGGTCCTCCAGGAATGAAGGGCAATCCGGTGGGCCAACCAGTGGGCCAAGCAGTAGGCCAAGCAGTAGGCCAGCCGGTGGGCCATCCAGTTGGGGTTCCAGAGGGAGTCACAGATGGGGTTACAGAGGCGGATCCAGATGGGGTTCCAGTTGGGGTTCCGCTTGGGAAACCACTAGAGGAAGTTGGCTGCTCAGTAGGAGTAGCAACGGCAGCAGCCTTGTTGGCGTGCTTGGGGGATAGTGTCAGCAAAGAACGAGAACTATTTGAGAATCTATAATGTCGATACTCACAGGCAGCTTCCAGGCCACAGCCGGCGAGGCCATAGATAAGGCAGCAACGCCAATGACAGCAGTGAACTTCATGACTTATACTGAGTTGCTTAAGACACTTGAAAGCGAAAAAAGGGAAAATGAATGGATGCTAGAGGTAGCAATGTAAAGAAAGATCTGAAGGGGTTGAAAAGAATGAAGGTGCACAGCACTGCTGATTGAAAAAAGTGCGAAAAAAAGGAAGTTCTAGCTGGTTATATACCCGGTGGGTTTCATCATCTCGAGTCAAAATGATGGATCGAGCCGTGAAAAGACCGTCAAAAGACCGTCGAGACACGAATGTGTTCCGTGAGAGGAATTGGATCTGCAGGGGGGGCAATTCCCATCCCGTGGTGAAAGGATTTTTAAGAAGAAGCGATCTTCGTCGATGGAAAAATAGCCCTATCACCCGGAGGATGGCATATTGCAGTGGGACTAGGAAGTACGGTACTTCCAGATGGCCGACGGAATGGCCGTATATTGTGCGGAGCAAGTTGTTTCAGGCAAGAAAGACGGATAAAACGGGCGAATGACAGTTCTCCACTTGGTTTACACATTGCTCCTGTCGATCACCGTACTTGATGGAGGTGTGTTGCAGATGGAGATTGGCGGAGCCCTCAAGACGGCATCTCACCAAGTCCAGAACATTTCACAATCGGAGTACCGAAGTATTCCGTTGAAATGATTGTATAACATATATTATTGTATCTAAGTGAAATCAATTTTCCACTTTATTTGATCTAGATGAGAATTTATGATGTAGTTGAAAATATCTGTGTCTCAATCACTTTTTATAGAACACTCTATGGCAAACCACTGTGGGGACATCTCGCCACAATCCTTCGATAAACACCTTCTGGACATTGAGATCTCGTTCTTAAGCCACTTTCAAATGTGTTGTGGCTTGCGGTCAAAGCTTTATAGAATTGGGAAAGTTAGCCACACCTACCTATAGTCTACAGACCCTGAATCATATTTCTACAAGGCTTCCCCATTTTGGGTCTCGACCTTGGACCTACAGCTACCCTAGTGACTGGCCCCTATACAGCTTGGTACCTAGGTCGACTGCATGTTGTATACGGTTTGATTTTCCACGAAATACCTGGCGGCCTGTTTCCCTAAGCTAATATAAGCGTACATACCGAGTTCTCCTACATGAGGTAGTAGCGTACATTATATACCCATCTCTCGTATTCTTATGGGAATCTAGGGTAGGATTCAATGCAGTATATCGGGAACCCCCCAGTAATCATCTACGATCCTGACCTTACTTGTAACCATAAGGCTATTCGCATAAAGGTGGTCACCGAAAACGTTATTGATCCTACCATCATTGAATTTACTGAAGTATAAAACAAGGTAATATGTGCATTGCGCGTCCTTCTCGCCAAAAACCTGAACTGATCCGGGGGTATTTAGTGTACATGAAACCAACACAAGTAAATGGAACAAATCGTCAAATCGTGACAAGGATAACTTCAAAGCTCCTCTTCGAAAACTTCTTCGCCTCCAAGTTCTTGTTCCACTTCGTCGACGACAAAGCTCTCGTAGTCCTCAAGACCTTTTTGAACATGTACCTTGAAACGAATCACATCATTAAGCATTGTTTCGACGTTAGTGTGTAACTCCTCTCGGAGAGCATTTGCCCGAAGCGTCAGTTGTTCATATTCGATATTGGTGTTCATCTCGCGCTGCTCCATCAATTGTACACTGTCACTGAGCGTAGCGCGCATCTTCGCCAACTCCTTCTCCATCTTCTCAATTTGAGCATCGGAGGCCAGCTTCTGAGTAGTCGTGATCTCCTTGGTTCGTTCGAACTCTTCCTCTGCTGCCCGGCGTCGATGCTCCAGGGCCTCGACTTCGCTTCGTTTCTCGTCCATTGCCTCTTTGATGTTGTCGAGCAGGTTGCGACGGTCAAGGTCGTCGTCGATACCTTGTTTCCGACGTTCGTTGATCTCCTTCCGGAGTGTTTGTAGGCTGTTTCGGACAGAGCCCCGTAGGTCCAAGCTAAGCAAATGCGCTGGGTGGTAGCCAGTGAAAGGTTCTGCCAGGAGGCGATCCCCTTCCGGAGAAATTCGGCTGGGAGGGCCACCAATCTGGCTCGCGGAGAAATTGCTCTCATTAATATTCAGTCTAAGCTCATAGTCTTGGCCCTTGGCGTTCTCGGCAGCTGCGGGAATCAAGCTAGTTTGGTAGCCAAGAGTATTGTAAGCTTTCACAATCTGCTCAAGATCTTCCAGTTTCTGGCTGGCTTCCGCTTCATTCTCCATGACACGGGCGTGGGCCTCCTCCAGGCGAGCCACGGTGTCTTCGAGATTTTTCTGCAGACGTTCGCGCTCCGAGTTCATGCGGTCGATATCCTGGATAGTGATGCCTTGGCGATCAACGCTTGCCTGGAGATCGGAACGCTCAGATTCAGTGACCTGGAGATCGGCATCAGTTTTTTGGATCTCCGCGTCGAGGAATTTGATGCGAGTCTCGTATTTTTCAATTTTGCCCTTGACGTTCTGGTTATAATCCTCAAATTTCCTCTTATCATCCTCCAAGATGCGGAAATGTTTATCCAACTTGGCAATGTCAGGAGCACTCTTCTCCACTTCCTCGATTTGGTCACGAAGAGCCCGGTTCTCCGCCTCTAGTGCCTCCATTTCCTGCACGTACCGCTCATTGCCATGGGCGAATTCTCGCGACATGTTTTCAACGTGCGGAATCAACCGCTTCTCCGCGGTATCATCATCCTCATCTTCACCACCCTGCAGCCAATCGTGATAGGCTTGAGTGAGAAAGCGGAAAATAATGCGATCACCGGTGACATCGACACCTGCCTCGGCGCAGGCATCGTCGTACTCGCCTGCTTGATACCGATCCATCATTTGTGCCAATTGCATTAACCAATGTAGCATTCCGAGAAAGGTTGACCAGTTCTGGCCACCAACAGCTGCGATTTGTGACTTCGTAATGCCTTTCTCATAAGGATATCTTAGCTGTTTCAGGATTGGCGGCACTTCGGAGTCCATTGCTTTTTGGAACTTGTATCCTGGATCAATCCGATGGTAGAGCCACTGGAAGATAAAGTTGAAATCCTTTTGGGTCGGCGAGCGAAGAGTGTTCTGTCCCAAAGAATGTTTCATCTCCAACTCAAACCCATGAATAGTCAAATACTCCAACAGTTCCTGGCCAATCCGTGCCTGGAAAGCTCGGTCTCTAAGAGGTCGCGGGTCTCTGGGAACACCAGCCACGGTGGGGACTTGAGTGAAGAACGATTGGTGTCCCATCGGCCCTCCTCCTGTTGACGGTCGGGAAAATACACTGCTTCTGCGCTGTGGGTTCTGAGGAGGCGCGGGATTGGAGGCTAGAGACCCAGGCGCGTAGCTCTGCCGACTAGCACTGGCCCCAGTGAACATGTTACTAGACACTGACCGGCGAACAGAAGAAAGGCCGGCGTCAGCGCCATATGGTCCACCAATTGACATGCGCGTGAAGTTGGGTTGTTGCGGGCGACCAGTGGAACCCATCAAAGAAGTCCGGTGATTCTGAGAGCTGTACTGGGGGTTTTGGAATCCGATAGAGCTTGCGCGCTTCAGTGCCGACTGCGGTTGGGGGATCGCGGAGAAATTCTGAACACTCCCGAGAGTCTTGATCGCAATAGATATTAGCCTCAAGCCTTGCGCTGAATATGAGGGAACTATACTTCTCGGGGGCGCTTGATACTGAAAAGCCCAGTATCTTGCGACATGGTGATAGACAAGCCGCGAAGGCGGCGATAGACAGTGCAATTTCTTGAACAACTTTGGATATGGTTTAGTATTGACAAAGATTCAATATTCAAGTGCGTTGGCACCACAAAATCCGAGTGGAGGGGTTTGATCTGTTGTTTGGCAGCCACGAGGCGGCGATGTAAACAAATGCGTGCCACTTTCAAATGAGGTAGGCGGTGTAGGTTAAGAGGAAAAACAGTTTCGCCGATAATCACGAGACTCCCGGTCTGGGGAAGTCTTGGCGTTGGCGCGAGTTCCGAGGTCCAAATGGCAATTGCCGATGTGAGCGTCGCATCTTCTCTCCCCAGTTCATCTCTCCTGCACTTCACTGGTAGTCCACATCAATCATAATGGCTCCACGCGAGGAGCTGATTGCTTCAGCTGTAAGTTGTTTGTTGACATACTGTCTCCTATTATCCGCTTTCGGGGCTACCGCTAACTCATGTCCGATAGGTTACCTGTATGAACTACGAGACACAACTTGATGTGTGATGATCGCTGACTTTACCTAGTCCTCCAGGACCCATCGGTTGCGTCTTCACCTATTGAAAAGAGAGTATCATTTCTTCAATCTAAGAACTTGACTCAAGAGGAAGTGAACATTGCCTTATCGCGGGTCGGCGAAGACCCGTCTGCCGCGGCCGCAGCTACAGCTTCAGCATCCCCGGCACCTAGCTACTCTTCACAGCCAGTTCCTTATCGGCAACCACAGCCGCCTCAAGGATATGGCTATCCTCCATATAATCAATGGCAGCCGCCTCCTGAGTACGTTGACTATCGATCGTCACATGGTGTTTGAGACTGACAACATGAGAAGGCCACCCAAGAGAGATTGGCGTGACTGGTTTATTATGGCAACGGTAGTGGGTGGAGTTGGCTATGGGTTGTATACTGTCACAAAGGTACACATTGGTCCTCTCTTTTCAAACTAATGGCGCTGACCAATCTATCCAGCGTTATATTGCACCTTTGATCGCCCCACCGACGCCCCCTCAGCTGGAACAAGATAAAGAGCACATTGATGAGCAGTTCTCACGTGCATTTACCCTGATCGAACAACTATCGGCCGACACCGCTGCATTGAAGACCGCCGAGGAAGCCCGCACTGAGCGCCTGGATGGGGCGCTCAAGGAAGTTGAGAACCTCGTTTCTGATCTCAAGAACTCTTCTCGCCGAAGAGACGATGAGACTCGTCGCATTAGCGACGAGGTGAAATCATTAAAGGATGCCATTCCCAAAGCCCTTGAAGGTGCCCGGGAAGGCAATGAGAACAGACTGAAGGAACTCGGAACTGAGCTTAAGAGCTTGAAGACCCTGTTGGGCAACCGACTTGGTGCTGGTGCAGCTACCCCTGTTGCTGGCAGGACACTGGGATCTACTCCCGTTCCCAGCACTCCTCGCCCGGCTCCGGAAGAGACCCCCGCCACTTCCACTGCCCCTGCCACCACCAACAATTTGGCTGCCACTGTAACACCAGCCGAACAGGAGCCTACCCCAGCCGCTGCTCCAGCGAGCACAAGCCAGAGCCCCAACCCCCTCTCGCAGCTTGGTCGGTCTGCCTCCATCCCGGCATGGCAGATGGCCGCGGCCAATCGGTCTAAGGCCAACTCCCAGTCAAGTGCACCTGCCACTCCCGCTGAAACTACCGCCAGCCCTAGCCTGGAGCAGAGTGCTCCTCCCAGCTAAAGTTAATTTAGGTTTGCTGAATTATTGAATGTTGTATACCTCTTCGTTTAGATGTATTTACTACTATGAAATTTTCCCTGGATGAAATAATTGCCCCGTAACACAGCAGCCTATATTTCTGTACAAAATTGTCGTAGAAATCAACAAAATCGAGTTAAGAATTCGTTAAAATCGAAAACCCGGGGAAAATCTTGGAAATCAGATGGCGGAACCGATAAGCCGACCTGTCTTCCTTATCATTCTACCAGACAAACTCTAGACTTTCCAGGACCTCCCAATCACAAAGCAATCAGCCAAAATGCCTTCACCAACTCGCTCATCGCACCGAACTGCCTCTCCATCTGCGCAAAGCTCAAGCCGCCATCACCGCAGCCGCCACAGCCATTCGCACCGCCACCGGCCCCGAGAGAGCTCACGCTCGCGCTCGCGCTCTCCGCACCGATCAGATAGACACAGATCAGACCGTCACCACCGCCATAGCGAAGACAAAGACCGCAGACACCACGAGCGACGACACCGAGATGCGCCAGCGAAACCGGTGGTGCTTCCTTACCAAGCGCGCGAGCTCTCAGGGCGCGACCTGAAGATTTACGAGCCCATGTTTGGCATGTACTTGGATATCCAGAAAGGAAAATATATTGAAGACATGAGCGAAGATGAGGTGAGAGGGCGGTGGAAGAGCTTCACACAAAAATGGTAAGTCCAAGGGTGCTCTTTACTTGATGCGATAGTTACTGACATCTCAGGAACCGCGGAGAGCTCGCGGAGGGATGGTATGACCCAGTTACACTTGACAAGGCACGCAAAAATGCAGAACAAGAACTAGAAGCTGGCCCGAGAGGTGGGCGTGAATCCCCTGATTATACGCGGGGCGAGCGAGCGGCTGCTCAGCCCACACAGAACCCGCCAGTAGACGATGACGACGATGATGATGAGGACGATGAGTACGGGCCTACTCTGCCGCAGACTGGCCCAGGGAGAGGTGGCCCCCGCTCCGGCCCTGCAATCCCGACTATGCAAGACCTTGAGCTTAAAAGAGGTACGTTTTTCTAACTTCCCTCGAATATGACCGGAGTGCTAACCTCATTCAAGAATCTGCTATTGAGGATGCCATCGCTGCCCGCGGTGAATCACGCGATCAATACCGCGCTGAAATCCGTTCGCATAAATCTGCAATGCGTCAACTCGAAGATGAGATCGCGCCGCGGGCTGAGGCAGGCACACGGGAGAGACAGCTTGAGAAAAAGCGAGAAATCGCTTCGAGCAACCGTGCGTTCGCAGATTCTATGCGCGGTGCTTCGCCCGAGGCAGCTCGGGATGAAGATTTAATGGGCGGGGACGACGATTTTTCTGCCTTGAAACGGGAGAAGGAGAAGGACCAGCGTAAGAAGAACGATCGTGAGATCCGGAGAGAGGAGATTCTTCGTGCGCGTACAGCAGAGCGAGAAGAACGTGCACAGGCATATCGACAGAAGGAGCAAGAGACTATGGGCTTCTTGAAAGCTCTAGCGAAGCAGCGATTTGGCTGAGAAAATTAGAAGCCCAGGTCGTTCCTTTGATCTGAGTATCTTGTATTCTTCGCTTGTACATCCATAACGCAATAATTTATATACGATCTACCATAGCACAATCGATGCATCGGCTCCAACGGAACGGTCCGACACCGCTATCGGAATGGCTCCGAGGTATTTAGACCATATCGATGGATATAATCTTCCCCAAACAATATCCACATTTACTATAAACCATGCTCAAACATTTATCTCTATCATACCGGTCAACAATGACCCAAATAGCACCTGGTAGCCGACGATATCTCCAGACCAAGAAGCAACACTCCCTACCAGCAGCATACTACCGCGGCGGCACCTCACGCGCAGTCTTCTTCAAACAAGAAGACCTACCCGCAAACAAAAAAGATTGGGCCCCCATTTTCCGCAGTGTAATCGGCAGTCCAGATCCCCATGGCCGACAACTAGACGGACTAGGAGGTGGAATATCCAGCCTCTCGAAGGTGTGCGTAGTAGGCGCATCGACACACGCCGAAGCCGATGTCGATTACACCTTCATCTCGCTCGGCATCAAGAACACCGACGTCGATTATTCCAGTAATTGCGGGAACATGAGTTCCGCCGTCGGTCCATTCGCCGTCGATGCACATGTGTTCCCTTTACAGACTCCCAGCCCGGATTCAGCCTCGGTACGCATCCACAACACCAACACAGGCAAGATCATCCATTCTTCCTTCCCCGTTGTCGACGGCGAAGCGGCTGCTAGCGGCGACTTCGCTATAGACGGGGTCGCTGGTACTGCTGCCCGCGTTCAGCTGGACTTTATCAACCCCGCCGGCTCGGTTACGGGGAAACTCCTGCCTACCGGCAATGTCGTTGATGTCTTTGATGGAATTAGAGCTACGTGCATCGATGTCGGGAATCCGTGTGTCTTTGTGCAGGCGCTTGATCTCGGCGTGAGTGGGAATTTGACTCCTGATGAGATCACTGTCCACCCGGATTTGCTGCTGCGCTTGGATTCTATTCGTCGGCAGGCGGGTGTTAAGATGGGTATTGCGGATGAGACAGGGGATGTTCCAGGTAGTGTGCCTAAGATCTGTATTGTGGCTGCGCCCTCCACTACCTATTCCAGAGATATCGAACAGAGACAGACGTCTGCTGATGTTGATCTTTTGGCTCGTGCGCTTTCTGTTGGACAACCGCATAGGGCGGTCCCGATTACTGTTGCTTTGGCTCTTGCTGCTGCTGCTCGTGTGCCGCAGAGTACAGTGGCTGGCGTTGTGGATAGAGATCCTGTCGACAGTGCCGGGATTACTATTGGTCATGCCAGTGGGAATCTGCTGGTTGGTGCCAATTTCGATGTAGATGGAACCTTGACTTCTGCCACGGTCTTTCGTACAGCGCGTCGTTTATTTGAGGGGCGTATCTTCTGGAAAAATGATGACTGAAGACACAAGTGTTTGATTGTACAGTAAAAGCTGGCAGAAGACTGCGTATAGGTGAAGTATAGAGACAGAATTACATGAATCATCCAAATCAGAACTTTTATTCTTGTGGATCACAAGTGGTATATCTATATCATCTATTCTAACCCCAGTTCTAAGCATGTCTCCCGAGGTCGACATCAGCAACCAATTTCATATCATCAGTACCAGCGCCGTCACCTAGTCCAAAGAACGGCTTGACAGCAACATCGACCACCTCCTCAAACAAGCGCCCAATCACAGCTTCCTTGAGATCCTCACCAGTCTGCGCGAAATCTGGGTACGCGTTGAGCTCCAGAAGCCACACATCCCCTTTAGCATCAACAAGGAAATCAACACCAAACAACTCGAAGGCATTAGGCAGAGTCTGGAAATGAACCATCATGCCCCGAGCGGCAGCCTCAAACACTTCACCAGTCACCGAGCAGATCTGATCAAAGATCTTCTCCTTCCAGTCTGCACTGAGACCGGGGACGTGATGGTCGAGGTCCCAGAAGCGACGCACACTCTCTTTGTTCGAGCTGCCGCCTTCCTGGAAACAGGTGTTGGTCAGATGGCGGGCGAGGTCAGCGACGTCATCTTCTTCGTGTGGGGCGCAGTAGGTCTTAGCAGCGAAGAGGGCAAGCATCTCCTCGAAGACGTAGACTTTGAGAGAACCCGAGGCGAGGACGTAGGTGCGGATATGGAATTTGCGGTTCGAGGACGATGGGAGGAGGAGGGGAGGGTCGATGTAGGGCTGTGCGAGGAAGTGGCGGAGCTGTGAAGTGACAATGCCTGTGTCCAGGGAGGCGCCGACGGTACCTTCCGCGTCGTCGGTATTTGTCTCCGATCCGCTCTCATCGTCTGAGTCTTCTTCCCACTCCTCGAAGATCTCACGTAGCTGGTCTTCGCTGTTGAAGATGCGAATTCCCTGGCCTCGATCGCTCATACCGGGCTTAAGGATCCACCATTCCTTTTCGGAGTCGGGTAACCCTTCGTTCTTGGCTAGACTGTCATTGAGCTCGTATGCTTCGAGCAGCGCGTCGTCGAGAAATTCGGCATAGTCGAGTTCGAAATCGAAAGCGGGCTTGAAGTGGTGTCGGAGGATGCTATCCGGGTGTTTTGAGATCCAATTGGCCACCGTGTTTGAGAGATAATGCTTGCGAATCAGAGCTTTGCGGATGATGTATGCGCTCGAAAGAGATGTTGAGGGCCTGGACATGATATGCTCGAAGTCGAGGCGCTCATATTCACGGTACTGGAACAGCGGCGCGGAGGAGTCCGGTAGTTCGGAAACAGAAAACACACGCTTGGAGGCACTTCCCAGGCGGCGGGTCAATGCCCGGTCAACCATTTCTTGCACGTAGGAGTTATCGCAGTCGACGAGGGAATACAACGAGGGGTGATTAGCCGATCTACAAGATCTCCGTTTATCAGACTGGGCGCCAATACAAGAAAAGCAGATCAAAGGGGAGGGGACATGGTATCTAACAGCTAAGCCAGATATCTAAGTGCATGCCACATGTAGACTTCGGATAGAACCCTCCATACCATGCCCCCCATCATGTCAAAGTCGTCACTCACAGCTTAATCTCCCCCGAAATACCGGGCGCGGGCATGAAATTAGCCTTGAGAGGTGTGACGCTGGGAAAGTCAGTCGAAATTCACAAGTAGAAGGGCATTACGGTATTGGACAAACCTAGTCATTTGCTCCTTAACGGTCCAGCCATCATTGCCAGGCTCACTTTCCTCCACGCTTCGGTAAACGTCCTGGAAGCTCGGCGCCCACTTGAAATGCTTGTGTTGAATTCGGGGTCCACGGGATGTCTTCTCGCTAGTACCGACAGTCTGATCCGGTTTATTTCCTGCCACCTCACCTTGGTCGCGCAACAGCTGTTCTTGCAAATCAGGGTCGTCCGCAGATACAGGGTCGACAGCCTGGAAGCAACTCCCAGATGTCCACTGATTCTGCAGCATGTCGGTGTATAAGACCTTATTCTTACTAACGCCGGGTTCGAGGGGTACGTTAACGCTATAGAGGTGCACGCCGTCTGCCCAGTTCGCGCATAGATGTTCAATCAACTTGACCGAGTGTCCCGCGGCCTCTGCGATAATGACAGGGTCATGGTTCCGAGAGCTGAAAGCATAAGACAGAGCAATTGAGCGCGTGCCGCAGCAGGCACCCTCCAACGCTGCGCCAATAGTTCCACTTGACAATGCGAACAGTGCGGTTGTGTTGCGACCATAGTTCGGACCGGACACGATGACATCAACAGGGCCACGTTCTTTGAAACAGTGGTATAGACCGATCTGGACACAGCTTGCGGGAGTCGAGTCGATCAAAACCCATTCGTCGCCCGCACCATCGTCGGGTTCACCATCACTGCCTCGGGGCAGATGATGAGTTGTTCCATCTTCTTGGTGGAGCGTGCCTGGCCGGAAATAGGTAGGTTTTACGGATGCGCCTACGATGTGCGCTTTACCGATCCATGATCGCTGCTGGTGTGGGAGAATAACCGAAACCGTGTGACCGGCGGACTGGAGCGAGTGGACGAGGGAATGCACATAAGGCGATGATTGATTTGACGGAGGACCGTCGTCGTTGGTGACCTAGACGGAGATTAGTCTCCTAATTCCCGTTGTAGAGAGTGTACCTACCAGGATATGCATTGTGTGTAGAAGATGAGTGAAGAATGGAGGGGAAGAAAGTTCTCCCCGCTTTATCGGCCCAGATCCACATTGCATAAGACACGCTATACGGTAAGAATATGACATGATCACCACCTAGACACTTCTATCTTCAATAGCCCTGTGCCAAATGACTTCGACGTCTCTGGACTCCACGGGCTTCGGCACTTTCTAATCCAGAGCCTGTACTAGCCTCACCTTCACCCGGAAAGCTAGAAAGCAATCTTGCCTGTTCCTGCTCCTGTTTGACCTCGGCAGATTCATCAGAAGTATCCCCGTCCGATTCTTCTTTGACAGACTCTTCCGGCTCCCCCTTGATTTCATTTTTAGGCATAGTCTCCCAAACCCAAGTCATCGCCAGCCATGTCAACCCAGCAGAGAGCATAGAAACAGACCAGAACAAAGTGCTAAAAACAACAAAAGATGTAATCTTCCAGCGCCACATCAGCCATCTACCCATCTGTTAGCCACATCTCAAGAATATCCCAATCCCCAAGGAAACCTACCTGAGCCCCGTAAGCCTAGCACGGAATTCCACCCGAGCGGTATAAACCTGCATCTTCAAGTCACTTTGAATTTCTAGTCGCAGACTCTGCGGTAAATTTTGCGCCCCCTTCGAAAATTCAAGCTGCTCCATCATCGGTACCTCCAACGTCTCCGACTCCCGGTGCCAACCAACAACATAGAACGGCATACGCGCCGCTCTCCGGGCAACATCCACCAGCGGGGAAGCAAAAGTCATGATAGCAGGGCGGCGGGCCTGCGAGATAGGCGTGTTATTCGGACCGGGTAGAAGGGATGAGGCAGGTCGGGAAGAAAAGAGGGTGAGGTCGAGCATGAAATTGCCTGTATCGAGATTGGAGGGCGTGCGTGGAAGCTCGAGCGTCACGGATACATCGTAGGGCTGGAAAGCCACGAACTCCGAATCGAAGTTTGCTGTGCCCCAAGGGTTGCCATTGCTGTGCACAAGTTAGTTCAGCTGTCTGGTTGCGGGGAATGCTATTGTACCCGAATTGTAGATGGACTTCGCGCTGGAGTCCGACCGTGGGGATGAATTTGAAATAGAAGACCCCATAGGCAATTGCAGAGATACCTATCAGGATTGATGCAGCGCCCATGAACAGTAGCGTGTTCAGGTATAGCCGTAGGGCGGACTTAGAGACCAGCGCGCGGAACGGTCTGAGGACTGCATCCTGTCGTGTGTTAGCTACAATTGAGAAACTTGCATCAATACACCTACCATGATGACTGTCCTGACAGACGATGGGCCATATTCGGACTCGTCTCCAAATTCCGAGTCCGCCATTTTGGGGGAATAGTTGGTAGAAACAACCTTGAAAGTTGGAGGTTCGAGGCTTATCCTGTTATCTTCTTATCTGCACCGAGGTCCTGACCTCAGGTCCGTCCCCTTACCACATGCCCATAATATCTGGCAATTCTTTTCTTTTCTGTAGAATCTGATAATTATTTTTCCTACACGTACAGATGTCCCGTTCGGGGAATATACATATAGGCCAGGAGTGCTGATTGATAATTAGTGACAAAGATGTGATTCATTATACTATGAAGCCGAACGGAAGGCCTAAAAAGAAGCTACAATGATCATGAGAGTAGTAAATTAGCATTGCCCTATGCAGATAATGATGACACCGTCAACTCCAGCTTTTACAGTCTTATCATTACAGGTCGCGGGCAGCATGAGACGCGAAAAAATATCATGGAACCTCAAGTCATGCGGAAATCGTAAGAAAAAAAAGTAAATATGCATGCCATCACCACGGCTAACCCCTGCCGTAACATGAAACTGAAAAGATAAAAAGAAAAATAACGCAAAGGACATCAGCAATTGCGGAAGAGAACCCCGTGAAAATTACATGCAACGAAGTACTCCTGTACCGCCCGAGTTACCAGAGAAAGAACTTGAGGAGAGATGGAAGGAGAGGAAGAGGATGAGAGGTCGAGAAAAGTCTAGGCAATGGGCCGAGGGCTCTGTTGTTGAATATGTTGAAGAAGGGCATCGAAAAGACGGCCGATCTGAAAACGAATTAGTATTGTCATATTGTAGAAGAAAAGGAGCAAGCTTACCTCAGGTGCCGCCTGAATAAAGGGAAGGCGGAAGAATGAGTAGCTCCGATTTTGGAGGAGCTCCTGCAGGGTGATGATCAGACCCCATGGATGTGGGCGGTGGACAATCAGCCGCTCCAACAACACGCGAATGATTTGCTGGCGGATATCCGAGTCGTCTTGCTCAGAGTAGTCCACGCCAAACAGACGGAGAATCGTGAAGCTAAAGAAGTAGGTGTGGCTGTTGGGGTAGCGGAGCTGGTTGGCCATTGCACTAAGCAGGTAGTAGCGGCTCTCAGGTCGCAGAACTTGGGCGATCTTCTCTAGAAGAGCAGCGTGAGTGGAGTTCTCAAAGGCGCTGCGGGTGTTGCCCTTGGAAGCATGCTCCACTGCGGCTTGTTGGCCAATGTACAGAACAAGCGCGTTAACCAGAACGACGTCCACGTCGACCGGGACAAAGAAGAGACCGGTGTCCTTGGAATCAGGGTTGATGATAGCGTCGCAAAGCTGCTGAACAGCAGACTCGGAGATGTTCTCATTTTGGAGCACGTTGTCAACGATGTCCTGGATGTTGGCAACCCGCAGAGGAGCAACGATATCACCAGCAATCTTGGGGATTTCCCGCATCTCCTCAATACGCTCGACCTTCAGGCCTTCGCGGAATGGATCAGGAAGTTTCTGGAATGACGAGGGGTAGGCACTGAGGACAAGATTGCGGAGCTGAGCGCAATGAGCCGGAATCACATTGCAGAACTGGAAATGGTTCTCAGCCACAAACTCAGGGAAATCGTGGTGCAGAATCAACAAGATACGTAGAACGCCCTTGTATAGATCTTTAGCAACGTATGTAATGTTGGCAGCCTTGAGTTGCTCGCCCATGTAGGACAGCAATGCTTGCATGATTTCGCAGTAAGGCGCCCATCCTGCACGATCGGGCATGTTGAGCATGTCAGACATGAACACTCGGTGAGAGACCAGGCAAAGCCAGCCATAAACGAATCCGGGGACATAACGGGGCTGGAAGGAGAGGAATTTGTTGGCCAAAGCAAAGATCATTCCCTGGTGCTGCTCAGTGTGCTGGAGGCCGTTCATGGAGTACTCGCACAGAATGCTGGAGAAGAGGCGGAAGAAAACACGCTGGTTGAAAGCTTCTCCTCTCATGACCTGGTGGTGGTTGAGGACCAGAACCAAGAGAGACAGAATGGAGTTGAAGTACGCAGCCTTGTTAGCTTTGACGGCGCCAGTATTCTCGCCCTGGAACCTGATGAGAAGGATCACGAGCTTAGCGAGGGCATCGATGTAGAGGAAGGCCTCATCAAGGCTGCCGCCATTGGGGTTTTGAGACTCATGCTCAAACATGGCGACGGAAATGTCGATGCTGAGACGGAAAAAGAGCGCAGAGTCCTCCTGGCTGTTCATCACTTGGCGATTGTGGAGATCCTGCAGGAAAGAGTGGAAGGTGCGGTCAGTTGCACCGGGGGCCTTGTAGATACCAATCCACTCGCTGAAGATGTACTCCATTTGATCACGCTTGGACCTGGCTTGGTCAGTAAGGAGAGAGTTGACGACCTCGGGAATTCCAGACTCGCGCAGCTTGCGCACGATTTCGAGGCCGGGAGCAACGGTTGGATCTTCCGCAAGCCATTGGCTCATGGCATCTAGACTCCCAGAGAAGTCTGATCGAAGGGCGGAGGGTTCTTCATTGAAGAGAACGCGGTCCATCAAATTGCCGAGCAACTCCAAAGCGGGCACACTCCTCGAAAGAATGAGTCGGGTGAGGTTCGTATCGACCCGACGAATGTCCAGCAGGCCGGCATCAATGAGGGCGACGGTGACTGGCACATTGAACATGTGCTCGTCATCAACTTCAGATAGCAGTGCCCACGTGTATCGAGCGATAAGACTAGACATGTCACAGAGCTTGGCAAGAAGGTGCACAAGAACTTCAATCTCGAGAGATCCATGCGGCTGGGAATATAGAAGGGTGCAAACCTTCAAAGAGGTAAGTCGTGCCAGCTCCTCTCCGTTCGTCGAGGTAAGGATGCTGCGCAATGCCTGGTTGTATTCTTGGAGAACTGCACTATCTCTACCCAGATCCTTGACATGTTCTTCAGGGGCGCTGCGAGCAGACTGCTGAAGATCGGAGACGAGGCTTTCCACCCGTTCTCGGGGACTTTGAGCATCAAGGAACCCGTTGGTCTGAACGGGGGGCATTTGAGAAACAGCAGGCTGCGGCTGAGGGGTTCTGTGAGGGATGGCTGGCTGCTCAGCCGGGGTGGAAAGATTTGGAATAGCAGGGTAAGATTCTCCAAGGACATCGGGGAGTTGACGACCAGCCGATGCGTCAGTAGATGGCGCCGGGCCTCGGGATTGACGGGCAAACTCTTCGTAGATGGCGAGTTGTTCCTTGTTGAGACCGCCAGGGGCTTGGCGGTAAGGCTCCGGAATGAACAATCCCCAACGGTTCATTGAGGGATCAATGAAGGGGTCGTTGGAGCGACTGGCCTGGTGGCGACGACGGGCCTCCAGTTGAGGCTCAATCACCTTCTCGATCTCTGGCAACGACTTTTCCTCTGCAGCTTTCTCAACGATTCCACAGGCAGCATCCAGGTTATCGTTCACACACATCAGAATCAAGCCTTCGGGCATAGGCTGCTCAGAATAGTCTTGCTGAATCATGCGGATGTAGTTAGTCATGCTAACTTTCAGAGGCTCTTTGCAGGTAACCAGTGCCAGGCTACCGGCAAGTTGTCGGACCATGATGCCCGCGGCATGGCGAACGCGTTCTTCATCAGGCTCCATAGCAAAGTCCTTGGAGACAAGTTGTACGGTAGAAATGGACGCGATAGTGACAGAGCGCTCGACCACAGGAGTAATGATCTCGGCTATGGCACGCTCGACTGCGGTATGCACAATCTGCTTGAGAATGGTGGGGTCAACCATGCTGCTTGCCGATGAGGGCAGCACAAGAATCTTGTCAAGGCTTGGCAGTGTTGACATGATAGCGGCCGGAGACAACCTTTCGTTTCGAATGGCTGGATTGATAGCGCTGAGGGACAAATCCTCGAATGGCTCAGTAAGACCTTCTGGTGCACTAACAGTGGGAAGTGGTTCCTCGGTGTGTGCAGCACGATCGCGTATGACGATTGCAGGTTCAATCGTTTTGTGGTCGAGATCAAGATCTTTACAGAGGACTTCAATCTCGAACTTGAGATTGAGCTTCAATTCGGCGAAATGATAGAGCTCCAACAGCAGGCCCAAGATATCCATTAGCCAGGGGTTGGGTGGCTTGAAAACCGTGGATTTTGTAGCCTGCACAAGAACTTTGCAGGTGAAGGGGATCGTAACCATTAGGCGTTGGGTGTCATAGCCTTCAAGAAGCAGGCCCTTGAAGTAGATATTCTTGTGCTTGATAGGTTTGTCTTTGGCAATAGTGAGCGAACCAAGCCAAGCCCCAAGGTTCTTCAGGTGACCGCGATCGGTAGACGAGTTCAAGGTGTTTTCTGAGTTGATCAACTTAGCAACACTGACATAGGTCTCCCGCAGGACCTCAGCCCACAGGATCTTGTCGCCAATGCGCCCAAGAAGGTCAAGATACAGCTGCTGGAAATTGGGCTGCAACTTGGCACGTTCTTCCACAAGGTATGCGGCGAACCACTGATGGTGTTGGTCGCGCAACACTTCTTGCAAATCTTCAAGTTTCTCGTCGATGTTCTGTTCGGAAACATTGTTGAGAACGAAAAGAATCTTGTCCTGAATATCTTCATCCGGCTCTTCATAAAGTTCAGATCGAAGAGGTGGATCGACTTGAACAGCACGGAACTTGCGCACGGAGCCATCAGCGATGGGGGAGTCAACAGAGTTGCCATTGGTCAGAGGTGCAGAAGCAGGGCCTGCAGGAGGACCTGGCTCGGCTTCATGATTCCCTTGCTCACGGAGGACCTCCTCTGCCTTTTGGTAGATGGGCGTTCCTTGAAGAGATGGAATCTGGAAGAGCAAGTGGCAGAAACCAGCCCACTCCGGAAGACGGTTGATCAATTGCTCAATCGCTTCCACGCCAAACTTGTACATCGGGTCGTGGGGTTCATGCTCACGGACAGCCTCGAGGATCATACCGAGGCCGACCTTCAGCGTGATGCCGTCAACAAGACGGAAATTGATGATGCCACCAAACATGACCGCAGTCTTGGTCAGAGCCTCAAGCGGGTACTCATGGTAGCAATGATATTCGTCAATCAGGCCGTGCACCATGCAAGCGAACAGGTCTTGTTCTGTGGGGTCGCGCGAAGACTTGTATTTTCGCATCAACTCCAGCATCTCACGAAGCGAGAGTTCTTCGTGGTACATTTTACCAAATAGCTCCTGCATTTGCTTGTCGATTGAATCGGGCAACGTGTTGCCATTCTCACCATTGGCGTCGATGATATCATCGAATCCTTCGCCGTAGTTGATCAAGCGAGGATATGTTTGAATGCAAATGCGTTGGACAGGTGTGAGATTTTCACGGTCCCCGACGTACTCCTCCAACACAGATAAAAGTGTATAAACGGTTTTGACTGCGAGGCTGACCATTTGATGAGCAGACTGCTCCTTCCGTTGGACGTGCAATTCGTCCTCGGCTTTAATTCGTAGGAACTTGGAAAGGAGACCACCCATGTCTATAGCACCTTTCTGGGCGGCATTGCGAACCCACTGCTCAAGGTCAAATGAACTCTTGCGGTGGGAATAACAGGCGAGATCGAGGGCAAGACCGTTGGTGAACCCAAGAAGATAATCGAGCCATCCATATGCCGCGGCGTGCTCATAGATCACAGCGGTCGAGGTGGGGTCCTGAGTGAAAGTGGTAAAAAGCTGCTCTGATACCCACTGTCGATCCTGTCGCCAGGCACCGTGGAGAGCGAGCTGGTATCCATCCTCTTGCTTCGAAATGAAAACAATGAACGTACGGAGGACAAAGCTCTGCTGAACACTGGACCACGGCTGCGGAATAGCAAGAGCGGAGCAGAGGAAGACCGGGAGATCAAGTTGAACAACGGCCTTAATAAGGAGCTGACTTTCTGTTGCAGCCCATGAAGCCTGGGAAAACAAGGCGAGGTCGAAAATTGCTTTCATAGCGTCCATGGACCGAAGAGGTGACTTTGCCGCACGCTCGCCTTGCAATTTGACGATATCAGGGGCGTCCTCAAAGAAGTCAGCAGGGAAAGTTGCGCGAAGATTGGTGATGTGTGATGGGTCGATCCGAGAGGCCACAAAAGCTGTCAGGAATGACATCTGAGTGTCACGATGCTCCCAGTCTCCACCCCAAAGCTTTTGAACATCCAAAGACGAGTCGTCGACCGACATGGCGGATAGAACACTGTACAATTTGGTGAATTGCTTCGGGTCCACTCGAAGGCCCTCACGGTCGAAGTGGCGGAACACCAGGGGCCAATTGATTGGCTTGTCGTTATATGCACTTAAGAATGTCTCTAGCGAGAATTGCTCCCAATATTGCGACAGAATCATGAAAAGAAGGCCGCTTGCGAGATGTTCTTCGTTGAAGTTCTTCGGGTCTGCGTTTAGCATTTCACTTATGGTCTCGATATTTGCAGTGGCACGTGGTCCTTTGGCATGAAGCTGTCGAACAAGGACATATTGAGGGTTGACAAAATTGAACATCTGTAGGGCAGACGAAACTTCGAATGGCATATCCAAGCCAAGTTTTTGGTATCGCAGATTAGCCGCGTAGACCAGTTTCGCCTTGACATCGTCGGCAAAATTGCGGGGAGGGTATAAGATGAAACGTTCAATCGTCATGCCGAGGAATGAGTTATGGTAATCCTTAGTCACGTCGGTGGGAGTCGCCAAGCTCTGTAAGAAGGGGGCAATTGAATTCGAGAGGATGGCATCGGCTAATTCAAGTTGTTAAAGCGAGTCTAAAGGGGTAAAGAAACAAACATACCTTTAGCACGAAGATCTGACTTGCTAGTCAGTTTGAAAGCCAAGGCAAGTGCAACCTTGACAATTGGGTCCAGTCGGAAATGATCCAGGAAAGTGGAGAGGTCAAAGTCACGGAAGATATCTCCTTCAGAAGTATCTACTGTCTCAGCAATTTTCTGAGCCTGCTCCATGTCCGAAGACACTTTCTGCAGCTCTTGGACGAGGAGAGGGTAGTTGCCCGCATTCTCAACGGATTTGTTAACACCTGGGAAGATTTGTGGCGCATTTCCTGTTAGGAGGCGGCGAAAGTATTTGGAAAAGACCTCCATTCCGTTCGATGTCACAAGCTGCGGTTGTTAGGATCGAATGAACTGGGATATGGAGTAGCACCACCAACCTTATGTATCTGGGCAGCCTTTGTTTCCCACTTCTCTTTTCCTTCTTTCTCTGTGATAGAATCGAGCAACAGGAATACCTGAGCAATGGATATTTTGGTGAGCGATGATTGGCTCGAATGGGCAGCTGCAGAGCCCGGCTTGTCAGAAGCGAAGCCTGTGGGAGAATTCACGGTCGTTCCGGACGAGAGCGGCGAGAAGACACCTCTGGTAGATCCCGGCCCACCACCTCCTCCCCCAGTACCTCCTCCACCCGGGGCGGAGCTTGTAGCAGAGGCCAAATGAGACCCTATGGAAGGGGTGTGAGCTCGGAACTTTGGAGACGAGAGTGTTGTTGCGTGCTGTTGCGAGCCAGATTGCAATGATGTGAACGGCGAAGATGTGGGTTTGGGACTTCCACCGGAAAGACCCCTAGCAGAGCTCAGCACTGCAGAGAAAGAAGATGGTGTTGAAACCCCAAGGCCTGCGTCCAAGCCCCGGGAAGCCGTGGGGGGAGCGGCGGAGGATATGTTGGTCGCGAGTGGAGTCAACCCACGACGTGCGCCGGACTGCGACACGGACCGACCCCAGGCACCAATATCGGTCCTGGTCGAAGAAGATTTATCGGTGCCAGAAGCAATCGACGATTGGGCGGAAGGGTGAGGGGGAGGGAAGGTCATCTAGGAGACGCGATCATTTGATCTGGAGGTCCAAAGACAGATTTTTAAGGGTCACAGGCGCAATAAACGGGGGAAATCGATAAAGCAGATCAATGAAATAGACGTGAGATCATGCGATATCTGGAGAGGGAGGGTATCGGGAAAAGAAAATGACACTGTGGGAGAGGAATGGATGGGGGAACGATGAGATGGAGAGGGTGCAAGAGGAATGGGGTGCAAGGTGCGAGTTGTCGGAAGTGTGCCTGCCTCAGGTGTCGAGCGGGAGCTCCCAATCGGGCACCACGATGCAATACAAAACACACCTTGTCATCTTTCAGGTGTCGAAGAGTTACTTGAGATTTGCCATGTTCTAGACGGTATCATTATGTGATTTTTCCTTCCCTTGTTGCTCATCATCTATCATTTTACAACCTGCATACTGGTGTGCCGATATAGTCACGTGATGTAGACCTGCACGTGATAGATAGCTGAGTCATCTACTATGGGGTCCATCTGGGCACCTATCTACATCGGTCCGTCAATGCCATCTCGACCTCAATGAAGCGAGACCTGCTATACGGATGGTAGTCTGAGCTTAACCTCACATTGTTAGAGTATGTATCTTCACTTTCACTGTTTCCTATCTCAGGCTTTGGAGATTCATGAGGCAGAATTCTCGCTACGTTATCCCACACAGGAGAAAACAAGACAAACGGTCTACGTATCTTGCAATATGATTGAAAGAGATGATGATGGAACAGCTTCTCCATCAACTCTTTGAGATAGGATAAATTTCAACCCATAATACTAAGAACAAAATAGATGAGAATGATATGTGATCAAGCATATCGCAGTACTCTGGACCATATCAGTCCAATGAACGCCAGAGTTGGAACCAGTCAGCAGAGGCAATCAACATATAGAGCAAATAATAACCCCAAAAAGATATGAAATAATAACGCGCAAAGTAATGAGGATCATGTCATGCCGCAATGACAGGTGGTAGAAAAGGGGGAGGGCATAGTCACGGATAATGCAAGAAACGAAATATCCCACAAGGCAAGTAGCTTGGGTGAACAGAAGGAAGATAAAATCACACAGTCAAAGAAGAAAGACGATCATGTGCACATGAGTTTAAGACCAAATCGCTGGCCAATCCAACGCCAACGCCTAGGCCCACAGCAGGAGGGACCACAATGAATAAATGATATTGTTTCAGAGCGACTCTGACTAGTCAGTCAAAGACACACAGTAGCACGGGCTGGCGTAGGATGCCTTGGCAGTGTATGTCTGGGCAGTGCCACCGTTATAGTTGGTGTAGGTAGTAGTCGGCGTGGGCTCGTTCTCTTTGATGTTAACAATGTTGCCCGAAAGAAGTGCCAGACCCCCGTTGTTGCGGATTTGCATTTGCTGACAGTAGGGAGATTCGCGCGATGGGTCATCTCGGCGCTCCTCCATCTTAATTCTCCGTGGGTAATCAACGGTGGGAGAGTCGCCGCGTTTGGAGTCAGCGCTTAAGCCAGCTGTGCTTGCTGGCATGTTGCTGTTGATGGCAGCGGTGGAGCTCAAGGAATACGATGTCGACTGGTTGACGTACAAGAAGAATTCCATCATTGTATTATTCCACCAACAAAACCACGGCTTGTCGCCGACCTCTGCAGTCTGCTTCAGGTTCTTGTAGGCAGACGCCTGTGCCCACTCGTCTTCCACCCATGTGCGCTTGGAAAGGGAATTAGAAAATGTGTCCTCAGGGACAATGACCAACTTATCGAAGGGCGACAGGAAGAACAGAGCAGGGCCCATGCCAATATCAGTGGTGTCGATCGCCATACTCAATGCTTGTGTAGGTGCAGCAGACCAATATGGCGCCTGGGCACCATATGTAAAGGTCGTGGTTGGAGGACCATAGTCGAAAACGATGGAATGGTGCCCTTTTGTTTCGCTGACGTAAATGTCAAATTTGCTAGGCGTTTGCATGCATTTCCAGGCTTTCCCATAATTCGACTCGTCCACGCACAGCCCTGATCCATTCTGATAGCCGGAAGGGACCAGATAGTGGCCGGTAGGGACTTCTTTGATATTCGTGGGAGTTGATATCATGGATGCATCCATCTGAGGAGTCGCAGTGACCGTGATTATTGGTAATGCACTGGATTTTTGTGCGTCTTGGTCATCCTTTGTAGCTTCTGCGGCTTTCTTGGTTCCCAAAATACCCCCAATGATACCTCCAATGCATCCTCCAATGAGCATCACGGTTCCGATGAGGACCAAGGTCCAAACCGGCAAGCCACAGCATGCGGTCTTTTTCCCCTTGCGTTTAAGCTTCTCTTCAAAAGCCATGATGCCTGTGGTGGCAACGACTCTTCCCTCCCCATTTTCATCATCGTGCCCATCACCAGAGTGTTCAGGCATCAAAGCTCTTGATGATGTTTCTGAAACCGGTGGTGCTCTTGGGCTTTCATTGTTGAGACGATGTTCCTCTGGCGGAGTGTCAAGATCGACTATCGGTTCAGCCCCCGGGGGGCTTGGGCACAACACCAGTTGGATAGCGTGAATAAGGTGGTAGCGGCTCTGCATGACCATCCAGTCCAATGATATCGCCCACATCATCAGCTTGACGGCCAGCGGGTGGCTGATATTGTGGGTTATGACCTGGAAATCCGACCGGTATGATATCATCATCCATTCCTTCCTCAACCACATTCTGCGAGTACATCGCGTAGGGGTGCTGTGGACCAGTTGATTCTTCAAGCGGACGTTCAACTGGGCGTATCGTCGAGGTGCTACCCACACTGGGTGTCCGGCTAACCCCGACTTGTGGATACATACCATATGGATGGCTGGGTCCGGTGGCTCCGGTGTAGGGACTGAGGGCGCGGGGAATCGAGAAACGAGAAGAAACACTTTGATTTCGCTGGATCATGGATGGTGTCGAGTTGAGAGAGGAGGTTGAGTTACGGTTGTGGGCGAAGGGGTAGCCCTTTTGGGGCAGACTTGACCGGTGAGGTTCATCGAAAGACACCCGAGCGTCATCAGCAAAAGGGTTCTCGTTCTCGGTTGTGGCCGTGCTGACGGTCCTCGACTGATTGGTTTCACGAAGAGTAGCCGAGGATGCAATGGATGAGGGACTGTGGGGGCGTTCGATGCGATCGGAGTCAATGGTCTCTAATGAGTATTCGTCGGCAAAGACATTTGGATTGGAGGTGGAGTTGCGACCGAAGGAGTGGCGAGGCATCGGATCCCTAGAGTGTGGCGTTTGAGAGGATCGTGAATTAGAGCGAGAATGCTCTGATGAAATATGACCAGACATTTCCTATCGGTCTGGCAGCCCTGTCGGGCCACCTCGTTGTTTGATCAATCCGTTTCGCTACCGGGCGATGGGCGAGGGATGGGGAGAACAAGAGAATACAGCAGATCTCTTCAACTCAAGATAATAAGTACGAAGAGGTAGATTGTCGATGAGTGAGATGTGTAAGACGAGAAAACCAGGTTGAGAAGGGAAGGGAGGAGTTTGCCTTAGTGTGAGAGTTTAACTGAGGGGAGCCACTCGGACCAACTGAAATTCTTGGCTTTTTCGATTTGTCCATTGACACGCTCTCTTTGCCATCTTTCTTTTCTTTTTTTTTGTCCTTTCTTCTTATTCCATCTCATGGGTACGATCTCTCGATGAACTCCTTTGCGCTACTATGACTAGGGCGACCAACTACCGAGCCCATCCCGTCTGTGGTGGGCCTGAATGGGCTTCGCCACCATTTCATGCTTCAGGCTATATGTTGTACTGTGCTATTTTGGTATTCTCTATCAATGAAAAACAGACAGGTTCTAGGTCCCTACCGATTCTAGTTTTAGATCAAAATTCAAATATTACTTCGACAGTCGAACTTGAACTGTCTTCTTTCTCGCCACGCAACGTGAGAATGCCAAACCCCCTCTGTTTGGTTCTGGAATCCACGTTGAACTGGAGAAATGGATACCACAGAACCTTTGTCCAGGGTACTCAGTCTGGGTTCAGGGAAAAAATCTCCCTGAATCCCGAATTCAGACATCAGGGCTGAGTGGACATCTCGGACCCAAATGTCTTGCGGACTAATCGTTATCCGAAAAATGCAGAACTGCTCACCTATGATGACATCTTTTTCGTGAGCTGATTAAGTAGGACATCCGGGCAGATATTTCAGCTGAACCAAAATTCTATTCAAATACACGACCCTATAAAATCAATCCACATCTTGGTTCTACTCGGAGATTATCAGGTATCGTACCCATGGAAGACCTCCCTACTTCTACCCAGAAGGGATACGATATCCGGTCTCAACATAGACGTTTGCCCGGAGAACGGTTTCAGCGGTTCAGGGCTTCGGCCCAGCCCCTCTTGCGCGGGTTGCGTGCGTAACGGGATCCATTCAGGGCCAACCCCGTCTGACTCCATCTGACTCCATCTGGTATTAAAGCGGTTTCGGTTTCCGTGTAGTCCCTATATACCAGCATTTTGGGATGACTTGAGAGAGTCCCTTGAGCTGATCCTAGGTCTCAGTCATCCCTTAGATCTACAATATGGTGGAATGTCAATATTTTATGCAGGCCGCATGCAACATAGGAAATTCTCAATTACCGACCGCTGAACAGCTCCCCATATGATTCCTTCTGGAAATCAGCAGGTGTCATCGAGCTGACCCCATACATCTAGATTGGATACTATGTCTACTTGACATCCGGAACGATTATTGGTCATAGATACTATTCAAGCCATGACCACTTCTAGATCAATGATGTTCTCCACGAAGAATTGTATAATATACAGCGAGGAGGTGAGGCCCGAATATTCTATTCTCCGAGAAATGAAATTCGATCCAATGCATTCAATAGTATAGGAAGATGAGATGCATGGTCACTAGATCTGCGCGGTTTTCAGCCTCATGAGGTTAGTATGCGTTAGCTAACAAACTTTTATATATCTGCCAAACGCATCTTACATGCTCTTCTCAGCACCCAAAGCGGCTCTTGAACATGATAAAGTGCATCGCAGAGCCTAACGCTGGATCTTCTGAGACATTCGAGCTGGTCCACCAAGAGCCCCGGTTTGTGGAGTATGGGCGATGATCCGATGTAGATCCAATTCTATCATGCAGCACATAATTATCAAATATCTCAAAGGCCTTCAGCTTCACATTTGAATCTCAGAAAAAACGCAAACAAACTTTCGCTCGCTTGACATCCGCCGGGAATCCCATACATAGTTTTTAGAGCTATCTATTCTCAAATGACCTTATCTAAGACCAATAGTGGACCATACACTACAGTGCATAAATCATAGTCGACGGTTACTCCAGACTACAAGGTGGATCAAGCATGGCATCGTGTCAAGCACGATTCACATTGCTTGCTTATCACCCCATACTCGGCTCGGCTTGTCGGTCTAATGATGACCGTCCAAGATCTGAAAGCGCTATAACTAATTAAGCCTGAACGAGCAAAATCAGGGTCCAGCCTATTTCCTATTGGGCAAGGTATGCGCCTTCAGAAAAGCTGAATTATGTGGCGTGCAGAGTAGACCAGGACTTGAGATCTTCCCAACGCCCCTATAACTCGGATGACCTAACAGGGCATAAATTGTAGGCATAGCCCTAGTGACCCAACTCTCTCTCTATATACGTATATATATTCCATGATATAGTAACATCATTCAACTCAATAAATAAACAGCGATTCTCAAGTATTTGCAAGAAATCTTCCGGCCCTCAACTTCCCCGGGTTCTCCACAATCTACACGACTCCGTATTTGATCCAAAAGGGCATACCCCTTACACACGCTAATTGGCTTCTGGGGAAGCTACCCGTCCATCAGTGTCTCTGATTGGTCTGTCTGTCCCGTTGTGCAATAAGATCATTGCTAGCGAACTAGGAGCGAATGGCAGCTGATCGAAAGAGAATTGTGTGGCTTCGCTATGCATTATCCCGCTGCCGGAACCCTTGTGGCTCCATGTGAAGCTGGGGAAAACCTGGGGCTTGTTTATAAATCCCCATTGTTTTCTGCGTCCAGTTTTGCTACATGCTTGCAGATCAACGGGTCTATATTTGTTGATAATCTTACCAACCACTATGGGTATTTTCAAGCGGAAGATCACCGTTGAGGACCATGCCGTCACATCAGCAATTCACTTGACTTTGCGACAGTCTCTACTTCCAAATGCGTTGGGTATGTATTAGCTTATTGTATTTGATTGGTGAAGATCTAATATGGGTCCCGTAGTTATGATCCTCTTTTTCCTTTGGGGCTTTGCATACGGATTGCTGGATGTTCTGAACTCGCATTTCCAAACAACTCTTAATATCACCGCTAGCAAGTCAAGTGGTCTCCAAGCCTCATACTTCGGTGCCTATTTCATCTGTCCTCTGACAGTATCCGGCTGGATCGCCCGCAAATATGGATTTCGAGTTACCTTCATGACTGGTAAGAGACACGAGGTTGCTTCCAAAAATTCCATTTGTATCGACCGCTGACACATCCTCTTGCAACCTAGGTCTGGCCGTGCTAGCTGTTGGATGTCTTCTTTTCTGGCCCAGTGGCGTGAACAAGTCCTTTGGGGGATTTTGCGGTAGCATGTTTGTACGTGAAACAAGCCAGCTCGCTCCGAGATGTTCTTCTAACCATGCCGATAGGTTGTTGGTGCTGGGCTATCCACACTAGAGACCGCTGCAGACCCCTTTCTCTCGATCTGCGGACCCCCAAAATACAGCGAGATTCGTCTGAATCTAGGACAAGCCGTCCAGGGAGTGGGAACCTTTGTTGCGCCCCTTCTTGCCTCCCGCGTCTTCTTTGCAAACACCGTAGACGACAATGCTGGGCTGAAAAATGTCCAATGGACATACCTTGGGGTGGCTTGCTTTGTCGCTCTGCTTATCATTCTCTTCTGGTTAGTTCCTTTCCCTGAGATCACAGATGCGGACCAGGAAGCTCTAGAAGTGCGAATCTCCGACCACGGTGAAACCACCGCCCCGTTCAAAAAGCAATATAATCTGTTCTTCGGCGTGTGGAGCCAGTTCTGCTATGTGGGAGCACAAGTGGCCGTCGCGGGTTATTTTATCAACTTTTGCAAAGAGGCTGGTAAAACATCTGCAGAATCATGTAAGTGACATAAAAAAGACTATGTCTAGATGTCGAAGCCTAACAATACTCCTAGCCGACTTGCTTGCCATTGCGCAAGGTCTATACGCTTTCAACCGTTTTGTGGCTACTGGCTTGATGATGATGAAAGCTTTCAAGCCTCGATATATGTTGACCGTATACTTGACACTCTGTGTCGTCTTCTCGGTGGCCGCCATAACCACAAAGGGATTTACTTCAGTGGCGATGATTATCCTTGTTCTGTGCTTTGAGTCGGTCAGTAATCCGACGAATCGGTAAACTAGGCCCTATATCTAACGAAAATTCTCAACAGTGCTGCTTTGCAACTATTTTCTCGCTAGCTCTTCGTGGCCTTGGTCGTCACACTAAGCGTGGTGGCTCTCTGCTTGTTGCGGCTATCTCAGGTGGCATGGTCTTCCCTCCTATGATGGGAGCTATTGTGGTTCGTTTGCATAACCTGACTTTAGGGCTTTCTCAAGTTTCAAATACTAATATGATGGTACTTTACAGACAAACAAGAATGCGCATATTGCCATGGTGATCCCAATGATGGGCTTTGTCCTCGCATTGGCTTTCCCCATTTACGTGAACATCTTCAATAAAGATGTCATGGACAGCCACCGGGACACTGAGATTAATGTCACAATTGCCGTGGGGAAGGACATTGCTTTGGAGGAGGGTTCTCAAAATGAGCCTGCATCTGCAGCAGCCGAGACAATAGAGGACACGAGGAAATCTTAGGCTAGGTTTGGTATCCTCTTAACGAATCTATAGTGTAGAATTTCTCGTATATATATTTATGCAGGTTCTTTGTTATGAAAGAAGGTAAACGCTGTGACTTGGGGTAAAGTGAAAACTCCAATGCGTTAATTCTGGTATTGCCCGTAACGATTTCTCATTGTATTAGTGGACAGCATACCATACACCTTTCAACATAAGAATCATAATTTCCAATGCCTCGGGCTCCTGGGAGTATCTGGAAACGAGTGGGCTTTCCATGGGGCTGCTAATGCGGGTAGGCTTGGGCCGCTTGGCAGTATCCAGGGGCCTGTTTGGAGCAGAGAGTAGTCTACTTCCGCTTCGTATTCCAGAAACGGCTCAAGAACATTTGCCCCCATCCGCCCCACAAAGTATATCGCTTTCCTGAGTCTCAAGAAACTTACAGACATTCACTATAGCTTCCATAAAGTGAAGTCTCCATTTGTCGTCTAGAGTAGTCCAGGCAACTGCAAGCGTCCGACCCTGGACCTTACCAAGAAAGAAATATGAGCGGCCGTGGCGTTCTGCTTGGGATAGGACCTTTGGTATATCGAAATCAGGCTGCTACCTATCGACGAATGCTATTGTTGCAGCCTCTTGTGTTACACCAAGCACGCGGAGCCTGAGCTTGCAAAAGCGACTGTTTCCTTTAGACCATACCGCAGAGCTATCGCCGACATCATAGACTAATCTGATTTTGGGGTCGGTCAACAGTTCGGCGGGTGGCGGGGGGATAAGCGCATCGGGGACAGTCTCACTTGAATAATCTTCTTGATCGTACCAGGTAGAGATGTCGTGATAGCCTTTCAAACGGTGGAGTTGAAGTGGACCGATGAGCCATGTGTCTGCGTCCACCTGCTTGATTGATTCCCTCACCAGGGGGTTCTATATGTTGAAGGCAAGTTGTCAAGTCTTGCTGGGCTTATTATCAATTATGGGTCAAATAGAATGGGTGAAACGCTTGGTGAGTGACGTGGAGATTTCGAGGGGAATAGAATAAGGTGAAAGACTGGGAAGTGGTCAATATACCCGGTTGGGCATAACATGCTGCAGCTCAGCCTCCATGTCATTGAATCACATTTAGAGTGGAGTGGTCCAAAAGTGAGCTAGAAAAACTGCTCAATTATGGAAATTCTTGTAAAATTGAGATCTAGGCCAAGAGTCCTTACATCCCCAACATTAGTGCCCCTGTTTACGAGGGTCCGCCCATATGATATCTGTAGCCTCCCGGGGTGTAATTTGTGGGAATATATGATCCAATACGGAGTATGCAGAGATCTTTCAGAGAAGACATGAACTCATAAAGCATCTCGCGACAACAAGAAATTAGATCTGCTATGATTTTGAGAGATGTTCCAAGAGTCTGCGACTCGTATATTGGTCAGACAGGGCTCAATCAGCGCCTTTGTTCCTTTGAGAGGGCGAATAGCTCTAATTGTCAGATAGCCTCCACACCCATCTATACATGGATATCTAGTAGGGTTCTCCCTGTGTCGCTCTTTCTACTGTGGCTTTCAACATTCTCGTTCTCCATGTCCGTATTATTCTTACTTTGGCGTTCGAGTTACCTACAGTACCTAGTATACAATGATGCTATGGGGTTTCGTGAAGTTCATGATCTACAATGAGAGCCCAATCATCGTGATTCACATGTCATAACCATCGTAACTTAAGATATTTCACAAACCCAAGCGCGCATCCCAACTTTGTCGCAAAAGCAAAACAAAAAGAAAGATCTGATTATGAGGGGAGTAGTTCAGAGTTCTTCACGCACTCTCTCCGTTTGCTCGGCGACCTTCTTCTGGACTTTTTCGGCAGCTTCAGTGCCTTGTGCGCGACCGCTCGCAGCGCCTATCTTCAACTGCTCCATAACCCAGTGCACAGTATCCATAATCCTGGAGTAGATAGTCTGTTGCGGGTTTGTGGTGCCGTACTTGAAGTACTGGGCGTTGCGCCGGGCCGCAGCTCGGAGCTCATTGATATTCGAGCCTTGGTAGGTAGGAACACCGTAGTTGTCCAAGTATCGCTTGAGCTCGGATTGCGACCATTGGTCGAAAGTAGAGTCCTTGGCTGTGCCAGTCGCCTGAGCAAGGGCAGCGGTCGCAGAGGCTAACTGTTCGCCGCCAGCTTGAGAAGCCTTAGTGTAGTAGTCCTGGGCTTGCTTGATAAGCTCTTCGCGGGAGGCATCGATCTGCTCCACAGCCTTGTGGTTCACGGAAGATAGGTATTTCCTGTGGAAGGTCAGTCAGTGAGATCACAATCAACAGACGGGTATGTACTGACAGCAGGTGTTCTTTATCCCAAGTATCGAAGTTATACTGGTTCCATCCACCGGCAGCTTTGTGGGCGTTGGCGCGGACTTTCGCGGTGAGCTCATCACGCTTGCTATTCTGAGGGACGGGGATGCCTCGGGCATCAAGGAACGCCTTCAGGCGGGAGTTAGACCAGCCACTCAACGCAGTTTCGAAAGCATCCTCAATCTTCAGCTTGGCAAAATCGGTAGCGCGTGCATATTCGTTTCCAGCCTTAGTGGTGGCAGCACCAAAAGCATCCTCCACGGCGGAGGAGGCACTTGCCACCTGACCAGAAAGATAGTGCCGATTTTTCCGGGCAAGAGCAATGAGTTCATTGCGCTTTGAGCCCTGGGGTACCTTGACATTGTGCTCGTCGAGGAATTCCTTCAGCTTGGAGTCGGACCAGGCGTTGAAAAGCTGATCACTCAGTGTCTCCTTGGCAGCCTCAGCCTCAGCGGATGCAGATGCAGCAACGCTCTGGGACTGCAAGCTGATGATGCGCGAGTTGCGGCGAACAGAAGCAATGAGCTGGTCACGGGTAGTCGGCTGGGGCACCGGCCATCCACGCTCGTCGAGCCATTCCTTAAGATCCGAGTCGGACCACTCTGAATACAGCCAGTCTCCGGGGTAGGAAGCCGCTTCACCAACCTTGGTTGCGACCATCTCGTAGTTCTCACGCGCGGTCTTGATCAGAAGGTCGCGTCTGCGGGGCTGGGGGGCAGGAATGCCGTGGCGATCAAGGAATGCCTTCAGCTGAGAGTCGGACCAACTGTACCGGTCAGCTTTCATTCACAACAGGGGGAGTGAGTACCTTACCTATCAAAGATCCATTCTCTAGCATGGTGAAGCTCATGGTTGAAGTTATCGGCAGCTTGTCCAAGAGGCTTCTGCACTTTGTTATCCCAATTGGTCTTGACCAGGTTCTCCAGGTCGCGGCGGTCGGCAGGACTGGGATGGGGGATATCTGTATCAAGTGTGAGTATATGAAGGTGCCAGAGAGACCAGCATTACATACTGTGGTCCGAGAGCCATCGCTCAAGCTCAGTCTCATGCCATTTATTGTAAACTGATGGTGTTAGCTTTCAAACCGAGAGCTTTGTACCGAAGACAACATACTAGCCTTGCTCCACCAGCTAGAAGCTGCGACTGCTTCAGTGGAAGCGAGCAAGCAGATGAGGCCAGTGGCCAAATTCAACTTCATTGTGAGAGATGAGCAAAATGATAGTTGCAAGAGATGTTATGAATGGATGTAAAGAGAACGGGAATGGAAGATTTTAAAGAGAGCTGCAAAAGCAAGAAAGGGCCATGATTGCGCAGTGACGTAGTTGGGGAATTTGCCTTGGATAGAGTGCATCATCCATTCTGTGGACCTCTCACATTACTATTGATTTCTTTCATTCTTTGTTAGGATTCATATTCTATTTGGATATGTCTTCATGACAGGTTTTTATTCAATATTCTCTGCTCTGTATTGCAGTCTGATAAAATCGCAGTGAAGGGTGTTATAGTATGGATTACTTAAAGCGGTTTAGTTCATTTTAGCTTAATTATTGATGCCTGGAGTGTAAGGCAGCATATCTTCATCTTGGCATGACTACTCTGTAGTGATTTTATTTTTCTACTCATTCTCTACTTCGGATGCGAATCATCAAGTTTCAAACTATAGACACACTCGAGGTGCGGCTGAATATCTACAAGTGGCGATAATCCCCAACGCAGTCGCCTGTCATCCACCAACTGGCCACCCCCAAACCCCACGAATATCTTGCCTGATGATCCTCCACAAAACCCCAAACAAAAGACTCGGTGGGAAAAATGCAAATCCCAACATAATCAAATCCGCATCCAATCCCAATCCTCCCGGTAAAAGATTCCCCATGCCTTCATCATCTCCACATCATTGAAGTCTAGCCCTTGGGTCCAAAACTGCGCCATTTTGGCTTCGTTCAGGTATGAATTCTAACACGGAATTTCTCCTTTTTTCTATCTTTCACAATCCTCTCTCTCTTCTTCTTCTCTCAAAATCTTGTAAAAATAGATCGTTAATATGGAAACCTCCCTTACCCCTGATGGGCACGTCAGTTCCGTAGTTTAGGCTGTCGCCATCTTCACTCAGCTTCATACAAGCGGCTTTCGAACCCTTCGTCTATCACAGCCTAGCCGTTTATAGTGATGAGTACAAACAAGAAGGACGGCGTGGAATTTCTCCCGCAACTTTGCAAAGGATCACATCCGGCGATCATGCTATACGACAAACCCGGATCAGAAGCCTAGAGTACACGAACCTCATCCCCTACGAACTATTGGACTGGACTACACGTAAAGAGGGGAATACAGAAGCTTAATGTATAAACAAATTTATCAGAATGGCTCACGATCTAGCTTTCCAGACTGCGATAGTTAACCTCTTGCAGGAGCTTCATTCGTGGAAACAGGCTTCCCGTCTGGGAATGGACCTAGGTGTTCGGAGAGGCCAAGTGGACACTGCGCCAGAACCACACACTGGGGAATGTGAGATCGCTGGTCAATAGCTTTGGGACTATAAAAATGGCCCCAGGCTTTCGGTCCCACCTTATAGGGCGCAGTCTCTCCATACGCGGGATTTAGCATCTGTGATGTGCATTGAGAAATTCTATTTCGCAATTGAAATTGGTCTTGCACGCATCTTCGGACTTGGACTGAAGCAATTGAAACAATCATCCAACACTGTCCAGAGATCTACGAGTTGACGCTGAATGTTGATGAATGGGTCCGTCCTGATCACCTGGAATATATACAATCACGTCGCACAGGTAAGCTATGCCTTTCCCTGTCGTAGGTTCTCTCTTCTGCACTGACATGGTTTACTGATAGCTTGATATAATTGGGATCTCTTATTAGATCTATCCCAGATAGTCTAAAGGTGCTAGACTATGAAGGGGAGATGGAAGAGCATTGGAAGCAAACCCTGTCCCCACTCAATATCATTCCTTTGGGGATTGACAGTATGAGCATCAACTTGCGAGGTCTCAATGTTCAACTCTGGGAATGAAAGTTCAAAAATGGCGCTATTTCGTATGACTTTATGTGTCCTTTGGACGGAGAAGGCAAGCCCAAACTAGGCTTTGTACACTGGCCCTATCTGAAGGTCTTAGAGGTTGAGTGTGTGCCACCCTGGCTCGCGGCAATTCCGCCCCGGGACGATCCCCGGGACGCGCTGATCGTAAAGCCCGGCCTGCCATATACGAGCTTGAAGGAGCTCCCCGAAGGTGCAATTGTGAGCACGTCCTCTGTTTGACGCTCGGCCCAGCTTCGCCGTCTCTACATCGATCTTCGCTTTGCGAATATCCGCGGAAATGTGGAGACTCGTCTGGCCAAAGTCGATAAGCCAGACAGCGAGTATACGTGCATGATTATATCCGTCGCAGGTCTGGAGCGTGTGAGTCTCAAGTATCGTATCAACCAGTACCTGCAATCTAAGAATGGGGGCATTTTTCATGCCGTTGGGCAAGGTGCCCTGGGCTTGGAGATTCGCAAGGGAGATACGAAGATGCAAAAAGTAATTGACCAACTGGGTGACCGAAAGTCAACTCTCGCCTGCCTTGCTGAGCGGTCGCTCATGAGAACTCTTGAAGGCGGTTGCAGTGTTCCCATTGGGGTTGAGACAGAGTGGATCCACCCCGAGGACTTGAAGATGAAGGCTATTGTTGTCAGTCTGGATGGTTCTGAGGGTGTTGAAGATTCCCTTGAGGGGAGTGTTCAGACTATCGACGATGCAATGGCCCTCGGAAAAGAAATGGCGGCAAGACTGGTCAAGGCTGGTGCAGAGGCAATCCTCAAGGACATTAACATGAGCCGTCCATCCAAGGATTGATAGAAAGTCTGGAGCTCAGATAACTTAGCATAAAATAGAGAACGGATGGCCCTTATATGGCTAACCCCCGATATACGCGCCATACTCATGTCCGTGTCGATGTACACCGTCGGTATAGTTCCTGCTGTAGCTGGTAGACACTAATCCCAAATAGGGATAGCGAAAACACTAATACCTGCGTTCAAGGCAGCAAGGCAACAAGGCAAAGAGGGATGCCCAACGACGTACTCAACTTTACCTATAATATCTTGGGAAGTCTTCTTCTTTGTCTCCAAAAATAACAAATTTCCTCTCCTATTTGTGAATGAGAGAGTGGAATATCCAATGTGACAAACTACGTACTGCGTAATCAGCTGTTGTCACGAGTCCCCGACCCCGACCTCCTCAGCTGAGCTTCATACATTGTAAACGACACAGCAATGGACCCATTAACACCCTACTGCCGCGAGCTGGCCTCGCCAGGCATCTTTCAAACCGTGCTATCTGTGTATGTACCCCCCAATTAAAACATAATAGCCCCTAGTCACTAACATACCATAGCCTAATTATCCTCGGCATCCTTCTCTCATACCTCCCCCAACACCTCCGCATCATCTCTCGACGAAGCTCCTTCGGCATTTCCCCATATTTCATCCTCCTAGGGGTAACATCAGGGACATCGGCATTTGCCAATATACTGGTATTCCCATCCACCGCGCAAGATGTCGCCTGCTGCCAGGAGATCAGCGGGATCGCCTGTTTCGCAGGGTTACTGGGGGTATTCCAAGTGGGAATGCAATGGCTCTGTTTCTTTTCCATGTGAGTTAAATGAGTCCCTTGGTGATTTGTGGTTCTTCATTTCCGACCGACCATCAACACCCGATCTTGTCTGACGGTATCCAGTCTTTTGCTATTCGTGATCTACTTCCCGCGCGCCACATCCCCCACAGACCCAGTAAGCACTGTGTCATCCACCTCCGGCGGACCGACATATCGTACCGCGCTCTCAATAACGGGGATATGTCTACTGCACGCGCTCGTCACGATCATCATTTCACTAGCCTTCAAGTTGCGCCATCCGGCCGCCGTTCAGGCCTGGGCGAACTTCCTTGGTGTACTATCCGCGGTGCTTGCGTCGATCCAGTACTTCCCGCAGATCTATACTACCTTCCGGTTACGGTGCGTGGGGAGCTTAAGTATTCCGATGATGTGCATCCAGACGCCAGGGAGTCTTGTCTGGGCTGGTAGTCTGGCCGCTCGCAAGGGTTGGAGTGGCTGGAGTATTTGGGGTGTGCTCGTTGTCACGGCCTGCTTGCAGGGTACCTTGTTGGCGATGGCAATCTATTTTGAGTACTTCGGATCCAACAACAAGCGGGAAGTTGGGCAGCTGGCTGATGGCAATGAGGCGCCCAATGGATCGGCTCATGCTGGTGAAAGCGCACAGCAAGAATCTGCGCATGAGGAGCGACCATCTGAGGAAACTCCACTGCTTCAGAGCCAGTAATGTGCACAAGACAGAAGTTCTTTCGGTTGCTTTTATATACTGCTTATCTCGTAGCTTGATAGAAACGAAATTCCATACAGATATAGAATGATCGGTGATCCAAAAAATAAATTCTTAATAAATTCTGACATGGGCATATCACAAGCCGAGGGTGTCACTGGCGACAGAACGACAGATCTTTGACCTGGTCATCTCCAATGCATATCCTCTTCACAAGAAAGCACATCTCCCTGTCATCGCGTCGTGGTATTTGTTTCGGGAGCCAGTAATTTACTGGGCGCTGTAGATCAGGCGGAAGACGTCGTTGAGCACGAAGTAGCTTCCAGCACCATCGGGCTGCAGCTTGAAGCACTGGGTGTAGTTCATGGGCTTTTGCTCCTCATCGACCTATTTACGAGGGAATTGGCATTAGCAAAGAACACGGATGAAATCATGGGAGTTCAACATACCAGGAGGGCACCGGTAACCAGCACAACGATACCGTCTGCGCTAGAGGGCTGAGCGTCGAAGGTGGCAATCTGGTGCTGAACCTTCTGGAAAGGAAGACCCTATTGAAATCGCAAAATCAGTATTGGAATATTCCCCTCATGTTGACCTTCATGGGTCAGGATTTGGGGTCGACGAACGCCAAGCTTCTCGGTGATGGCAGCGGCACCCTGGACCGAGTCGGTCTCAAAGGTAAGCATAGACTGGTCACGCTATTGGTTGAGATTTTTGTCAGTCCGAATTCACATATCTCGTTTGTGAGGATATCTCGAGGGCGGGGCTTACGTAGAGACCGGCCAGGCCAGCGCGGTTTCCGTCGAAGGTCTGGTAGTAGAACTGCACGAACTGCTCTGTACATGTTGATCATAGGTTAGGATATGATACTTTGTGTATAATATGACAGCCCATCTCTTCAAGACCATTTCCACCTAGGGTGACCAGGATCATTGGGAACAGGCGCATTGCGGGATCCGTGTAGATGAAGGAAAGTATGGGTATAACATACGAGCGATAGCGTTGAAGTCTGCATAGATCACCAAGCGTGTTAGCCAATTTCTCATTTTCTGTGTTTGCGTTGTTTCTTTCATCAATCCCCATTGCATTGCGCAACATCGTCACACACTGCTGTCTGGGATCCAAACGATCAAACTCCTCCCTTTCGGAGGCGACATAGATTGAAGTGCGAGGAAGAAAGACATACCAGCCATTTTGAAGAAGTTGGAGGGTTTGGAATAAAAGAAGACAAGGTGCGATTGTATTTGAAGGGTGTAGGAAGTTGAGCGCAAAAGGAGAAAGGTATTTGTTGATGAGGGGTTGTGGGGCAGGAAATGTTCTGCCGATGATGCCTGGCTGCCTTATGTATTGATCGTCCAAGAGCCTCCATCTTGAAAGTACGACTATCTCTATTTATACTAGAGAATGTTTCAAAATAAATTCATTCATTGTATTCATTACATGTATCTTTTCACTTATCGTTCAATGTTATCCATACGATTGCAATCCTGCCCAACCTTACTCCGAATCCGACGCGAACATGTCTTCAGCTTTGGGCCGTGGCTTTCGTCGCCGTGTTTCTGGCTGCTGCTGCCCAGCCGATTGTTCGGATTTGTCAGATAGAGTTGGGTGCTGAGGTGGCTGCTGGGGGTTCTCGAATTGGGTATCTTCATCGCCCGACACTTTGAGCATAGGATCCCCATCAATGTTCTTCAGGTCATAGATTTCCATTGCAACGCCATCTTTTTCATCCATTGACTTGCTGGCTGGATGGGTAGAGGCAGATAGCTTATTCTCATTCGTAGGGCGAGTAGGATCAAACTTTCCACCTCGCTCATCATCAACTGTCTTCCATCGACTCTTGCTTTTGGCAAATGCAACAGCAGCTTGCTCTGCATGGGCCTTCTCTGTCTCCTTCTGAGTCTGTAATTCGGCGTCTGTAAGCGGGGGTTTTTCAAACACTTGGGTAAAATGCTCCTGGTTCAACTGGGTAAAACAACACCACCCTTCCCACTGGCGTAAAAGGGCGCCAACGCTGCGCTTCCACTTCTCTGCTTTCAGTCGTCCCCATTTAAGGTCCTTATCCAGTCGGCCAAGGTGTTCAAATACCTTGCGGGAGCGGAGAGCGTTTTCAAACAGCTGCCGGTATCGCCATGCATGGCGCCCACCACCGTTTGCCGAATTGAAAAGAATATCATTTATTATGTTAAGAGCAACAAGCTTCGCGGAGGACATATCAATAATATCCTCGGATGAGGTGGCGCTGTCATTGTCTGCGGTCGCTATTCTGGCGGCATTCCTTTCCCGTTCAAGGTTTGGGTTTGCCCCCGTGTAGGCTAGAGGGCAAAAAACGTTTCGAATAACCATGTCGACAACCTCGGACGCTCCCACTGCCGCGTGATCAATCGCGAATGCTGTAACTCGTGCAACATCTCCTCGTCGAAGCCTTGCATTGGTCGTCGGAAGTCGTGCAAGAAGATGGCTAAGTTTGGCCATCTTTAGAGGGTTCAAGAAAGTGGGTTTATCGCTGTGTGTGTTGATTCCGTCTGAAGGTGCTCCACCAATGTGCCGTCTTTCATCTTCTCCATCCGAGTGTTCTTCGTCGGACGAGTTGTAGTCGGTGTGTGAGACAAATTGCTTCAGGCGAGTAACGTTCTCAAACTTGAGGCCTTCTTTTGGGGATAACCAGAGCAGACCACCTTCAAAGATGATCGCGGGCTTATCCATGCTCTTTTTTATGGGATCAATGTTAGTCTCCCACAGCTTCCAACGGTAGTATGAACCATCAGGCGATCTTGGATCGAATAACCAGGCCCACTTTTCGTCCATCTGGACTTCTGGCCGACTCATCAAGAATGCTTCAAATCCAGGACCTTTCTTAGCGAGTTGCTCAATAGTCATGTGTATCTGTCTTAGCACCTTTGCGTCTGTGGGTAGTTGCACTGGCACCTGATGGACCGGGCCATTTCTGCCAACGGTTGATCCATACGAGCTCGGGGGTGCGAATCCCCCACGATGTGGCCCTGGTGGTGGTGCGCGATTCAGGCGTGTGCCGGAACTCGGTGGAATAGGTGTAGCGCCAAACATAAGAGAAGTAGTAGTCGATGGGAGTGTGATGGGCAAGGGCATGTTTGGATTGATCGCAGCAGAGGAAAGGTATCGACAGAGGGTCAAGTAGTATCCCCGGCCAAGGTATTTGTTCTGCAGGGTGCTCACAGCTGTGTCGATATTAGAGGCGGCCGAGTCGCTTGCAAGGGTGACGAGAGCAGAAGAGGACACCCGGTGGGTTGGCAATTGCCCGGGTGGGGTGATGACCTTCACATTGTCCACGCTCAGGGTCGAGGGGATCAATGCCTTGATCGCTGACGGAGATGTTCCGGGGGAAGCGAAGCAAGATACAATGTGGGTTTGGGAGCTGCTCTCTCCTCGTCAAGTACCCTGTCGGCTTCAGGTGAAGTAAGCATGTTTTCAAAATTGTTGTCGCGACGCGAGAGGGGGAAGGTTTCGTGGGAACGTTTTTGTGAAAGTGAGGGCGGCGGGGGAGCTAAGGGTCCATGACCACTGCCGCGTGAAGACGAAGCTGCGAAATGACGCCTAGGAGGACCACCCTTGGTTTTAAATGTATTCCATCCTCCATCCAATGACTGTGGTACAACTGGATCCTCGTCTTCGAACGATTTGACAAACTCTTCATAAACTGCAGCTGTCTCCGCTTTTTCCCGGGCGCGTTTAGCCTCTGCTTCAGCTTTTTGACGCTCAAAAAGTGATTTCTTTGGAAGCGCGGAGAGCTTCGCCGAGACGTCGGGGAAGCTCTTTCCCTTCGACTCGTCAGACATGATGAAATCGGCTGTAACTGCAGCGGCAAATGCCAGCCAGGGGGCAGAAGCAGAATAGGCAAAATTGATGAAGATACGCAGAGACAGCAGTTCTAGATGAGTTAAAGAATCAATACCTTCATCTCTACCGGTAGATGACCCTCAATCATGGGCGGTCGGAATTGAGCCAATCATCGGACGTCACATTTAGCACGTGTTTGGCAGTAAATATACTTGAAATGGTAGGCGGTGTAAATGGATGGAGTTGAAAGTCGCCACCCTCTGCGACTACATATGTTGTACCTATGTATCTGGGATATACCGCTTATCGTTTGACGGGCTTCTTTGATGGATAGGCATCTACCTGGCAGAATATTAGGTGGTCAAACTTCTTTTTATTGACTTTACTAACAACAACATAGTCATCTTGGAAGCGCCTAATAACCGTGCTAAACGCCCAGCTTGTTGGGCGCTTGGCCCAATTGTAAATATCTAACTAGCAGGTATAAGTGTATGGGGAGTTGAGCCTTGCGAAAAGCTGGACCGCGTATCCAACATATAGATACATATATAAATATATATACCTAGGCAGATACATAGATATGTTGTATGCAGATACAGTCATGTGACTGTATGATCTGCAGGGATCCACTTGAAACTCCCGTCCCTTTCTCCCATCCAATCAAGCCCAAGGCCTACCTACCTAGGTAGGTATGTACGTCATGCCGAAGAGAAAAGCATCTGAAACTGCTACAACCCGATCTCGTATCCGTAGCGGTCTCCCATTAGCGAACCACCATCTTTTATTGGTGAAAAATTGATGCTCGCAGCTGGAACGATATAGAAATTCGATGAATTGAGTCTCACAAGAACAAGAGCCAAGAAAAGCAGGCGGGGATGCCTTGTTGACTGAGTCCCCGATGTATTGCATCAGTTACGTGACAATGCATGCATTTACTAAATATGTGAAGATACTTGGTTCTGCCTCGTATGCTCAGACTTGACATGCATCGTTTTGATCATTGTAATAATATGTCTAATTGCCATACTAACAAATTTACAGCAAAGACCCGAATTCCCAAAGCACTCGCCCCGACAAACTCAAAGCGAGAAGACCAATTAGAGCAAAAGCTCGCTGGGCCCAATTCAATTCTCGGGGTGAAGCTTTCCCCTCTGATGCGAAGAAACGAGATAATTGGCACTGCGTCGTGCTTATGATGAGGTGAAATCTCACTGACAACACCTTCGACGGTCTAAAGAATCCACTGGAAGTCATTGTTCCCATTTCTTTCGAGCATTTTATGCTAATATTAAACTATGGTGTTCTCCTCCTAACTATCATATATTCGAGTCTTGGAATCAGAGAATGACCTTGCTGTATGGAGAGTCATACATGAGCGCATGTGCTCCGGTTTCTTTGGTTGTTTTATTACTACCGTGTATCATTGCCATCGGTAGCACATGAGCCAGCCGGGTTACTTTTCGGGAGTCTTTGATAGCATTTCAAATGAACCCGAGATTTGGTTGCCTTGATTTTGAACTGATGCCAAAAAAATAAATCACATAGCCCTCGTGGTTTTCAAACTCACGCTTGTTGTTGTAAACACTAGATATCAGCTATTGTCGTACACGGCCCTAGATATGTATCCACCCATTCCCTTTTTGGCGTGATTACGATTTCGGAGCTTCGGGATCGCCTTCAGCGACCAACTTTCCGACAACCAGGTACTTCTCCAAGAAGCGGTCTTCCCACGACTGTAGGTTCTCTAGTTGGTCCGCGTCCAAGTCCTTCAGATCATCCAGCGGTGCCGACAAGTCCTTTGTCAGCATCTCCTCATCGAAACTCTGGCAAGCCAAGCCGCGCGAGGCATCCCGGCCAGCGAAGTTCTCATAAGGCCCACCCTGTACCGATTGTTTTGTTAGCTTCAGCTCCAGCGGTGCTGTCTGGGTAGCATTTTACGAATCCCAAAAACATACCGGCCCATAGAAGTTCCTGCCGGGGGAGACATCGAAGACGCGGCCGCGGACGGAGAGGTAGACGGGCCGGCCTTCCTCGCCGTTGAACTCAATCAAGGTTTTGGGGGTGTAAGTCTTGAAGACAGTTGGTGGCGGGCCACGAGGGAGAACGATTGGCGCCTTGGGGCGGAAGTGCCAGTATACCAAGACTCCAAAGAGGGAGACTAAGATCAGGTTAATGGGCGAGGCGACAGACATCCTGTTGGGCAGCGAGCGGTTAGTTCGGTTGGGGTCTCATCTTCCGTTGCGTATCGAGTGAGAGCTGGGGGATACGAACACTTCAGCCTGTGGCACGGAATTATCTAGGATTTCCAGATTAGCGTGAGGTGTTCAGAACAAAGTCGTAGGACACATACCCATCGACGCAAATGGATTTACAGAGAAACCTTGCGAAGACCGGAAGCTCGGATGACATCGACCTCCCCGCCCCACGTGATTGGACCTTATATGGACATTCTCTTTGATTTGGATTCGCATCCACACAGGTTTATATTTAGGAAATCTACATTCTGACATGTGAATTGATTGGCTAGGCTCCCGGGCTTCATATGTAAAATGTAAAACGCCCGGAGTCCCTGAAATGTTTCAAGCTCTCTCCACTGGATCGCCCCCATTTTAATCTGCCCACTTCTATTAGCGGATGCCATGTCATTTCCATGTTATTTCCAACATTGATTTCTAGTTCCTCTTTTCTTTTCTGCAGTGTTCACCTCGTTTTGGTCTACATTATTCTTGCGTTCGGTCCTATATTCTATAGGCTTCCGTGTTAGGCTGTGCATTCTGGCCAAAATAGAGCCCCTTCCTTATTTTGCGATCCTTTACCTCTTTTCATTCCTTTTCATTACCTCTGCTGTGACTTAAACTTATGCATTGCTTTGCGTGAACTCTGCGCTTTCTTTTCCGACCAAAACCAGCCCGGTATCACGTCTAGAACGTGAGAAAATCAACATGTGGTCTAAACGGCCGTTCCACAAGGCCAAGCGGCCCTCGATCAGCGGCCCCATATTGAACAGCAATCCGCCCACCACATCAGACCCTGTGCATGATTTAGTCGCAAAAAAGTTGCCCCCTCTACCTGAGTAAGTCTAGTGTTTGTTAATACTCTAATAGCACATAATATCTAATGGGAAATAGCGATTTACATTCGTCGCTACAACAGGATCCGGTTCTGAGTGGTGATATCAATGAAAGAGACTCAGACGTCTCGCCTGCTGTCTCGCCAATTCTGGAAGCTCATAGGCGGGAAAGTCAAGGTAGTTTCTGTGTCTCATCCATCGGTGACGGAGACGAATTCCCTCGTTATGCGCGACAGGAGACTCGAGCCTCATCATCGCCAAGTCCTATTCCCAAGGTAGACTATGTTGACACGCCTTCTCATTCCAAAGTTCAGCCAGTCCAGCCAGTCCAGCCAGTCCAGCCAGTCCGGAATTACCAGGAACCTACGCGGTTCATCTCTGGAAAAACGACGCAATGGGAGAACTTTTCCGGCGAACCAACCACGAATGATACCGGTAGAGCTCACCAAATGTATCCTCGCAACACCTCCTTCAACAGATCCTCCGGAGCTCATTCGTCCAACCTGCTGAATTGGGGTCAAGGTTTCAATCCCAAAAAAACCCTCAATGCAGCTCGACACCGGATCAGCAGTTTCTCCAAGACTGAAGATCTTTCGCACAAGCGCAATGGCAACGGTGGGCCAAACTCGAATCCCCCGCTTGAAAACTTTGGGTTCGCTCCTACAACTGTGACCACCATCACTGCCGGCGGTCCAGTATCATATCCCCGGAGACCGGCAACGGAGAACGCTCCACTTCGCTTGCAAGAAGAGCCGAAACCGATATTCAAATTCGAAGATGAGATCAGCAACATGATGCTCATGAGCAATGAACCTAGGAGCCGTTTCAGCGCAACTACATACACAGCCACCGAACCCGGCAGTCAGGATGCAAGCCCGCGGGGAAGTATGCAACTCCAAAGCCGGTCTACGGATGATGTATCCACATCCTCTATTATGTCCCGACGCCGCCCAATCCCAATCAGCGACCCAATTTCGAAGAAGCAGCCCGCCTCGACTAAGCCCGTCCGAAAACCCACTCCATCCCAGGTCGCACAGCAGGTCGGCCAGATGCCAGTGCAGTCGCCTTCGCCTCCACCTCCCCCGAGGTACCACTAGATGCGCAAGGCCGCGTCAAAGCAATGGAGAACAAGCGGGACGACCTTGAACAGCGCAGACTTAGTTTGGAGGCATTGATCGTTGATTTGAGCAAGGTCATCCAGCCTACCTCGGCTTTATATGATCTGGCTGCTAAGTCTGAGGCCCAGAAGAGCATAAAGGCCATAGAAAATGAGATTGATGATATCAAGAAAGAATCGCACGATCTTGGTCTGAAGATTTCACGAGCGTGGCGTCGCCTGGACGAGAAGGAGAATGCTGGTGATGGCAATCATCTCTGGGTCAAGCGAGTCACGAGTTAGTGACTGTTGGAATTTGATTGCTCTATGTACGGCTGACCATGGTCACATTTCTGATGATACTCTGAAGTTTGTTAGCGTCTTCTTTGTTTCCTGTTTTTCTTCCCCTGGGCCAGTTTGCTTGTTCTTTATCCGATGTTGGGACATGGTGGTTGTGTTTTGAGCGTTTGATTCCCTTGCATGACAGGATGATACCCACTTTATTCGGAATTGCCCAGGCTATGGCGGTTTATGTTCATGTATTTATGTAATTTGATCCGGTTAATCTTATTGCGGTTCAACGAAAATGATCATTTTAGGAAACATATATATTTGAAAATGCGATCAAGCGCGAAATAGGTATTGGTGGCTAAAGATATACAGAAGACCCATAGAAATGAACTATGAGTGCAGTGATGCTGACGCGATCACACATTCGAAGCCAATCCATCTTCCGCTCTCTCATTGAACATGGCTCGTATAGATCGTGAATATGGACTCAAGAAACCCGGTGTCAAGGCTTGCTGTGGCGATCGTTGCTAAATGATCCGCCGAGGGGTATACGATCCGTTTATTTCTTGCCGGACTTCTTGATGCCTTGCTGGCCAGTGTTGAGAGGACCCTTCTTGCCCTTGGCCGCGTCCTGCATCTCCTTGCGGGCCTTGGCATCTAAAGAATATTGTCAGTACATGGCTCTCTGAAGAAAGTAATCAAAATGTCATACCAGCCTTGAGCTTGGCCTGGTGGGCAAGCTCATCCTCATCGAGTTCCTTCTTCTCCTTCTTGGCAGCCTTCAAGGGCTTGGCCTTGCCACCTGTAGATCATAAGGTATTAGGGAACAGGAGTCCAAAGTTACTAGAGTTTGAGGTAAGACGAACCTTCTCTGCCGATACCACCCATGTTGTCGAAATAGAATTAACTGGGAGAGCGGGTTGAAAAGATTCTTAGAATGGCGGGGATTCAACGGCGTTGGCAATGAGAAAAAAAAGATACATGAGGGGTGCTTATCCACACCCTCAGTGGCCACCTAGGCCAGGGCGCGGTGGCTGCGTGAAATTATTACATGGTGTAACAAGTACTGTAATGTTTCAAGCACATACAGATATAATCCATCGGACATCCGGCTAATCACTGGTGGGTATCAAAGTCTGGTATTTGCAATACCGATAGGCTACGCCAGAAATGGCTAGTGGTGTTTTCGAAGACAGTATCCCGGCCCACAACTGGCAGTCCGCCAAATTCATTCCACCGCCTACTACAAATGTACTAGCGCACAATCTGCCAGATCTCGACCATCAAGCAGCATGGCTCAATCAATCTCCTTCTGTCCTCGGTATTCATCTCGTGCACGAGCTCTTTACCTACTCTGTTTCTTCAACAAGCTATGCGCCAGTGATTTCAATCACTTTTGCAAGGCTTTGGTGTGAAGGCAGGCCTCCTACAGCCGGTTGGAATTTCACAACCCCTTTGAGAAGACTTACTGTCGGTAGAGCTTGTGCTAACTGAGCTTTCTTATTGAAGCTTCTTCCAAAGGCCGAGTGAAGTGACCCCAAAAGAAATCAGAAAGAACCAAAAGGCTTGTCTACGCACTTTGTTTGGATCTTCCGAACCCCGCAAATATGTCGCATCCCAGGTCGAGGTCCCCATCAGTCCCCTCTGAGGGTGAGATCGTCGAATCAGGCCCAGAGACGAAGGCAACTGCGTCAAAATTTCCTCTTAATGGCACCAGCGTTGACCGTCCCACCAGAGCTAGCCCATCCTCTGCGCCCAGATCTCCCGATTCATTGAAAGGCACTCGATCCCCACTCCGGCGGAGGTCGTGGACCAGGTCCTTATCGAGATCCCGCTCTCGCTCCCCGTATCGAGAGAATAAACCCCAAAAACGCAGTCACGACGATTTTCCCGAGTCCTATGATGGAGGTTACGACCGGCGACCCCGCCAGGAGCCTCCGCGACGTTACAGGTCCCGGTACGACGACAGACGCCGTGACAGGCCCGCTCCCAATCGGCGCCCGAACTCATACTACGACTACGATCGCGAAGAGACTCATGGAGATGCCCTACGATACAGTGATGATTATGACCGACATGACCGACACAAGGACAAGCGGCAACGCACTCGCAGCCGCACCCGCAGCCGATCCCCTTACCGTGAATCGAGAAAGCCCAAGCAGTATTCAGGTGATGAACATGATTCAAACATGGTTAATGCCAGGTCTTCAGCGGATACAGGAAGGCGCTTGCCCACTGAACAGTTGGTGAGGGAACGAGGAAAGACCTTGGTCGTCTCTCCGGACTTGAAGCTTGGTGCTGAAAAACAAAAGAACCAGGTGCAGGCTTCTTCTAGTCATCAAGCCCATGTGGCCGATGAGTATGTTGATTCTATTCTTGACGATGCAGCATGTGTGACTAACATCCATACCAGAGAAATAACCCCTAACCCGGAGATTGCGCAAGAGCCGGAGCTCGCTGAGCCCATTAACGAAGTCGATGCCCTTGAAGCTCGCCGGAAGCGCCGTGAAGCGATTCGGGCGAAACACCGAAGCCAAGCGACACCACTACATCTCAAAGCACTGAACGTCGGCGATGTTGAAACGGATTCATCTACGCCTGGCACTGAGCCAACTAGTGCAAAGGAAACATCTGGTGGGTCTTTATCAGACAAACTTAGCTTGATAGCAAAACTAAGTCATGTACCTCGATAGATTCTCCACGCGCATCTCCCTTCGAACAAGCCGGGGAAGCATTCCCTGGTTTTAGTATTGGAAAAGATATGGACGTGGTCAACGCCAATGCATCTCTTGTCGATGCTGATAAGGATGGTCCCTCCGCTGCTGATTATGATCCAACTCTTGACACGAAGGAAGAAAGACAAAAACATGCCAATGCACAGGATCAAAAGAACGACGTTTCTTCTGCTGCATACGATGAGACCAAGGCTGGCAAGCAGGACATTCTCCTCCCTGATGCTCCTCCAGCCCCAGCCCCAGCGCCGAAGGCAGAGGTATTTGATATGTTTGCAGACGACGACGACGACATGTTCGCAGAGGAAGCGCCTGACCCCAAACCAGCTCATGCTTCGGCCTTAAAGGTACCCCAGGGCAAAGAACTGGATATCAGCATGATGGACAACTGGGACGATTCGGAAGGTTATTACGCTGTTCGACTCGGAGAGCTGATCAACGGACGATACCATATCCACCAGAATCTCGGCAAGGGAATGTTCTCGTCTGTCGTTCGTGCAACTGACACCCAGACAGGGAGTCTGGTTGCTGTCAAGATCATTCGCCAGAACGCCATCATGCGCAAGGCTGGTATGAAGGAGATTGGCATTCTAGAGCAACTCCAAGAAGCCGATCCGGAGCACAAAATGCACACCATCAAGTTCGACCGATACTTCGATCACAAGGGTCACTTGTGTATGGTGTTTGAGAATCTTAGCATGGACTTGCGAGAGGTACTGAAAAAGTTCGGTAGGGACGTTGGCTTGAACCTGCGCGCAGTTCGGGCCTACGGCCAACAGATTTTCCTTGGGCTGTGTCTCCTCCGCAAGTGTAACATCTTGCATGCAGATCTCAAACCGGATAATCTTCTTGTGAACGAGCAACGCAACATTCTGAAAATTTGCGACCTGGGTTCAGCGTCGCCGGCCTCTGAAAATGAGATTACGCCATACCTCGTCAGTCGTTTCTACCGTGCCCCGGAAATCATCCTGGGTATCCCTTACGACTACGCCATCGATGTCTGGTCCATTGGCTGTACCCTCTTCGAATTGTACACGGGCAAAATCCTCTTCACTGGCCGAGACAACAACCATATGCTTCGGGCGATCATGGAGTGCCGGGGCAAGTACCCGCCGAAGCTTCTTCGCCGCGGAACCCTGACGTCTCATCACTTTGATGAAAAGCTCAATTTCCACAGCGTGGAGCAAGATAAGATTACCGGCCGTTTCCACACCAAGATTGTGGACTTTAAAAAACCGACGCGCGACTTGAAGACTCGCCTCATGGGACAAGGAACACGCGGAATGCCAGATTCCGAGGTCAAAGAGCTGACAATGTTCTTGGACTTACTTGACCGATGTCTGAGTCTCAACGCTGAGAAGCGGATCACCCCGGCTGAGGCGTTGAAGCACCCGTTCCTAGCGCCTAGGGTGTAACCTCATTGCCTGATGAATGGACTTTTATCTCTCTGGGTTTACCAGGTTGTCCAGTCCTGGTCCTGGGATGGCGTATTTCGGCTGAAAGCATCGGCGTTACCGGGGGAAGGGTTGGTCTATGGATTCTTGTCAATATGCAAACTACGACAGTAACTTAGTGTCTAACTTCTCAAATGCCAATATGTAAGATTTTCACAAGGCTCCAACCCCCTCCCGTCCTCAGGTCTAGGCCTCCTACAACGACCGAGGGTGGCTTGGGATTTGCCCAACCTTTCCTTAGATCATGAGCATAGCTCTGTGTAGCCAACAAAGAAACCCCCTAGCCCGTGCATCATTCCATCGTCCCACATCTAACCAGCTCCTACCAAAAACAACTAAGCCCTGGCCCCCAATTGCAACACCCAGCACATCGGTAGCGCGCGATAATGCGACTTGGAATCCGATTTATCACTATCACATAACACAAAACATCCCAGCACACCAAACACAAGCCCCCCGGCTCCCGCCCCCTATGGCCTTAGCCCCCTATCGACCCAAGCCACTGGTAACATAGATCTAGAACTAATCGAACGGCAATTCCACCCTCTCCCATAATGCATAATAGTACGAAGTAATGGCCCCAATGCTAATAAACAAAGAAACCCCAAACCTTCCAAGGTCCACGCCTGGACCCAGTCTCAGCACGGCAACACCCAATCAAAAACAGTCAGCCCCAACAAAACCATGGAACCCCAAGAGTCCACAAGCTCTAGATTGCCTCTAAGCCAAATTTAGTCTTAGGCCATTTTGTATCCGCGGTTCAGTCCAGCAATAGCCGGAATCTTCGAGTCTTTTCCTGGACTCGGGTCTCATTTTTGGGTTGTGGGGACCGAGCCTTGGATTCAGGAAAGAGTCTATCTTACCTTGACTACGGTGGAGTAGGGAGTACGGAGTAGATAGTTGATAGTTGATAGATGGTAGATGATAGATGCCAGAATATCCGATTGGCATGCTTTTTCGGCACATCTTGTAGGCATGGAGTACATGACACTAGACTAACTATTGCCTCCTGTCTCGGGTCAGTTCTCCTAGGGGCGGCAAAGGCGGGAATTTCTGAATTGCGCTCATGTTTCCCGGTATTGGTGGCTATTGAGTAGAAGACGTGTCGTCGAGGTAATTGTGAGCACATAAGAGACAGGGCTTTTGAGTTTGGATGTGCCGATTGGAACGGTTTTTCTTTTTCTCATAGTCTTAGATTTGCTTTTGGCCTGATAGATAGTTGCGTGGAACTAGGAGATATCGTGTCTGCGTTGGTTATGGTTGGTTCAAGAAAAGCAATAAGATTGGATATCTGTCCCGCGTTGATTTCGTTGCTGCATGTGGTTTGACTTGCAGGACCACGTCCTCGGTCTACGATATACATCATGATCATGTCAATAGAGGATATGAACCACGCGCTCTTCATTTCCGTGTGAGATTGTTAGTAAACACACAATTACGTTGTGTCGGATCGAATGGAAGTGGAGTGTTCCAGAAGGCGTCGGCGATCGGAAGAAAGGTGCCCCTTGCCACCCTAAGAAATCCACAATCGAATCCAACTACCGTGTCCCTACGAAATCCGAGCGATTGCCCCGTGGCAAAAGAATCCGCGACCGCAAAAATAGGACGGGCGTTTAATCTCCGACCCCCTTTCGTCAGGTTGATTGATCTATTGGTCTATCGATCGGGACTAGACATGGATGTTCGCGCTATATCAAGCCCAAAGTAATCATGATGTCGAGATGTGTTTATATTGTGGGTCCCGCCACCTGCAGGGCACCATCTGCCTTAGGCTAGAGGTGTTGTGTCGGGCGTTCAGAGGCAAGGATAAACAATCCTTGGAAAGGCAAAAAGAGATGATATTGTACGATGTAGGTTGTAACGGGTAAATGTGGTTGAGCACGGGATGATCTGTGGCGGTTGCTGAATATCATACTCCGTACGGAGTACTCGCGTTGTGGGTAGAGTACGGAGTAGATTGTTTCCAATAAGTTGGCCACTTTACTATACTCGATGACCAATATCCTCACACGATACGGAGTCCATATCCATACAATATTCAATATACAATCGAACATTGTAGTGATATATCGATCACCTCTGGCGGTGTAGACCCCGAAACCAAAAGCCGAAACCAACCTGCGCCGGCGACCACACTTTCACACGGAACACAACAATTGCCGGTCGCAGACATCAGACAAGGAAAAAGTAACAAGCGCCAAAAAAGCAACGGCCCGATTTCAAGTGAGAAACAAGACAACCCTTGTTTATCTTTGGACGAGCCAGCTGCATTGCCAATCCTGGGGTACATTAATCGTCATGCTCGGAGGCAAGGCACGGTACACAAAGGGTAACGGGCGTTCATCACATCTAGTACATATCATATCACACCAGTCCAAGATATTTCTACCTATACACTTTGTGCAACAAATAGAGTACGGAGTACATAGTTGTACATGAGACTAGTTACTATTGTACAGCAGCTCTGCATGGATAGGTTTCGGGTCTTCAGAACCGACAACAAATGTGATGAATCGTAACCACAATTTCTATCAGGTGATTGGACCAGCTGCGGGTTCACGGAGTCGATCTAGGGAGCTTTGCGGTAGATTATTGACTTTAGTGCAATTTTGTCTTGTTCGCCGCAATAGCACCAATAGAAGTACTCCGTGAGTGTGATGACTCTGTATCAGAGCACACTTCATGTCCCTTTGGCCATTCATGCTTGTCCCCCGGATGACTGGGGGGCGGGAATACAGTTCGAATCAGTCAGACTCGGGTCCGTACATGGCCCTTGCCTCTATATGACGCAAGTGGTGAGATACAAAGGAAACGCGATTCAAGACTCGAGGCCACTTGATGGGTACAGGGGTTAGTTCTTGCCGGCTAAACGGAGTACAGATCACTTGTAACTCATGCTGACAGAGCAAAAGAGTCAACAGGACAATCTAAAAGGAGAGACGGCAACAGAAATAGCAAGTGCACAGCAACGCCAATAATACGAGCTCTTGTCTGTACTCCGTGTACATTGTCCCAGATTGTCAAGGTACATTAGCGCCAGGAGAAAGATGAAGTGTATGGCCCGTGCAGGACTAGTCAGCAGGGAAGCGCCAACCCCCCACCTCAGCTACTCCTAGGGGATTTTCTCGAACAGTTCGAACAAATGGTTGGCCCTAGCGGCCCTCCATCATTGCCTCACTCTTGACCTTCTTTAGCGTCCTGTCTAGACCCGAGTCAGCCTAGAAGGGGGGGACCATGTGGGGTTTCATCAGGTGCAAGAGACGGTGTAGAAGGTCAACAAATGTTCAGATCAAGTTCATGATCTGGATCATACAACATAAAGCCAAAAAAAAAAAAAAAAAAAAAAAAAAAAGAACAGATATGCATTCATAACCCGATGTTCAGAGTACATTACTCGATCTCCATAGCTTTGCGGGGCTGGGGTGGCCATGAGGTTATTGGTTGAATGTCGGTGGCGGGTGCGTTGGCAAATGTGTGTCAGGAGGTTTCAAGGCAGAAACACCGTTGGGGAATACGTGGACAGCATTGCCACACTAGGCCTAGAAGGAAGAGGCGATGAGAAGGGAGAAAGGGAGTTTCCAGTCGATCGTTATGAAATCCATGGTCCAATCATCGGTTGTGGCGGCTGCAGGAAAGACCGACCGAAGTCATAATGATTGGTCTACCCAGACTTCATGCACACCGCTTCATACACATGGCCTTTTTCTCTCTCATTTGGGATTTTCCATCTTTTTTCTCTTTTGTGATTTGAGTGGATTTGGTAAAGATTGTACGCATCATGGATTCTTCGGGGTTTAGTGTCCTTTTTTTTGACTTTCCCTTTTTTTTTTGTATTTTTCTTTTTGAGATTCCATTCGATCCTTTCCCCTTTGGGGATTTCTTTTAATATAATTTCCCTTTTTTCCACTTTTATTATTCTCTCGAACCACGAGGCGACTATCTGCCTGATATCCTTTTCTATAATAATCTTCCATCCTCCTGGACTTGTGGACATCTTCAAACCCTCCCGTATATCTTAACCCTGTTTTGTTTATTTGTTTTGTTTTGTTCTGTTCTTCCTGGTTCGGATTCTGGTTCTCGTGCTGGTGACTTGTGCAACTCTCCTTCTCAACTATCAAACACAACCAGACCGGACCAAACGGACCTACATCGGACCATCTTGAAACCCTTGGATTGGAATGGATAGCTTTTGAATATCCTTGAAATTTTAGGTCTTATAATCTCCCTGGATCAGACTATCTTTGCGATCTCTCCCTCTTTCCTTATCTCATCCGGGAGAGGACCATTGGATCCCCTCTTTACGCAACTTCCCCAGGACAATGTACCCGGCCATGCTACCAACACCACCACCATCACCGGCTCCCCGCCGCTATGCTCCCGAGGATCGCCTAGGACTCGTATTAGCCAACCGGCTGGAACTCACCCGAGTCTTGGGTGTCGGAGCCTACGGCGTCGTTTACACCGCGGTAGACATTCACACCAACGAGGTCTATGCCGTCAAGGTTCTTTCCAAGGATGGTCTGGATGCCCGTCAACTCAAGTTCCAGCAGCGTGAGATTGGCCTTCATCACCTGGCTAGCCAACACCGCAACGTGGTCCCCTTGGTCCGCATCATGGATTCCGTGGATTGTACCTACGTCGTGATGGAGTACTGCCCAGAAGGAGACCTGTTCTCAAACATCACCGATAAGGGAAACTTTGTCGGTAATGATCTCTTGGCCAAGAATGTATTCCTCCAAATCCTGGACGCCGTACAATTTTGCCATTCTCTCGGGATCTATCACCGGGACCTCAAGCCTGAGAATGTACTCGTGACCGAAAATGGAAGGACCGTCAAGCTTGCCGACTTTGGCTTGGCCACCACTGATTATTATACGACTGATTTTGGATGCGGTTCCACATTCTATATGTCACCTGGTAAGCCCTCAGCCTCATCTACCCTCTTGCTGTCACGGCTTGTTGTGGCTAACATGACGCCTTGATAGAATGCCAACAATCCAACGCTCGCCCTTTGTCCTGCTACATGTCCGCTGCCAACGACGTCTGGAGTCTGGGCGTGATTCTGGTTAATCTAACCTGCGGTCGCAATCCATGGAAACGTGCCTCGATCGAGGATTCCACATTCCAGGCCTATCTCAAGGATCCATTCTTCTTGAAGACCATTTTGCCTCTTTCTTCGGAGATGGTTAGTATCTTGAGCCGGGTGTTCGAGCTTGACCCAATCAAGCGGATCTCCATCCCGGAGTTGCGCCAGCTCATTCTGGAGTGCCCTCGCCTCACGGAGGATCCCATGGTGCAAACCCCTTGGGTGCCAGAACAGATCGACTACATTCCCCAGCCCCAGTTGCCAATGTTCATGCCACCCATGGAGCCCCTGTATGCCCAGACCTCTGGCTCGTCCTTGGACTCCGCGCACTACTCGGCCTTCTCCCAGTCTGCTGCTTCCGACGGTTCGGCCATTACCGAGGATTACTCGGATATTGATACCATGTCGCCCGCAGTTTCGGAGCAGGTCCCCGATTGCAAGGCAATGTTCCCTTCTGCCTGCGCAGAGCCCTTCTTTCCCGCAGATCCCTTTGCTTATGGCCTCGATTACGCCAATTTACACGGCCTCGAGATTCCCGTCTAATCGCTCCTTGCCTCGCAGCAGCATGACCTGACGTTCTTCCCTTTACATTTTTCTTCCTTGATCGAAATCCTCCAGGGGATCTCCCTTTCACATATCTTGGGGTCCCTTGGTCTCCTCCGCCACCGAGCGGACTCTTCAAAAGCTGCCGAACTAAAAGTTGATCGCGTTGATCATGATCCACTGGACTCGGCCACCAGCTTTTTTTTCCCTCTTTGGACATAATTCTTGACTCTCCTCCCCTGGACCACGGCATTTCCCTGGCTTCACGACTATGACCTTGCATGGACCGTTTGACCACAGTCCTATGTCTTCCTTGCGATCGGGTCTCCTTTCTTATTGTTTTAATATTTCGACACATACCCGGAGAGGTTTTTTGTTTACGTTTCCATTTTCTGGCGTGATATACACTGGGAAGCATGATTTGAAGATACGCCCCTGGGCGGGCTGATGAATATGTGGTTTTTTATTTGGATGTATGACATTTTCAAGTTGGCGTTGACGCACGAAAGTGTTTATTTTCTCTGTTTATCTTTTGGGGGAGGCTTTTTGTTATTTTGACCTAAGGGTGATATTCTATGTGCATAGACTTTTTTTTCGCATTGGCGGGATATTTCGGGACTCGTTCCCTTATACGATATGATACCTCGGTGTGGCATCAAATCTACACCACTGCATTCTACTTCAAAATCTTTGCTTTTGTAAAGTTAACCCGTTTTCAAAAGTCCCAGCCTCTCTCCATATTGTTGTGTGATGTTACACCGTCCGACAGCGGTCGAGACTCGGGCATGAGAGATGATGTTTTGTGTTTCGTGCAATGGGGCCCGTGAAACTGCTGCCCAAGTGGGACGCAAGACGGGATCCATTCCGAGTTGACGGGTAGATGGGTCTGAGATGAGTTGGATGAGGTTTTACAGTACCAAGCCTGTGCAGTTCGTGCAGTTCGTGGTTGATGGACCCTATGCAGGGTGACATGGTATACATCTCAACATCTTCACGATGATATATATATATATGCACACTTTTAATAGAGCAGATGCATACCATTCCACAATTCCATTCCACACAAATTTCCAGCTCTAGACTCGGATATATATACCGCTCTTATATACAGAACCTACATATTCCGTCCACCAGTAACCCGAATCGTCTCCCCATTCACATAAGAGAACCACGGCGACGCAACACCTAGAACAGCCCTCGCAGCTTCCTCAGGTGTCGCAGGTCTCCCCAGCGGAATATCAGGGTAAGCAACAGCCTCTTTCTTCTTCTCCGCCCCACCCGTCTTCGTCGCAAGCTGCTTTCCCGGAATCCCCAGGGCAACCTTCGTGCCATCAGGCGTGGTGATAAAAGCACCTTCTTCCTTGGCAGCAGTCAGACGCGTCGTCACAAAGCCAAAGGCAATAGTATTCGACCGCACACCAAAGGCCGGGCCCCATTCTTTGGCAATCGTGCGCGTCAGGCCGACGACGCCAGCTTTGGCAACTGCATAATTAGCCTGGCCTCTATTTCGAGATTAGTATGTGTTTTATTTTCTACTGTTGGGAAAGAGAAAAGTGGAGTACAGAGGTTCGTCGGGTACTTACGCATTGCCGTGGATACCACTTGTACTGCTGATGTTGATCACTACGCGCGGCTCGTTGTCCTTCACGCGGAAGTAGGGCGCTGCAGCGCGCACGAGCTGGAATGGGGCCGTGTTGTGGACTGCCAGCATGGTTTCCCATTGCTTATCTGTCATCTGTGATGGAAGGATTGTGATTAGTGGAATGCTTGGCTTGGGATTCTGTAGATACATGTTGAAGCTGGGATCGTGTCTTACCTTGTGAATGACACCATCCCAGGTGAACCCGGCGTTGTTCACGATGATGTGGATTTTGCCGTTTCCGAACTCGGCGGTTTTCTTTACGAGATCGGTTATGTAGTTGCTGTCGAGGACGTCGCCTACGACGGCGAGGGCGCGGCCGGCTTTTACGGAGTTAATTGCGTCGGCGACGGCGTTGGCTTTCTCTGTTTGTTTGTTAGAGGGGGCTTGATATAGATCAAATGTCAAGATTGAATTATGGATTTCATACTGGCATCGATATCCGCGACTACGACCTTCGCGCCTTCGTTTGCGAATAGTCGTGCGGCTTCAGCGCCGATGCCTTGGCCTGCGCCGGTGATGATGGCTACCTGGCCTGCTAGCAGACCGGCCGGGTAGTTAAGGTGTTCATTGACCTGGTTGAGACGATCGGAGGGAGCCATTTTTGAAATGTTGGGATATGCCAAATGCGAGCTTGTAAGAGGGGTCTTATACAAGTTCTCGGCTCTGAGATCGCCGAGGCTCACCGCGGACCGAGATTGTGGGGTGTACAGCATACATGGGGGAAGGTTGACCATCTAGTTTGGTATCGTCAAATGTATTTATATAGGCGATATGATGTTCAATTTTCTGTTGATATAGCCGAGCTGCGTTTACTGTTCAGCTTGGGGATCTCTCTCTACATCAGAAAACAGTTGATCTCCCATGCATGGGTATAATTCAAAGAGAATCGTCATGCATCACTCCAGATCCACAGATACAATCGCCCCACGAAGTTGACTGTAAGAATGCCGAAACAGTAGCTTCATAACCTGCGATGATAGGAAGTAGGCCTTCAGTTCTGGGCGTGCCGCTTAGAGTACCGATATCCAAGTCAGAAAGTAAGCCGAGATGGTCTGTAGTCCAGTTCTGACTGACGTGCTCTGATAATTTCGGTTCTGACGAACCTTCCTGATCTCCCAACTTGGGAATTTGAACATCGACAGCACTAGCGGTACCTTTCAGAGCCAGCAACACATCCCGGCACTGTAACAACAGGCCTCGGAGTAGAAAATTGCGTATCTGCCTATTTTCCTCGTGGCAGATCTCATAGTACCCATAGCGGATATCGACCCCATGTTCTGGGCGCGGAGCCCGAGACGTCTCCCGCGAAACCCAGTACTCAAAGAGCTGGAGGGTGAGATTCAGTACCGATATAGTCAGCAGCAGGTTTGTGCTATCTTTGGGACACTTGGTACACTGCAGGAACATCTGACAGGCGCAAAAGGTGCATTTAATTGTCTGCAGGCTGTGATCGAGCCGCAGGGGCATTGATCCAGCAAGTAAGTGGTTCAGCCGGTTCATGTGGAATAGCTGCATATCCACACACTCGCATGGCGAGATCGGATACGGCGAAGCCACCGAGCCAGCTAGAGATGGACTGCCCATTCCGTCGGCCAGTTCCCCGGATAGAAATGTCGGCGTCACAGGCGTATGTGGATATCCCAGACCAGCTGGGAGGGCAGGACATGGATCCACGAGGTCTGTGAATGGAGAGCTCTCAACCGTCGTCAACTGCCCTGGACAGACGGATGATTCTAGGGTTGTTGTGTTGCCGAAACTCCGGGGACTTTCCCAGAAGCCCGGCTGATTTGATATCAAGCAGACCTATTGAACGGCAACTTTTTAGAAACATGTCATTATACGCAGGAGGGAAAACTTACATCGTTGTCAATTGCCGGGTCAGGAATATGATTGCTGTAGCTATTCCCCACTAGCGGTTCCATGTCAGCCACAGGGGCAACAAGCCGACTCCCGCGAAAGCCACGCATCGCGGGTTTTTCTTCTTGCAACTGGCCTAGTTTGCGAAGGGTTGCTCTGTTCTTGCTACCCTTTGGTTTACCAGATCGATTTGCAAATCCGTATTGGCACTGTAGGCCGTGACGCAGGCACCGAGTACAAACACTCTTGCCAGACAAGTTGCATTTCACCTTGGATTGCCTGCAGTTTTCACACGCAGTTCGGAGTTTAGGTGTATCTCCGCCGGCATATGGGCTACCATTGGAATCTGCAAGCATTGTCTGTCGGAAGTAATGGACTGGGAGGGGGAAGTACGAAAGAAACTGTCAGGCTCTCCCAATACGATATCAAAGACCCATCGCCCGGGGTTCGGTGATATATGGGTCTGGAGAGAAAGGGGAAAAAGAAAAGCAGGGAAATTAGAAATAGAAATCCAGGATCAATAGGATACACACATCCAATAAGACAAATGCTTCACACCACCCCACACTCAATCCTTGTGTATAGAGAAACAAGCTCAAGCTTCCAGTAGAAATGTCACTCTGGCATTCAAAGTACCGATGGCAGCCGCATACAGAGGTCAGCCGCTGTGAAACCCCAGTCCCATCTGATCCACCACGCATGGGAGACTGGAACCGTTATTCTGAGGTTAAAAAGAACCATCTTCCCTCCAACTCATTCCTAAGTTTGATCCAACCGGATCTGGTAAATGGATAGTGGCTGGAATTGACAGCGTTCACTATTTTTGAACACTGCTCGTGAGATGGGGAAATAGGGTCCCCCAAAAGAAACCGACGGGGGGGGTCCTTTTGTTGATAGCCGTCACACCCTGATGCAACATCAGAAAGGCCAATTTCGGGGTTAAGTTTCTGGGTTATTGGAGAAGAGATGAACCTTTGGCTAACAAGGGCTGTTGGTCTCAAGGTGATCCCGCTAGGGCCCTGCTACTGCCAATGAGACACGAGCACCATAGTCTCGAATCAACGCTGGACGCCATGTGAAATAGAAGCAAAACGGTCTCTTTTTTGAATTATCGGCTGACCGGATCTAGTCCCTGCAAAGTTATGTGTTCACCGCTTCCTTTCATTGTGTCATTGTCGTACATACTAATTCGAGTCATCGTCAGCAGGGGCCCCGGGGGACCTTTTGACCCTCGAGAGATTCTTGAACATAAGCCGCACCACGTACGCTACGTGAACATTTCCATGCTACCTCTTTTTTTTTTTAATATCTTTTTTTTTTTGCCATGAGTATGTTGTCTAACCTCTTGTGTTGCTCCAGACCCGACTCAGCCGCGTGGAATCTGACAGATTTCGGCAGCCCCGCTGTGCCGATAATCAAATGCCTTCAACAACCCTGTCAGGTGAGCTATTGCTGCGCAGACCACCAGCACGTGGAAGATTTGATGCGAACTCCCCACAATGTCGAATTTCCCCGGCATGAGTCGCTCAGGTACTCGGGCCGCATAGATCCCGGCTCCAAGTATATACAAGAAGCCCTGGAAAACGAGCCAGTTCAGACCAATCTGTTCTTGCATGCGGTCAAGTCCGAAGATGCTAATTCCATGGAGTACGGGGAAGATAGCAGACAAGCCCATCCCAACAAACATGGTGGCGCGGAATGGACGCCAGCGTGGTGTGCGGAACCGGGGAGAAGCGGATACAATCACGCAGCCTAGCCCAATGGTACATATCATGGTCCAGTACCTGTGTTGCAGATCGGGTACACAGTAAAATCCGTAGAAGACACTAGGTACAAAGCTTCCCACGATGAGTCCCACGATGCCGATATAGTCGAGTGAGTTTCCAATGCGTGCGACCACCGGGGAATGGTTCGATATTGTGTGAAAGGTTGCAGACATGCCAAGACAGAAGGCAGCCCCCGCGAAAAAGCAGGAAAAAGCGACAATATCAGAATCGGCCGCATTTTGGTACCGCGGAGCAAGTGAGTGGTATAGCCAGTATGCAGCGGGGGCAGAAATTAATGCTGGCAAGAGGTGGGTGTAGATGTTAACGGTCTCATTGTGAACGTAACCCAGCGATTGAAATGAACTTAAAAATGAGGACGAGGCGGGCCGATATCCAGTATGGATGTGATGGTTGTCGCGTTGCCAGTGAGGTAGATCGTCCCAATGAAGAAGTCGCTTCACCAACTTGTGAGCCTCCTCCCCGACAGCAGTCATCCCCGTAGGCTGACTATCTATCGACACTGTCTGATCTTCAACAGGGCGACGCTGGCGAGGCATAATCACATGTGATATGCAAGTATGCAAAGAGTTACAGGATGTTTCGAAGTTGACCAGCAATAGTATATGCAAGACAAGTCAGCAGATGAGATTTTGATTAGAAAAAAAGCAAATAAAGGAAGATTAAGCAGTAATTAAATATAAAAAAGAACGAGAGAAATTTCGACAGCCGTTGGGCAGTTGGGGCAACGTACGGAGTAGGGAAATCGCCGTGTTGGGAAAGCCTCGGCGTAGGGAAGAAGCAAACAAGACAAACAAGATATCAACTCTTGACAGTTGATCATATACTACCGAGTATGTCAACACATGTCAACACATGAAAAAAAGATGAGTCGCTTACGCCCAGTATCTGACTCCCTGGAAAATGTCGGATTTGTTTCCAAGGGGGATAAGAAGTGCGTTTGACATATGCGCTCTCCCGAATGCTATGCTAACATTCGCAGACTGTTGGACCATAAGATTCAGACGCAGTACTTTGACAACATAGTCGATCGATACATGCGATTTTGTGCCCATCACTCAAAAGACCTCGATGCAGCATTGGCCTCTCTTCCAACAAGTCCCTCAAACGATGCGACTTCCAATCCGCCTGCTTCCCGGTCGCCCTTGAAATTGAACCCCGCACAGAAGGGCATCCCACCACCATCGACGGAGCTATCCACACTCCTTCTCTCCCTTCGGAAGCTGCGCGAAGCCGTTCTAGCTACAGCTACAACTACACCCGCAGAATTCTCACAACGGATTCATGTCTTTTCCATTCGCTTAGCTATTCTCGCCCATCACCCGCCGTCATACTTCCCCTCTCTACGATACGTTCTGGGTAAACTACACAACACATCTCACCCACTACCCGGCGCTGAAGCCAAGGAACTGGTCACATACTTAATTCTCGATTATGCCTGTCGGCAAGGAGATATGATTGCGGCATTTGAACTGCGTTCCCGGGCGCGGAGAGAGCACTCCTATGAGTCACAGACAGTGGATAAGGTTTTGGGTGCCTTAATGCACGACAATTGGGTGGTGTTCTGGCAATTACACAACAGCGTGGACTCTCACATTCGCGCAGTGATGAATTGGGCTGCAGATCGAGTTCGCAGACACGCCCTCAAAGCCGTGGGGAGTGCCTATCTCAGCGTGCACATCAGTTGGATTTTGGGCGGCTGCACCGGAGACGAACAGAGTTGGACATGGGAGAAATTGGTCGAAAAGAGAAGCTTCGCTGGGAGCGCGAAGGTGATAGGGTCATCATCAAGCGACTGAAGCAGAGGGCCCCTCCCAAGCCGGAACCAGGCGCGTCGAGTGTTTGAGCACACGTTTGGGCTATACTTTCTTTGGACAAGAGCATTCGTTGGCGTTCATTTCATTGCATGGCGTTGGTTGGGAAAACGTCGTATCATTAGCCGACGGGGTATCATTCCCGGAGTATCAATTATTTTTTTTAGATCGTGTGCAGACATATCGAATTCAATGGCCCCCAGGGCGAAAAGGTCTTCAATTCAAAGCATTATAACTTCAGGTCTGAATTTGGCCGGTCTAAGTTTGTTTGTCCGATGGCAGGCTGTTTTGATAGCATATCAGCCAGCTGTCCCTTCATGCTAGTCGCACTATCGGAACAGAGCTCGTAGACCGTCGACAGATTGAAGATCAAACTACCAAACGAGTGGTTGGATGAGACCTGGGCCTCAAGAAGCCGACGAGACTGAAAAAAACAATTAGTCAATCGGTCCAAATCACTCTTGAGATAGGTGTGTCAAATAGATTTGTGTGGGATATAGGGGATCAAATACCTCGTCCAGTTGTCCAATGTACAGCAGGCACACAGCAAGGTTCTGAGCTACCAGAGCCCCATCCGTCCTCGTCCTATCCTCCCCGAGAATGCGCCACTCAGCCACTGCATCGGCAAAGCGGCCATCTGACATACTTATCAGAGGCTTCAGTAAACCAGCCTCTTTCGTCTCATTCGCCTCACCAAATACCTGGCTTGCTGCATCCAGATCACCAATCCGCAAAAGCAAAAGCGCTTTTCTCAACTTCGTGATGTTCGACTCTGGCCCAGGAACGCGGAGGCTGTCAAGTGATCTCCGGGCTGCATCGAAATCACCCATCTCTATAAGCGCATTCACGCTCCTAACCCCAAGATCTGCCAATCTCTGTTTCCATAATTCGCGCTCAGCTTCAGTAGCCTCAGGTCTCATGATCTCCCGACGCGCTTCCTGGCCGATCTCGTACAATCCACCAATACTTCGGCGAGAATCACCAAAGCCTATACTCTGAAGTCTCACGGCTAGTACACGAAGCGGCCATGGAACAATATGGCGATGATCTTGTTCATGATCTTGCTCATATTCTGGATTTTTATCATCATCAACTGCAGCCGATTCTGGCTTGAGATCAATGTAATAGAATGCTGAGCTCAAATCCTCTAGGGCTTTCGATTCTTGTGCTGCGAGAACTGTATTGCCGGACAGATCCAAGCAGGCTAAGCGCGTGTAAAAGAGGGAGAAGATGATCTTGATCTCTGTCGGAGATATTAAAGACGAAGTCAAGATTGAAGCAGAAAAATGTGCCGCAATGAGAAATCGACCTTCGGCCAATAGCTTTTCGAGGATACCTAGGGAAGTTGATAGAGGTTCTCCGGGGTTGAGAACAAGGAATTCAGACCGCAGTGGCGGAGGGATGTCAAGATGGGAGAGGGTATGGAAGTTGCTATGCCGGAGTAAAAACGAGAGATCTTTTTCTATAATTCCAGGTAGATCGTCTGGCGCAAGCGGATCTAACTCGTAGAAGGATGCCCCGTCAAAGGTGTCATTGGCAGCATGCATTGACCTGTGTTTGATAGGCGAAGTGGGCGTTTCGGGGAGAGCGAGAGGGCTGGAACGTGTAAGAGGAAATATATGACGGTCAAGGGCAAAGTACAATGCTCACTCATCTGATGCATCTAGAGGGCCTCTTGTCGAGCTGCGGGGCCGAGAAGCTATATGGGCAATCAGTAAGGGACAGTAGAAGTGTGAAGGTGACAAAGTCAACGCTTACACCTGGAGACATTGCGAATGTGCTTCCCTGGTACCGAATCCATATCTATAGCCTTTAGAGTATTTCTGAGACTAATTATTAGAATGAAAAACAGTAACGTCAGAAGTATTCCAATGGAGGTCGAAGCAAAACACCCGATAAGCTATCGGATTCTGCCAGTGCGGTGAAAGCCGGATCTGGCGACTTGGCCGCGATCTGGCGTTGCCGAATGCAACAAGCTGTCAGCTATACGGTCCCTACTCTTTTCCTTTCTTTTTTTTTTTTTATATGATCTTCGCTCAGATCTTCTACCACTCCTTACTTTATTAATTGACTTGTGGGGTTTCAAAATGGGCGCGGCCAAGAACAAGTACTCGGTCATTCTTCCCACCTACAATGAGCGGAGGAACCTCCCTATCATCGTCTGGCTGATCCAGAGGACCTTCAACCAGGAGTATGCGCTTAACTGATATAAACCAAGAGTGCTGGGGACTAACGTATGTTTTTCAATTTTAGGAAGCTGGATTGGGAGGTTATTATCGTTGACGACGGATCCCCTGACGGCACCCTCGAGATCGCCAAGCAGCTCCAGAAACTTTATGGCTCCGAACACATCATCCTCAAGCCCCGTCAGGGCAAGCTCGGTCTGGGCACAGCTTACGTTCATGGCTTGAAATATACCACCGGCAATTATGTTATCATCATGGACGCCGATTTCAGCCACCACCCCAAGTTCATCCCTGAGATGATCCGAATTCAAGAAGAGACCGACGCCGACATTGTGACCGGAACCCGATATGCGAACCGCGGAGATCTCAAGGGCGGAGTTTACGGCTGGGACTTGTTCCGCAAGTTCACTTCGCGGACTGCCAACCTCATCGCGGACGTCATGCTGATGCCCGGTGTGAGTGACTTGACTGGTAGCTTCCGGCTATACAAGAAGGCAGTGCTGGAGAAGGTTATCCTAAAGACCGAGAGCAAGGGCTACAGCTTCCAGATGGAGATGATGGTTCGTGCTAAGGCCATGGGCTACAAGGTGTCCGAGTGCCCCATTACCTTCGTCGATCGTCTGTACGGCGAGAGCAAGCTGGGTGGATCCGAGATTGTCGAATACCTTAAGGGCGTGATGAGTCTGTGGCTGAAGGTCTAAACTGGGCCTTGCCATTGAGACTTTGGTGCTCCAATGCTACGATCTATCTTTGCCTCAAGTCCAGCATGATATCATGTCTGGGCTTGCCTACTGCCCGTGCTGTGATATACCCCTTTCTAACCTCCTTGATTCCAAATCCATGCACTTTTGGGTGGTGTTTGAATGACCTATTTATTGTCGATATCAATTCAACGTTCTTTTGTCTTCTGGATTTCATGCTTATACTATCTTTATGCTTCAATATCATCAACCCCCAGCACTCAGAGGGCCTGGAGGTACCGTAGAACTCGATCAATGAGCTCCTGCTGACCCTTGTCATGAACATTGTGGCTGGCTCCAGGAATGACCGCGCTGTTTTCCGCATCCCACTTGGCGCCTCCTGCTTCGGTTGCCTTCTGCCATCTCTGTAACAGCTTTCCCTTGTCCACCCAATGCGGGCAATACTCATCTTCACCCGAATACAGTACCAATAACTTCGACTTGATAATACCTTGGGTGCCCACCATGCCAAAAGTCTTTTGCAAACGCTCATCACTCAAGTCGGAGCTGAAGAGGTCGTCATCAGATGGGTTGTCCGGGCTCTGAGGACTGACCAGACTCAAGAATCTCCGAGCACTGAGAGGCGTGTCAGGCGGATAAGAAAGCTTCGCAGTCAGATTCATAGGGAGAATGGTGTCGTTTTTCTCTGGTGTGTATGGTTGCTCACTCGCAAAGCTCACAAGCTGATCGTAGACCTTTTTAAGCTCCTCGGGTTGCTCAGAGGAATCGATAATAGCTTGTAGACCTTCTCTATCAGAGGCAGGTGCTTGCATAATAGCACCGTCGAGCTCAGGGCGGACCATGTGCCGAAGGCCACGATCAAACTGCTTGTGCGGCACGGGATTCGGCGAATAAAGGTAGTGGAGCACATCCTGGCTTCCGGTTGAATGACCCATGATCGCAATCTTTGCAGCTGTTGTCAGAGCACCAGGTTGGCGTGACGCCTTGAGATCGCGAATAAACCGCACGCACTGCCCAAGTTCTTCTACATCGCGATCAAGGCTTCCGACTCCCCATCCAGCATAGGAAGATGAGAGTAGGACAGAAAAGACCGACCATTCGGTATTTTCCAGAGCTTTAGCTAGCTTGGCCACGTAGGGGACAGTACAAAATCCATCTGTCAGTCCGCCCACGAAGATAAGGCTGTTTGTCTTGTTGATCCCCTCTGCTGGTGGGGTGAACTCAAAGGCCACAAGTCTAGGAGCCTGCGTGTGTTAATTAGCTTGGCATAAAGAATGAGCAACATAGTATATACATATTCATGGAGGATGCCGTTATGCGACGCCCCGCGATCAGCATGCGAGGACATGATCAAGGTGTGGTAGTTGACAAGGTTAAGACTCAATGAAGGTGGGAGATCAGCAGTTGACGTATCCGATTCGCAGGTGGGGTGGCCATATCTGCCTTACATTAGCCCTTGTTGATCTCATAAACTGGGACATTTTGATTCTAATTTCCATTAGATTACGCTGGTGACATTCACTCTGACATACAGGATATGTTGTACCTAGGTACAGAGTACTCGGTATTGCGGCTCATACTACACCTTTTAGGCTTAGCCTTCACTTTTGGTCGCCAAGGATGATGTACCTCGTGTTCAGGACCCCTATGTCAGTCAAGAAATGAACCCAGGAATGGATTTTGGCCAAGTAGACTGCTTGGTGAGTCCTGGTCTTTGGTAACCTCATAACAAACAACTCAGATATCTGGATAGACCTGAAGCTCTTCGGAGGTGTAAGACCAATCCCAAGTTTTACATGGAAAAGTCATTTTCAGAAAGTAAGCCTCTTACCGTTTTCTTTCTGCCGTCTATCTACCTATAGAGGGGGCATATGTTAAAAAAGGCACCTGAGCAGAATGTCTTAAAGCGGTCAATCACTATTCTTTATTTCATCAGCAAATGAAGGAGGAAATGACCTGGTGAAGATGAGTGTTTGATTTGTTGCCGCCCGAAATACAAGGCAAAAGCGCTAGCCATGTTGGGGCTAGCGCCACCGCCCTTGACCCTTCCTGTATTGCTGAAGCTTCTCTATTTCCAATTTCAGATAGTGGACGTCTTGATACACAAGATCACAGCTACTTTTCCCAGCAAGAGGTATCACTCAGTGTTCAACAATTTGAGACGCGTTGCGCATACACACTGTTGTTATTGGCTGTTGTTGACAGTGTAACCTATCTAAGCAACATGCCTTCTGGCCGCAGGTCTGGACGCTTTAAAGGCCCCAGGGCCGTCTACGTTGATGATCCATTCAAGGCAGCTGGGATCAGTGATGATGAGGATTCCAGCAAGCTGGAAAGCCTTGTCAAGGGGAAAAAGAAGCGCGCCCAAACAGAGGATTCAGCCTCAGACAATGAATTTGTCGCTGGTTCAGGCGAAGAAGCCGAAGAGGACATTGACGAAGAAGAGGACCTAGAAGACGATCCTGAAGTGGGGCCAGAAGAGGAAATGGGATCAGAACCTGATGCCTCTGACCCCGAAGAAATGGAGATCGACGGCATCAAGAATACTCCCAGGAAAGAGCGTCCAGGTCGTTCAACATCGCACCTATACGATGCAAACTTTAAGAAGCGAAGAGCCGATGGCACAGTTGTGCCAGCTGATGAAGAGACACACATCCGCGGCATCATCGAGCCCAGAGATCATTTGTCCAAAGGCACTTATTACAGTCTCACTTTCGGTTCCGACGATCGGGATCTGATGCCAGCAGTCCACTTTCGAATGCGATGGAACAAGGGCATAGATGCGGTCTTTCCATCTCGCTTCACCTTGGATGATACGGAGAAGAAGCCTGAATATCTCTACGGGCCCACGTTTGGGGTTCACCCAGATGATGTTATGCGAGAAAGCACCCATGGGTGGGACTGGTACTACAACCGGGATATTGGTGAGAGATTTCGGAAAAGACAGCGCGTTGAAACGATTGAAGAGTCGCGGGCGTCCCAAAACTACCTCCCCCAACCAGATACGCGAAAGCATGGAATTTTACTGGGTCCGCATGACAACCAACAAGTCTTCGAGCTAGGATATCATGAGTCTTTTGACTTTGGAAAAGCCTGGGAAAAACCAGGCTCCAAAGCAGACGAGTCAAAAAATGGGACCAAAAGAATTCGGGAAGGTTGGATGTTAAACATCGGCCAAAAGGCAAATTGCATGGCTTGGGCCCCAAACCAGAATGGTACAACGCAGTACCTTGCTGTGGCTGCGCCGATCACAGAAACTCAAAAAAACCAATACAGATCAGAAGAAAGTGAGCCCATCTCATCGTTTCAACCCTCACAGCCTTTTCCTAGCGCTCTACAAATCTGGGAATTCAAAGGCAAACCGAGTGAGACCCTTACAATGACACTTGATATGGACTCCGAGCCCCGGCTTCGACAAGTCTTGTGTGCTGACTGGGGGGACCTGAGGCGCATGGTATGGTGTACTTTGCCCCGGACCGAACGAGTGGAAGACGAAAAAGAAGAAAAGGAATCTATTGGTTTACTCGCCACAATATGGGGGGATGGAACTGTCAGAGTTCTGGATATCAAAACAGGCAGGGGATCACAAGAAACAGAATTCCGTGAGTGTCCCTTTTGTGAGGGTTTTACGAGTCCCGCTAATGTGCAAGATATAGTCAAAATAAAATCCCCTGCGTTTGAGGCAAGACCGGCATCAACAGTCTGCACATGTGTCACATGGCTATCCCCTACTGAGATTGCAGTGGGCTGCGGTAATGGCTTTGTGGCTATCTGGAATATCGAGCCTACCTCTGAATCTGAACCCCTACCTTACCTCTATCAGCCAATCCACGCCACCTATATACTCAATATCACATCGGCATACCCGGTTCATCCACAACTAATCGTCACTGTTTCTATGGATGGTGAAACGAGGATGTGGTCAGCCCTAGATCCAATCAGGGAAATGACCTCGACGGGCCGCATGCGAGGGGCCTCTCCCCACATCAGCTATTCCCCCATCTGCCAGTCTGTTGTCGGCGGAGATGAGAACGAATTTGCTCGTATCATTCCAATTCGACGGTTTTTCACCACCACCACCATTGCGCGGCTCAGCAGCGTAGTCTCGGCCATGGCGCAATGCAGTACTCATCACCCCTGTGCCCTATTTGGCAGTGCCGCAGGCGAGGTCGTAGGAACAAATCCCTTCCGACGAGTTGTTTACAACAAGGAGCAAATCTGGCAGCAGATATGGTTCACGCATGAATGGATTCCAACTTCCAAAACGGACACTCTGGGCACCAGTCGATTCCTTGACGGATACCGGGCTGAGAACCAGAAGCTGGCAACCCACAAGCTGTACGAGACTAATCCTGTCAGTGGGATGGGGACTTCGACAGTTTACGAAGAAAATACCCACGTCACAGCCCTTGGGTGGAACCCCAACCGCCATTGTGCAGCCTGGGCCAGCGCTGCGCTGGGGTGTGGATTGGTGAGAGTAGAAGATCTTGCCGTCTAGGTATTGCCACTGCGACATTCAGGATGGCCGCCTTGATGAAACATGGGATCTGCCTAGATCGTCCTGTCAATGATGGTCATTAGGACATCATATTTGATCTATGAAAAGAAACTAGGCGACAGTGAAATGAAGTGTGCTATATCAGCTGTGTCAGAGTGGATCCTCGAGCCCCCAGCCACATCAATTGCTTACTTAAATGTCGCCATGAAGACCCCACCGCAACATCGTGGTTGGCAGACGCGCCATGTGGGTACACCTAGATTAGCTCCACCCAATCAAAAAAAGCAAATTAAAAAAAAATCCCAGTTAAACATAGAACAGCTGTCGAGGTACCTAGGTGTATAGTTGATGCTTTTTTCTAATTTCTGCTTCTTTCCAGAAGACAAAGAATGCAAAGAAAAAAAATTAAAAAACCTAACATTGAAAAAGATAGCCGAGGAGACTACTAAAAAGCCTACATAAGGCCGACTATTTCTGTAGAATATAGATTAAAAACAAAAAGGCCATGGCTGGACTGCAGCTAGCCCAGCCACCGTAGATCCCAGCCGCCTAATTTCTGTCCAATAGAACTTCACGTCACCCTGATAGGAGATCATTTTGATATGACTTTTAAACCCGACTTGAATCCTTTCTTTGTCGTTCATCATCAAATCTCTATCTTCAACCCAAGCCTCTCGCCCAACATCACCCATTCCTCAATTGTCTTGTTCACATTTCGATCTGTTTTAAGCGTCTTTCTCTTTTAAATTACCATTGCAAGCTTCAATTGCTCCCCGTCACCATGCATTTCTCTTCTGCTGCACTCTTCGCCCTTTGCTCTATCAGCGTGACCCAGGCGGCGCCTCTCGCCAACCCCGAGAATGAAGACCTCGCCCGCCATGCAGCTTATTCCGTGGTCAATGCCGATGGAGACTCTTCTTCCAGCTCAGTTGCAAGTGAAGTCGGTACAGTCTTCGAAGTATCCACAGTCACTGCTCCTGGTGCCCCGCCGGTCCAGGTCACTGTGACTGTGACTGCCACCCCTTCAAGCGCAGCCTACTCTTCGACTCCCGTGGCTAGCTCTACTCCGTGCTCGGAGACTCCCGCTTCCGACTCTTCCTCTTTCTTCCGCCGGGGCCTGAGAGCAGCTGGCCAGCCTGCTCTATTTGCTCGCGAGTACTCTAGCTCCTCTTCTGCCTATCCCACTGCCTCTGCCTCCGAGTCTCTCTATGCTCGTGGCTGGTACTCGGCTGCTTCTGGTACTCCTTCTGTTGCCACTCCTGCCGCTTCGTCCACTGCGCTTGTGGCTCGCGGCTTCGGTGATTGGTCCTCCTCCGCTTCGGTTTCGCCTTCTTCTTCCAGCCTGAGTGCGTCCGCTTCCGCTACTCACCTCGCCGCTCGTGGCTGGTACTCTTCTGTTGCCACTCCGTCTGCCTCGGCAACTTCCCTTGTGGCTCGTGGCTTTGGTGATTGGTCTTCTTCTGCTTCACCCTCCAGCTCCAGCGTCTCTACTTCAGCTGCTCCCCTGGCTGTCCGCGGCCCCTACGGCTGGTACTCCCCTGCCCCCAGTGCTTCTTCCGTCGCCACGCCTTCTGCCTCTTCAGGCCTTGTGGCTCGTGGTGTCCGCAGCTGGGGCTCCTCCAGTGTGTCTTTGCCTGTCTCCAGCACCTTCGCTGCGTCGGCGACTCCCGTGGTCTACTAAGACAGACAACGTGAAACACGATATTTAGCTTCTTCTAAAGGAGCACGAGCAAGGCTTTCCATGAACTGATGAAATCCTTGATTTATGGCACGATATGATTGCAACAACGAAAAAGAAAGATATTGCAAATGGCTTGATTTATCCCCATGATGGTTTTGGGGATGCATATTTGACTGGCGTTTTTACTGGAAGCAATTTTTTCACTACAATTCTTCATGTGTCTTCTACTTCTTGTGGATATGGGATTGGATTTTCGCGTTGGCTTGGCCTACATAGACTGGATTTGAATATTTGATGGGCCCCCAAATTACATAGAAAGGTTACATTATGCAACGAGAACGAATGAAATCCACATTTTATGACAGTCTTTCCGATATAACTCAATCTTCGGTAAATAATCTTTTCTAAATTTGTCCAACTTCCTTCGTTAGGGCAGGTTGGATGCATAAATAGATTATGTAACGCAGTGCATGGCCGCGCGGTGGTTGCCCCGAGAGACGCGCCCGTAAACACCATCCCTCCGCTCATCTTCAACTTCAACATCTTGCGACCTCCAAAGGTCTTTTCGTGTTTTATTTTTCTTTATTCTTCAACAGTGTTATTGTTCTTCCTTTTATTTTTCTTTGTACCTGTGATTTCAACACATTTCGATTGCATGCGCAAAGGCTGGCCGAGGCTCAACATCGATCACAATGCCGGGGACAGTGGCAGACGGACCTACGGTCTCCATGTCTTGTATGTGGTACTACACTAAAGCAATCTTGCACGTGCTGACTATTTCTCTAGTTGCCAACAATTTTTGGGGCAAGGATGATGCAGGACTTCAACCAATGTTGGACCGTGTTCATAATTCAAAGATCACTAACGATGAATTGAAGGTTTTCTACAGCAGTATGTGACATGCATGCGACCATGACAGGATCGAATTTTGACACTTTCATAGTTCGAGCCTCGATTGAAGATGAATACGCGCGCAAGCTCCAGGCTCTGTGTCGCAAGAGCTTGGGGTCAAGCGAGTCGGGATCCCTCCGAGCCTCACTCGACGTGGTTCGTGGCGAGACTGAAGCGATCGCCAAGGCACACGCAGCCATAGCGGGACAAATGAAGACCGAGTTGGAGGAGCCACTTGCTGCTTTTGCTAGTGGTATTAAGGAACGACGAAAGATCATCCAACAATGCATTGAGCGCTTACACAAGACCAAAATGCAGCAGACACAGCTTGTCAACAAAGTGAGTAACTTCATGGTGTGACAAGAGGGCAAATACTAACTCCACAGACGCGTGATCGTTATGAGCAGGACTGTCTTCGCATCAAGGGATACCTTGCGCAGGGCCACATGGTTATGGGCCAGGAAGAGCGCAAAAATAAAGCCAAGCTGGAGAAGACTCAGATCCAGATGGCATCTAATAGTCAAGAATACGAAGCGGCTGTCAAACAACTCGAGGAGACAACTGGACGCTGGAATAAGGAATGGAAGTCAGCATGCGACAAATTTCAAGATTTGGAAGAGGAGCGCCTGGACTTCACCAAGAGCAGCTTGTGGACCTACGCGAACATTGCTTCTACTGTTTGTGTCAGCGACGATGCCGTATGTTGGTTTTGCCCCGATTGAATTTGCAAATACTAATTCGAGATATAGTCATGCGAGAAAGTGCGTCTCTCCTTGGAGAACTGCGAAGTGGAGAAGGATATCATTGCTTTTATCAAGGAACGAGGGACTGGCCAGGAGATCCCAGATCCTCCCCGATTCATCAACTTCTGCAAGGATGATGACTCAAGCTCTGAGATAGACGAAGCCGAAGGTTACTCGGTAGCCCAGTTTCAGCGTACTATGAATCCTGCATTCCGCACATCTTCTCCTCAACCCTCCACATTTGATTCACACCATGACCCGCAGTCAGATCTTGCGGCTCAAATGGGACATTCTGCTCCCCCTGCAGTTAGCAATGCGCCCCCTCAGCAGCAGCAGCAGCAACCGCCACCCTTACACCAGCAACAATTCATGCAGCCGCAGCCTCTCATGCAACAGCAACAACCGCCACTTTTACAGCAGCAGTCATTTATGCAACAGCAGCCTCTCCTACAAAAACAACCGCCTCCCTTACAGCAGCAGCAGCCATTTATGCAACAGCAACCTCCCCTACAAAAACAACCGCCTCCCTTGCAGCAGCAGCAGCAGCAGCAGCAGCAGCAGCAACAGCAGCAACAGCAACAGCAACAGCAGCAACAACAGCAGCCAATTATGCAACAGCAGCCTCTTCTGCAACAGCAACTGCCGCTACAGCCACAACCCCAGCAACCAGCACCTCTAGACTTCCGCCGTGGCGGTGCACCGCCTCCGAACTATGACCCCGAGCAACATGGTGAAATTAATACTGTTCCCCACAACGCATATCCCACAGATGGTATGACCATGTTCTGTCGTGCCGGACCACCCTCAGAACGCAGCTCGGCGACCAGCGCGTATCGCCCTTCTAGCCGTGACTCTCAGAGCGAAGTCTCGAACCCTACCTCTGTTTCTAGTGTCGAGGAAACCCCTACGAAAAAGTCTGTAGTAAAGCCACCAACCAGTGCGCCAATGTCAGTTTCTGGAGACGACAAATCACCGAAAAAGAAGAGCGCTTTCTTTAGCAACAGCCCCTTCCGTCGCAAGAGTCGCCATGACAAAGAAAGGCCTGTTATCTCAACACAACAAGTCACCTCCCCGCAATCGGTTGTCTCACCCCACCCGGTGTCTCGTGGTGGCTGGGACTCGCCGACAAAGCAAATAAGTCCAACAAAGCAAATGAGCCCCTCCAAGCAAGCGAGTCCCCCCAAACAAGTCGTCAGCCCGCCTAAGCAAATAAGCCCACCCGAGCAAGTCGCCAGCCCACCTAAGCAAGTGAGCCCCCCCAAACAAGTGAGCCCGCTCAAGCAAGTTAGTCCACCGAAACAAGTTAGTCCACCGAAGCAGGCTAGCCCAACCAAGCAAGTCAGCCCAGTCAGGCCTCCAGCAGGCCCCCCGGCTCGTGTTTCTGGCAGCCCGGAGCCTGTTGATCCCCGAGCCAACTTCCAGCTCAACGTTGGGAACAATGTCTTTGACGTTGCATCCCCAGAACAGAGCTCACCCAGCAAAGAATCACAGCCAAACCAGGCGTCCGAGGATGACTTGGACCCTATCGCACGGGCTCTGGCAGACCTTAAGACAAGCGGCAAGCAGTCGGCCACTCGGGTATCGGCAGATAGATACCACGGCATCTCCACGCCTACTCCGTCGGCACATTCTTCCACATACGGTGGCAGCACTACTAACGTTGCTGCTCCGCCACCTGCATACAATGATCCCGCAGCCAAGCGACTCGGCGCACCTCAGCCGGCCTTCACGGCAAAGCAAATGCACAAGACAACTCAGAAGTATACTGGTCAAACTCAGAGCATGCTTCGAGGACAAAACAACAGCATGGGGTCTAGACATAGCGGTCAAAGTCAAGAACCCCCTCGAGCTAGATCCCCAGCACCAGCACCGAGACGTAGCGTCAGCCCTCAGGTTGCGCCTCCCCGTGTGGATACTCGGATGAGCCAGAACAGTGGCAGGGGGCCGAGCCCTAGTCCGAGTAGTTACCATTCTAACAGCATGCGAAGTCAATACAGCCACTCGCCCACCCCCCGTCGTACTCAAGATCCACCCTACTCTCCAAACGATTTTGTTCGAAGGGCCTCGCCCGCTATGAGTCACCGCGCTGTATCCCCGCAGCCTCAGTTCAGACAGCAAGCTCGTCCTTCTAGTTCTGGTGGCATGGAGCTGCAATTATCTGGAAGCCACGACATGTACGGCTCCAGCAGTCCTGGTGGATATGCCGGTTCAGTTCGAGGGAGCAGCCGCCCCTCATCAACTTATGGTGATGGTCCCCCTATTGGCCGATCCCGCAGTCGTACTATGGCTGTTGCAGAGCCTGGACGTAAATTCAGCCGTGATGGCCGTCCAATCTTGCACTTTGGTAAGCATTTACTTTTTTTTTTTTCTCTTGCACAGTAGATTGTTAGTTTCTAACTTGATTTCAACCTCACAGCTCGCGCCATGTACACCTACAATGCCGCCATCCCCGAAGAGCTCAGCTTTGGCAAGGGCGATGTCCTTGCTGTCATCCGCCTGCAGGATGACGGGTGGTGGGAAGCCGAAGTCACCAACGCCCGTGGCCACCCTGGTCTCGTGCCAAGCAACTATCTGCAAATCATATGATACCCCATTGATCTCACGACATGCCACGACCTTTGCAATCTTCGTCCCGATGGTGATGCTCTTCTTCATGTTCTCACGTAGATACCATGCCTTTTTGTCGACTTTCTTTGCACATTGACAATTTCTTTCTAACACTACTTTTATTTTTCTTTCATTCTCAGCATGGTGCTGCAGTCCAGTCTTTACATCATCGAACAGCCTGTTTAATCTCATTATTCTGTTCTTGCGGATGTTTTTGGAAACTTTAGCGTGTGCTTCTGGGAATTATTTTTACCAATGTGCTTCGTTGAATTCGTTGGAAATGCTTTTTTTTGTCTTTCTCATTCTCTTAACAGAGATCTGTTCGAACGAAATTGTATGATGAACAATCTCGGGCCATGAAGACCCTAACTTTATGGCCTTGTCGTTTTCTTATTCCCCCTTCTCGCTCCGTTCCCCGTCATTTGCTTTGGTGTATCTTCGGACGCTCCTTCAATTGCTATGCAGAATACGACATGTCGGTCTAATTGATGCCCTTCTTTTTATGACTTTTCCCATGGTAGATGTAGATAGTAGGTAGATCACGGTAGCAGTAGCTTGAATTGAATCGAAGACAGTTCAATTTGTCTTCATAGATGCAGGTACCTTCATAGTTCTAGTACGATAGCCATTTTTGGAAGCTCATTGCAATGCCTTAGGTCACAATTAGCACAAGACATCAGGACTGATAAATATTTAGTTCCTGTTGTGGCCCTTGCTCCAAGCGTCCCTTTAATTCGTCTACATGTCATTCAAAGTCTTGATCATATGGATCATAACGTATGCGTCTGCCTGACTTGGAGCTAAAGTATCTAACCACCACAGCGGAACTAAATTAGCGCCAGGATGTACAGTGAAAGGCAAAATAATCAAAAGGAGTTAGCGCCATAGTAGGAGGCTTAGCTGCCTAATGAGACCTGTCTTATAGAACCGCCGTGGTGCCCCTCGCCATTACGCAGAAAGTTCACCATCTTCCATTTTTGGTAAATTACGATGAACTTTCTACAATCACATCCTGATGTGTCATATCTTGTCTTCCAGTTGGTACGTACAGGTGTACAAGCATTTTGAGTCTCCTTCTAACCATTTCTAGCTGGAGAGGGAAGATCTCAAAGATATCTGCCTGTTGTCAAAGTCGTGTAATGCATTAGCTACGCCACTACTGTACCGATCAGTGGTCCTGGAGTTTGAAGTCGAAAGGATAGTAGGAGCAAATCTGCATGAACCGGCGGGCCCCGAAGAGAAAATCTATCTGTTCTCATCGCTTTTGTCTCGTCTTTTGGATGATGGAAATGCCCATGTTAGAAGCTGGGTACGGGATATTACAGTCAGACGGGCATCTTACTACGATGGCTCGAATACTATGTCAGAGTTTGAGCCGTCTCGTGATGTACTCACCGCACTGCTTGAAAGGTTGCCGAACGTACAAAATATCTAGTAGGACGCCCCTGTCATATCCTAAGGCTTTTTATTAACACTGGCACAGTTTATACAGAGGCAGGGAAGGTATCGCGTTGACACCAGCTTTACTAGATACAATCGCGAGCCACGATTGCAAACCTCATCTCCATTTACGAGATGAGCGTGGCCAAACACCAGTCGACATGCCAATGCCTATGGTCCGGTCATTGAAAGTATCTGGGGATGGGGATCTGGATAGGCTCCTTGGTGCATGTCCCAATCTTCGAGACCTATCTTACTCTATATCAAGATTCGCCAGTGGCTGTGGTATGGGCCGTCAACCTCGTCCATCTCACCGGCCATACGTTCTCACACCAGTTCCTAGAATACCTCCTTTAGAGAGTATGTTGTTGGAGGGGTTCTATATTGACCCAGATCAGGCTTCGTGGTGGCGAAACGGATTCCCCTCGAACACCTTGAAGTCACTCATCCTCGGTCCTGAGGACAACGAAGGAGCTTTGGAAGTGCTCAGTGATTGTTCCTTATCTTTGAGGAGACTCGAGATCTCGACGTGGAATCCTGCCAGAGATAAAGAAACCAAGGACAAGGCTATTAATGCCTTTTTATTGTCGCTCAACACGTTGAAAACCCTAATCGTGAAAGGTTATTCACCTTCGATTGCTGCAATTGGCAATCATCGTTCGTTGAAAAGCCTCTGTCTTCATCAAATCGAGCAACCAGATGAGCGCAGAGAATCTCTCTCGATTAACGAACTCAAGACGATAGACGAATTCTGTCCTGACCTTGAACACTTGGAGCTCGATATCACCCAGAGCAAGAAGGGCGAATGGGTAAGTGCCACAGCAGATTCACGCTCTCATAGTCTACTAACCAGTTTCCCAGCCCCAAGACTTCATCACTGCCTTCCTAGCAAATTTCCCCCATCTTCGCTCTTTGAAATTCCATGTGGCACTCGGACTTAGATCCCGTTTTTCCGCCGAAGAACTCAGTGGTTATAATAATGGCGAGAATACTGGTGCTAACAAGAAAAATCCCATCACAAACTGGAATCCCTCCTGGGATGCCTATGTGAAATCGGAAGAGCAGATGAGCAAGGTTCTGACCAATTCGAGTGCCGGAGCCTTCCTGGATATTCTGACTGCCAGAGACTTATCTCTGAAGCTTCGAAAGTTGACGCTCGAAACTGGTGAATCGCTCCGTCGTTTCCCGCAGTGGGCGCCATGGTATGCAAATGCGGAACAGAGTAATGCTAGAATTTTCAAAGCTTCGCTCCCCTTAGATGGGAATTCATTGCCTACTGTTAGGGAGAGGCTTATCTTTGAATAACCTCGCTGTTGTGAGGCCTCTCAAATGGGACATGTCTGGCTTGTGGTCCGGATTGTCTCTTGTCGAAGGATAGGGGTTTGGAGTAGAAATTCAGAGTATCCAGAACAGTCTACATAGCTTTAGCCTCGTCTCGTTTATTATCTAACCCCCTCCGTTCTCTCTCTCCAGTCTCTACATTACAGTACCTGATCGATTTCTAATCATATTTTGAAGCCCCGGATAAGTCACTATACGCTAATAGGCTCTAAAACCCTTTGCCTATAGGACGTGCTAGCAGACTTAATTAATTGGACAGAAGATCAAGCGCCAGACACATCAAAGCCGAGTAAATGGATCCTCTTAGCTAGTCGATTCTGATAGAAAGACTGGTATACTACTATCCTCTAGCGGCTTGATATCTTAGGAATAATATCACTTGGGCTTTTTTGAAGCTCTATCTAGAGGAAATTCACTATATCATAGTTGCCAAACTCTCTATAGGCTGTGAAAATCACCTTGAAATATTGTAGAAGATGACAAAGAGTAATGTGCACTTTTATGTGACGTGTCGGGTGCCAATGTAGGAGAATCTTGAAATGACTATCCATGAAATAGCTTTTTGGCAAACTATTTGTAGTTTCTGGATAGATGAGCTTCATAGATAGCATAGTAAGAGCGTTTACTAGGGTCCATAATAATTCTACCATGTTTTCACCATTGGTTTCTATATAGGGCTTATCGGGTGTCCCCCCATGTTATGCCAAGCGCACCAGCATCCAGGACATCCACTCAGACGGGGTCCCTCCACATGGGGTTTCCCGGGGTTTCGCAAGTCCGTCGGGGCTCCTGGGGCTTCAAGTTCCTATGCACTTTACTTTCTTCCTCACCTTTGCTTCTGGTCTCCACGTTCCATTTTCCATCCAAATTGTAAGTCATGGCCAACCATGATGTTACGCGTTCCAAACCCTCTGAGCTCGACGCAAATGATACACCGATGTCATCGGCCGTGGGCGACAGCCATCTATTGACAGGCAAGAAGTTGACCATCGCATTTGGAGCAATGCTTCTAGCCCTGTTGTGTACGTCTACCAAATTCAATCTTCGAGCATGTGACTGAAAAGCGTAGTAATCGCGCTGGACCAGACTATTCTATCAACCGCTCTACCACGCATCGCCTCAGACTTCAACGCGGTTAGTGAAGTGATGTGGGAAAAGCTAATATTCGTCGTCTTATGTACAACCCTCGGTAGTTCTCCCAACAAGGCTGGGTCGCCGCCTCGTTCGTCCTCACGCAGACTACCTTCATTCTCTTCTTCTCACAAGTCCTTCGCCTCTACCCAGCCAAATATGTGCTTATAGCATCTGTGGTGATCTTTGAAATCGGCTCTGCTTTGTGTGGTGCGGCCCAGGATATCAACACACTCATCGGTGGACGGGCACTCTCTGGTGTTGGCGCTGCCGGTATCCTCACTGGTATTCTGCAAGTGATGGCTCAGGCTACCCGGTTAGAGGATCGACCCACGCTGTTCAGTCTCTTCGAATCTGTATTCGCCTTGTATGCTGCAGCCTTGGTAAATATGATATATAGACTGCTAATTCTACTTTAGTGCCTCGATCATTGGGTAAGACATGTTTCTCCATTCGCTGTGCAATGAAGCTTATGGCAGCAGACCTCTTCTAGGCGGCGCTCTAACGGACCACGCTAGCTGGCGGTGGTGCTTCTATATCAATTTACCCATCGTACGTCAGCCACAGTTGCTTTTTACTACTTGCTAAATTCTCCCAGGGCGGCGTTTCTATTGTAGCGATTGTGTTGCTCCTCGACGCTCCCCCACCGCTCGGATCCGAGGACTATGATTGTTCCTTCAAGTCCATGTTTTGGCGCACGGCTGCCTTAGACTGGATTGGCACAATCTTCAGTCTGGGTGCCATCACGAGTCTTGTTCTAGGTCTCCAGTGGGGTGGAAACGAGAAGGCATGGGACAGTGTAGACGTCATCGTCGTATGTATTCGGAGTGCAATTTGTGAGAGGCCCGCTGATTGACTCGCACTAGTGTCTCGTCCTTGCGCTCGTGTTAACAGTTGTGTTCATATTCTGGGAGCGCTATATGGGAGATCGGGCTATGGTTCCGTTGGAAATATTCAAGAGCCTCTCCATTTACTCGATCTGCTCCTTCGCGATCTTTAACCGCTTCATCTACCTAATCTTTACCTACGTGCGTTTTGTGCCTATCGCGCTTTTGAGGCAGTCACTTACGTCCTTTCACAGTATATTCGTGCGTGCTGTGTCAGCTTCACTGACCCTAAATCGTCCGCTGACAGTAGTAAACAGCCATCTACTACCAGGCAGGCCGTCATCATTCTGCGACCAAGAGTGGTGTGGACTTGCTTCCGCTTATGCTGTCTGTCGTTATCTCGATTGTGGTGTCTGGACAACTCGTTGGTATGTGTCATATTTCCTGTTAGTACCAGACAACTAATAACATATATTTGATGTCAGGTCGCTACGGCCGCTACTGGCCATACTTGATCGGCGGACCGGTGGTCGGAGCCGTCGGTGCTGGACTAATGTACACTGTGACGGCTTTGCCCTCAAACGCAGCTGTGATCGGCTATCAGATCCTGGTCGGCGTAAGACTTTTCTCGTAGATTTCGCATACCCCCACTAACACAGACCCTATTACAGATCTGTATTGGCACAACTCTACAGAACATCCTGTTTGCCATGCAGGCTGAGTTCGACGACACGCCAAAGCTCATCAGTCAGGCGACGGGTATGGTGAACTTCTGCCAGGTACGCATATCATCCTCATATCTCGCGACCGCTGCTCATACTTGATCCCAATCTTGCAGTTCCTCGGTGGTACCATTGGTCTCGCCATCGCTGAAACCACCTTTTCATCCGAACTCGTGCGCAATCTGCGCAAGTACGCGCCAGGCGCACCTTTCGAGACGATCCTGCAATCGCCGCTGTCGATTTACAGTCCGGCGGTCCCAGACGTACTAGTCCCAAATGTCGTACGCGCCTATGTGTGAGTCCACTCGCGCTCATCGTTGTGAATGATGACCTAACGCATGCCTGTAGCAAATCTCTCTCTGTCGTCTACATTATTGGCGTCCCAGCGAATGTTCTCTCGCTGGTCTTCGCACTCTGCATCTCGAATATCAACATCAAGAAGAAGCCGGAAATGGAGACAGAGGATAACGCGCCGCGTGGTGACAATGCGGTTGGTGGAGAACAGCCAGTGGCCTCCGAGGGGCAGCCGCCTATGGCGGAGAAAACGAACTGACGCCAGTCCGGTTAAGCGACTTTAGCTTCATTCTGTGCAGCATAACCGTTTCAATAAGCACCATCTCCGAAGCAAGCGGATACCTGGATGCTCTTATGGTACATATATATAAAAAGGAGAATTGAAGGAAAGCTTTTACGAGTTTCCATCAGAGATACCCAGGCGCAAAGAACTAGCCAGACTCGCTGAACTTGACCCTTAGAGACTGGAATGGTTTGGGCTGACTCCTTCACTCTAAGTGGTAGATATGTAAATTCTTAAAAGAATCAAGATTGATTTTACATGGCCTTGTTCTGAATTTTCGAGTAAGGGTGTGTTAAATTTTGGACGATATACTCCGCAAGCTGAGGATATATAAACTCTTGTGCTGCTTCCGACTGGTGTATGTATCATTTGATCCTTTTTATAGCGAAGATTAAAACCCACGGTACTATTCACCGTAGGAATATATTTGCTTAGAGCCTCATGAACTAATAATTTCATATAGGGCTACTCAGCTCTGTGCTATTTTTACCCCTTTCCATATTGTCCGAGTACAGCAAGGAGTCTCGTGATCTTACCGCCTTGACGAAACCTGGGGCAATCCTCAAACAACTTTGATGTTTACAAGCTCCGTCTTCTTCCTAGCTATACAACCCACAATGTTATCATGTCTCTCCCGACCGCGTATAGGGCGCGTGACCTCTTCCATCGTACGGACTCGTACTAAACGTCCATTCTCAATGAACAGGTTCTCTTCAAATTCGAAAATCTATATTGCAACTGCTGGCTTGATCAGCACGCCCGGTTTGTGGTGGTTGACCGCTACAACGGATGATGTGCCCCGCCTCGAGAGTTCACCAACGGAGCACTTGACCCCTGAGCCGGGTCCCTCCAAAGAGGATGTGACACATCTATTATCGAAAGAAGCCTACTCCTTTCAAGTCAGGAGCATTGCAGGCGTCAACAGATACGATGGCGCTCAATTGGCGTCAAATAGCCCTTGTGAGGACCGGTTCCTTCATGGCACACTTTCCTCGCCGTGGAATGAAAATGATCAATGGATGTCCTGGGGCGTCTTCGATGGACATTCAGGCTGGCAGACAGCGGACCTGTTGACGAAGCAGCTCTTGCTTTTTGTGCGACGCAGATTGGCCGAAACTAAACCACCTTCAAACAATGAGTCGGTGCCAAATGAGTCGGTCCAGCGCGCTATCATGAAAGGATTCGTGGACTTTGATGACTCTATCATCAAGACTGCAAAAGACATATCTAAGAGCAAAGAACCTTTTCAAGACAAGGTGAAGAAACTGCTTCCTGCGTATGCTGGTTCATGTGCTTTGTTATCTCTATACGATCCTATCACAAGCACGCTACATGTTGCGTGTACTGGTGACTCGAGAGCGGTTCTGGGACAAAGAGGACCAGATGGAAGTTGGGAAGCAATCCCCCTATCAGTAGATCAAACTGGCAGCAATGAAGAAGAGGTCGCCCGCATTTCCAAGGAGCACCCTGGCGAGGAAAATATAGCCAAAAATGGACGGGTGCTTGGGCTCGCGGTCTCACGAGCGTTTGGTGATAGTCTATGGAAGTGGCCTATAGATTTTCAAATGGAAATGAAGCGGAAGTTCAATGGCCCAGCTCCCCTGACGCCACGGTACGATGTTCACACGCCCCCATACTTGACTGCCGAGCCGGTCGTGACAAGCACTAAGATCGACCCCAATAAACCCTCGTTCTTGATTCTCGCAACGGATGGGCTATGGGATCATCTCTCCAACAAGCAGGGTGTCGACTTGGTAGGGAGCTGGTTGGAGCCAGAGCCACAAGGAACCGAGGTAAAAAAGAGCAAACCAGACCTAACAGATCGACAATTTGATTTTGGTAGATTCTGGGAAGATGTGAACTGGAAGTTTGTGGATGAGAGAACAACGGCCCAGGATGATAATGCTGCAGTACATCTAATGCGCAACTCCCTGGGTGGAAATCACCATGAGTTGATAGCAGGTCGACTTGCCTTTGGACCTCCTTTTTCTCGACGGGTACGGGATGATATCACCGTGCAGGTGGTTTTCTTCAATGTCGAGAAGTAGATGTTGGATTCTTCTGTTGCTCTGGGCTTACACATTTATTTTATAAAAGATGTATTCCCGAGCCCTATTGGGTGACGGAGACCAAAGATATATGATTGACTCCCTTACTGATAAACCATACATCTTCCAACTGTTCCCATCGCAATCCCAAAGAATAGTCTCCCGAGAATGTCTGCTTTCCAAGATATCCAGACAATACAGAGCGATGAAGGCCATTTGTATAATCGCTCAGATAGTCCCCTGAAGGAGATTGAGATATAGTCATACAAAAATAGGTCTTTCTGCCCTTGGTCTCACTTCAGGAGGACTGTTTCTCTTTTTTAAATACGCATGCACGTCGTGTTTAGATTGTTTCGGAGAGTAAGTCATGATTGATGCCCTTATTAATCCATGATACCTCTTTCTATCTATATCTAATGTAACACTTCCCATCAAACAAGAGAGAGCTACTGACTAGACCCTGACGTCTAGATATGTGTACGGGGCTGGGTGTTTAACAAAATCGGACTCACAGCGTTATGTCGCGCTCTATTCATCAAGCTGGATGTCTCATGAAAACTGGCTTCAACAAGTTACAGTACTTCCGGTATTGGTGTCACAACCTACCAAAGATACTAGAATAACTGCGGATGAAAGAGCGAGCTAAAAAGCCCTGTGAAGATCAGGGAAGAAAATGGTCTGGTGGCTCTTACGAAGGTTTTATCACTCAGCCCCTATTAGATGAAATTCCACAATACTATGCGTAGGACGTAAAATCTTTAGCTAGTGATGGCAGAAATATAATAGCCGACTGACTCGACAATAGGTACGGAGTGACGGGAGTAGAAACTGAAGTGAAGAACCGCATACGGCTCTCCAATAACGGTAAGGAAGATATATGCCCTGAGCACCTACAAACTAGGCTTAGTCTGATCGAATCAACACTTGGTAGAGCGCCTAGTGTCCGCGGTGAAATATAAGCGAAATGCGAGATTGAGGATGATTATCTATAAGATGCCAATCAAAGAGATCAATTTTTTCCTAGATTCGCGTAGCATAACGTTCTAGTGTCTCACTCAATGTTTGATAGTAGTGATATGTATATAGTACAGGGCTTACACGTTCTATTTCTGACAGGCCAGCGTATCACATAACTAGGGGTTAAAAGGAGTCATCAGTGTTTCCAGGTATAAGGCAATAACAGCTACCACTATAGCCTTACTAGCCTATATATAAGGATAGGCTCCAAAGTCGCACCTTATACTCCGTACTGCGCCTGAATCTGAAATGTAGTCTGTGCATAGGTCAACCCCAACATGTCGGCCAAGACAGCTGTATAAGCGCGTAATATCAAGGCCTCATAGCCCACACTTATCTAGAAACGTGACGGAGATGCACTAGCGTGTATAAGTTAGTATATCACAAATTCAGCAACTTTTATCGAGGTGATCACCTAGAACGAAAGCTCGGCTATCTGCCTCCTATTTCTTGAGCCCCGCTCCACTCCAATGAAGGCATAAGTAATACTAACGATACAAAGAAGCATCAACAAAACACATGTCAGACTATCAAATTCAACGATTATTCGAAAGTGAGTCTTTCTGTTAAAAAATTGAAAAATAACCAGAGCCTAATTTACTGACTAGAAGCAGAATACCACAACTTCAAATCTCAAAAAATAGTAAGAACATTTAGCAATATAGTATAGGGCAATACTAAACATATTAGATGTGCGAGAATATGCGAGGTATATTTGGATTGTGCGGCCATGAGGCAACAGTTTATATTGCGAGATGTCCTCTTGCCATTCAAAACCAAGTGACCTGTCCTCCTCATCAGCGTGAAGACGTCCACGACTGGCAAGAGGACAAGGATAACGAAGAATGCCCTGCATGTAGAGGGGTAACACCACCAGAGACACCCTGAGGATACATAATAGGCAATGTGCTAGGCCTTTACATTATACCTTCTCGGTATTGATATTCTCCCGTATCCTTTCAACAATCTTTTGCTCCTCTTTCCCCCCAAGTGTATGAGATAGCTCTGTCCTTTGCTTTTTCGGCCCATTGATTGCGAAGAATAAAGGTTCTATCCAATCAGAATTTGTTCAAACAAAGAATTGGACTGGACGCCTCACAATTTCCCATTCTGTTGACTTGCAAGGTATACCTGATGGGGAAGTTGCAGAACATCTTCCTTGCTGAGTTGTTGAACGACATCCAAATCAAGAATAAACCATCGTCTAAGAGGCTCATCCGAATCGAAATCTGCGGGAATATGGACGTGGTCGTAGCCCGCTGGGTGAAGTGTAGGATTGAATGCACGATTTAATATAGCTGTACAGAAATCCTCCCCAATTTTGACATAGCGCCTCTGAGGACAACCATCTATATCGGTTACACGAGCATAAATTATTATTCTGGTAGCATTGGTATTCATATTTGCAACGAATGGTGACAAAGCGAGCAATGCAATTGCGCATTGCGGAGTCACTATCGTGCCTCTTTATATGGCTTGGGTAGGCGGTTGAGCGGTCAAAAGCCTCGGTGACGGATTAATGGAAGGCCGATGATTTGGACGGCAGAACCTTGGATATCGACTAGGGACATATATATCACTCGTGAGTCGTGACTCGTAACTGATGCTAGATAATCTATTCTTCCACCGCTCTATCAAGGAACCATGGGAACTTAAGTGATTTGCTGCCGAGAAGCGGGCTTTGTCAGTTCAAACCCGGTGAGAAATGAAACTTGGGATGAGCTGGGAGTAGACCTCCGCAAAGCCCACAAAGCCTATAGCCCAACCCAACCCGCAAATGGGCTGGGTTTTGGGCCCAGGCCCGGGCCCAATAAGCCCATAATAGCAGCCCATCATAGCCCATAACCCATAGTGAGGTTTCAAGGGCTAGGTAGCAGAGGATGGCAACTGCTTCCCTTGTAGGATCTGTCAGTCACCTGCCTTTCTCGGCCAATCTAGAGGTTATGATAAACCCTTTCACCCAAGTTATGGATATTCCCACACGAGGTCGTGGTCGCACTGGGCTTCGGGTGATTGACTATAAAAACCCCGGTGTCCATGGCATGATATGCCCCCCAACATGTTGAAAGCAGCCACACAGTAGGCTCTCTAATTTCAACATCGGCTACGTATGTGCAATTCCCACATGTATTTTCCCGGTCCCTATCGGCCCGTACATGGCAAAATGCCGATTTTCGAGGCCCACTCTCGGCATCCCTTCATCCGATACGCTGGGCTCGTAATCCTACAGTCACGAACAGAGTATATGTTCGAGAGAAAGATAGTGAGGACACATCTCATGCAAAGGAATGACTGTAGGACTTGATAGACACAATTAAGAAGTCGTAAGGAGCGATTCAAAAGAGCACAAGGTCAATCTATATAGTAGGACATGTCGTCATAGCTCAATCCGGTAGAAAACTCCCGCGAGTAGAGCATCCCGTGACCAATCAGAGGACATGCCGTGAATTGATGACTGGAGACTCTGGAGAGAGTCCCATCCCACCTCCCCGCAAAGCAGCTCGCCAGTCACCGGAATTCCTGAACAGGCAAAAAACGTCCTAACCCCAGTCTATTTACCCGGGGGTATTGAAACATATGTCACTTGGGAAAATTCCATACTCTCTTTTAGTTGATCTTCCTTTCCTCTTTTCTCCCCTCAATTCCTTTTCTTCCCTCAAACCCTCTACCCCGCCATGTCACCCCAACAAGAGCTCGTGCCGCAAACAGAGTCCATCGCGGAAGTCTATGCAACAGACGATGCCTCGTTGACTTCCGTTGCACCGGAGCACCAGCAGCGATGGTCTAATCTCATCACTCAGTTCAACAAGACCTATAACCACCGTCCAGACTTCGTGGCGCGCAGTCCCGGCCGCGTGAACATCATCGGCGAGCACATCGACTACTCACTGTACGATGTCCTACCGACCGCTGTCAGCGTCGATGTGATCATGGCTGTCAAGGTAGTCCCCGCCAGCGCGGAGGGCACCACCATCACGATCGCCAATGTCTCACCAGAGAAGTTCCCCACACGTGAGTTCAGCGTGCCCCACGGCAAGGACGTCGAGATCGACCCCAAGAAACACGAGTGGGTGAACTACTTCCGCGCCGGCCTTTCAGGCGCCATCAAGTTCCTGCGCAAGGAAAGGCCCGATGGCTCTTTCGTTCCTGCCAGCATGCAAATCTTGGTCGACGGCAATGTGCCACCCGGTGGTGGTATCTCCAGCAGTGCGGCCTTTGTGTGCGCCAGTGCCCTGGCCGTTATGAAGGCCAACGACCACGAAGTCTCCAAGCAGGATCTGTTAGATCTGGCTGTTGTCTCGGAGCGGGCTGTCGGCGTTTATTCCGGCGGGTGAGTTATCCGTCTCTCAGAAGACAACGAGAAGCCAACAAAAGGCTAACCTCATTGCGTGACAATAGCATGGATCAAGCAGCATCCATCTTCTCCAAGCGCGGCTACTTGCTCTACACCCAATTCTTCCCTAAATTCCAAGCTCATCACGTCCCAATCCCCACATCCTCCGACGAAATCACCTTCCTGATGGCCCAAAGCTTCGTCACCTCCAACAAAGCCGACACCGCTCCGCGCCACTACAACCTGCGCGTAGCAGAATGCACCCTCGCCGCCGTGATCCTCGCTAAGCACCACGGCGTGACACTACCCAAGGACAACAGCTCTCTCGGCTACAGCCTGCGCAACTTCCACAACGAACTAATGACCAAAGAAGGCCGTATCCAAGACCCACTAGAGTACCAAATCGACTCCGTGATCCAAGCGACAATGGATCTGTTCACACAAGAAGAGGGATACACCCGCGAGGAGATGGCACAGCTACTGGGCATCAGCGTAGCCGAGCTCGAATCGACCTTCCTTTCCGCATTCCCCGTACAAGCAGAGCGATTCCTGCTCCGACAGCGCGCGCTACACTGCTTCAAGGAGGCACGCCGTGTGCTCGATTTCAAGGCTTGTCTTAGCAAGGCTACCCAGCTGGACCAGAAGCGCATTCACTATCTTGGTCAGTTGCTTAATGAGTCGCAGGAATCATGTGCTACGGCGTATGATTGCAGTGCGCCGGAAGTCGATGAGATCTGTGCTATTGCGCGTCGCGCGGGTACTTGGGGTAGTCGGTTGACTGGTGCCGGGTGGGGTGGTTGCACTGTTCACATGTTGCCTCAGGGTAAGGTGGAGGCTGTTACCACTGCGCTGAGGGATGAATATTATCTTAAGAAGTTCCCGGATATCAGTAAGGAGAAGTTGGAGCAGGCTATGGTTATTAGCAAGCCGTCCAACGGGTCGTTCTTGTATGTTCTCTTTCCCCTTTTGAACCGCTGGTTTACACTGGATGATGACTAACGTGTTTGGATATAGGGTTACGGGGGCTGCTATTGACCAGATCCCTCTTTGAATATTGCATAGCAAGTTGAAGGAAAACCCACTTCAATGAGGCTATTGATTATAGTGAAATCCAAAATATAAATTTAAATTCATCTTTCATGGGTCATCTAACAAATAGTATACATCGTAGCTGCACAAAGATGCGCTGGATTGGAGAAAGATACCCCGGATCTCTTAAGCATCGGCGTCTTTCGAGGGCCACTGATATGTGCCTTCCAAGAAATCGCGTAGATTCGTTGGGATTGTGGAACGAGGTGAGCCTCTCAAGTCGAGTTCACTTGCACTGGCAGTGCCATTGGTGGCTCCATCTGGGAAGGAGGCTCTGGCCTCTAGACAGATTCGACTATGGAACCTGCTGCTTGGGTTCCTCCTCAGCCAGGTAATAAATTACCCACATAACATATGGCAATGTTAAAGTTCAGTGTCCCAAATTGTTTCAAGTTTTCTTGGGTGCAGCCTTCGCGAAGAAAGAGCTCATTTTCTGCATGCCGCTCGTGTTGACCTTCTTCAGCTTCTTCACTGCTTGGGACTCCGCAGCCTTGGACTTTTTCTCCTCCTCCTCCTTGCGGCGCTTCTTCTCCTCCCGTGTATCCTGTTCCTCGTCATCAAGGGCTCGTTTCCGACTGAAGTTCGACATGTCGCGTGATGCAAGCGCTTGAGCACGAAGGTCCGCGATCATCTTGAGATGGTCTTGCAGCGGCTTAAAATCAATCGGGCTTTCTGCAGAAGCGAGGATTTCATCTAGTCTGGCGGCCATGGCAGGGGGTAGATATGATTCCTTCATGAAGGACAGTGCAGTGGAAATTCGGAGGAGCCGAGTAATATGGTTTGGGACTGTCGACTCTTCGCTCGGTGGCTCTGGCACGGGCGTCGATTCCCCTGCAGGTGTCGTAACAGATGGTGTCGCAGTTGTACCCACAGTCGAGGGTGAATCCTGCCTCTCCTCGGATTTCGAGACCGATTCCTGGTTCTCACTTGATGGCTCCTGGCTAGTCGCAACATCTTCTCGTTTGACTGACATCAAGGGTGTGGCTAGTTCCTGACGAACAAAGCGTTCTTCCAGACTCGCAGGAAGACCACGATCCGCCATGCGTTCTGCCTTTGTGACTAACTCTTGAACCAGCTTCGTCTCATTGAACCGGAACATCTTTTCATCCCCAGCCTCGACCACTTCACTGATAGCTTCCGCTCGTGCTAGGAGGGAGCTCCGGAATTCAACGTCATAAAGTACTTGGCGTAGATGCTTGGGCATATCGTCTTGAGAGTCGATTATGTCGTCAAATGGCTGAAAAAGAGAACGGCCTGATTTCAGAGAAGGCGCTAACAATGGAACCATGAAAAACATCGCATCAATTGGGGTTGCCACTAGGAACTCTGCTTTCTTCGTGATTGAGGCCTGCACAGGGGGCTCGGTCTCCTCTTTCTCTTCTTCCGATGAGTTCGGGCTTTTGCGCGGGTGAGGGGCGAACAGGATACTTCGCGCCAGATGCGCCGGGGGTGCAACAACTGTAAATTCGTATATACCGCGATTCGGGCAGAAGAAATAGCGCGTTAACTTTCCCGACTGGGGATCTGGCAGGGAGAGGAGTCGCGCATTGTCGCTCGTCGAGGACGGAAGGATGAACGTTTTGCTTGGTTTCTCTGCAGCAACGAGTGTTTTAGCCTGAGTCTCATCTTCAGGCTTTGCCTTTGACACTGGGGCTGATCGAGTCTTCATGGTGTATGGGAGAGTGAAGTTTGGGAAACGGAAGGGGCTAAAATGGGCGACGCGCCCAACGCGCCTTCCCGAGCCAGGCCCTGTGCGCGATCCGTCACTTTTCCTGCATTAGCGAAGTTTCAGCCCTTGTTTATTGTATCCCTGTTTCTCGTTTCTATTGTTGATCGCTTTCACACTCCGACTTTCTACTTTCTACATCCCGCATTCTGCACACTGTACATTGCGCACGGGTAAAGGGTGTGGGCCGCAGATGACGCTCCATGGTATATTCTCTGGTTACGCCTGAACACTCTCATTTATCGCCAGTATGGTCTCTCCAATCGCTTGTGCTAATTTCCGACTAACTATTCTCCGCTAAAGTGGTTGAACCTGCGTGGCCGCCCCAATCGCCCCGCGCGGCTCTGTTGAGTTCGCCGGCTGGACGACGAAAGTACCAAGACATGCAACGCACCCGAGAGAATCTGACATCCCCACTGAAGCGCTCAAGTACCACCCCCAATCTCCGATCGAAGGCTAGTCAAATTGTGGATGAAGATGACGGGGAAGAGGAGGACGAAGAAACCCTACAGCTTCAGCTAGCCGAGATCAAAGCGCGCCTGAAATTGAAGAAACTACAGCAAAAGAATCGCGGAAGGTCTAGTTCGAACCTCGACGACGAAGATGTGCGACCAAATTCCGCAATCAGCGCTCTACGGACAGAAGACCGTGGAGCAACACCAAGAATCCCCAATGGAGCGAGGCAAAGAACGAGCAGTGATGGAATCCAGGTTCCGGCATCACCTACCAGGCGAGAAGTTGCCATCCCCGACCCAATTTCGCCTCGGAGATATGTCATGGGCATAGATAAGGGCTGGAAAGCCAGTGATGTATCCTTGAGACGACCGCCAAGCTCAAAGCCAGGCCCTCGACCAAGTAGTCATATGGGATTTCGAGACGGTGCTACACCGCGCTCGAATGACATATTCGGCTCCCGGCCCCAGACTTCTCCTTCATCGGTGGGAGGGATCAATCGAATAAAAAGTTTCAGCGAGAGAATGGCGGAAGGCAGGGCGGCAGAGAAGTCTCGGCTGGAGAGAGCAGAAAGGGTCCAAGCTAACCGCAGTTCGGCTTTTCAAGTCGATAAGTCGGAGTTGGAGGCCTTCAAGGCTGCAGCTTTTGATACAAATCATTCCCCCCCACCGCCATCGCGAGAGCGGTCCGTCGAAAGCTTCAGCCGTGAGGATATTCTTCGATCTATGGGACAATCCCGCCCATCCGGTCTACAGCGCAGTAATACAACCCCCAACGTCCGGCGAGTTGAGGGCAGTGCTCAGAACGAGAGACCATCTCATCTACATAGACGAACGCATACGGCAGAGGGAGAACCAAGTTCCTCCCAAAAACTAGGGCAAACAGATGATTTGGTGAAGCCACCGGATTCATCAAAATTCGAATCCTACTCGTCACTGCATCTATCAAGCCGGGTTCTTCCGCATTCTTTCTTGAGCCGCACACTCGCAGACAAGAAAGTTCTGCGCATTCCTGATCTACTCAAAACCGTCAGGGCACCCGCATTCGAGCTCCCAGAGGATATTGAAGGGGACTTTGTGGTATTTGGCATCGTTGCGTCCAAGTCCGACCCCAGAGACAAGAAAGCTACCGGGAACGCGTCGGTTAAAGAACAGGATCCTTATGATGATGGGCTTAATAACACGAACAGATACATGGCCATTACCCTAACGGATCTGAAATGGACCATTGATCTCTTCCTTTTTGACACTGCTTTCCCCCGCTATTATAAAATCTCGGAAGGAACTCTCGTCGCAATTTTGAACCCCACAATCATGCCTCCCCCAAAACACAAGCTGGACACAAACAGATTCAGCCTGTCTCTGTCCTCATCAGATGACAAGGTCCTCGAAGTTGGCAAGGCACGGGATATTGGGTTCTGTAAGGCTGTGAGAAAAGACGGGAAGACCTGCCAATCCTGGATAGATGGTCGAAAGACAGAGTTTTGTGACTTCCACGTTGATATCCAGATCCGACGCACTCAGGGCCAACGCTCGGGAGTCAATGCTGACACCGGTATGTTTGGTCCTGGTGGTAAATCCGGCTCGCGCACAGGGCTGTTTGGGGCAGGAGCGAAGCGAGGAGGTGCTCAGAAGCAAGGCACGAAATACGATGGTCCGCAGTATGACATGGGATCCCAATCGCTCTACTATGTTGCGCCCTCCAGGAACCGCGGCGGTGGCCATTCGTCCTACAACCCCATGGGAGGCTCAGCGGCAAGCTTGATTGACGCACATGACGATCCATTCATCGCCTCAGGTATGATGGGTCGTGGTATGGACAGCAAGGAGGAACGAATGCGCAGGCGTCTTGCGACCCAACAACGAGAGCGTGACATCACCCAAAAACTTGTTTCTGGTCGTGTTGGTGGTGTGGGCGCCGAGTACCTTCGCACAAGAACCAGCAACGAGAGTCCAAACAAAGAAAAAGCACCAGGAACGCCCTTGCCCAAGAGCCCCACCGCAACTAACGGCATGGATATGGCCACCTTTGGCAAAGCAAAGAACGTCCGTTTAAGCCCAATGAAGCGTGCCCATGGCAAGCCCCACGGCAGCGGGGTCAAGAAGACGCGGTTCATCACTTCAAGGGGTATCAGGGAGGCTGGTCGGGAGAGCCTGGGTGCGCCAGCTGAGACCACACCCAGTCGGAGACAGGTACTCTTGGATGATGACGACGATGATGAGCTGGAGTTCATTTGACCAATCCTGTCACCACTTCAATCCTCGAGTCCCCTTTGATACCCATAACGATAATGAATACAAAGCATATCCCCGGTTGCATTGGGCGGATTTCCTTTTTGTTGAACTTGTCGAGTAAGAGTTACATACAATCCTTGTTATGAATCAATGTGACCATTAATGTACTTGTACCTACATCATAGGGCATATGAGCCTTTTCTTTTCTTAGTCTACGTCTAGGTACTAATGGCGGATTTGTATCGTGGCCTAGCCCGGCTACTGCCGAAAGCTTGTTTTGACTACGCCGTGCTAGTTCCAATGCCTACACAGAGAAACGAGATTCTATGCCGACTTAAAACCAACTAGACAGAAGACTTTCCTAAATATGAATTTCCATTGAGCTATTCCGCTTTACCATGATTCCTCCCGTGAGGACCGATGAATCGCTTCCCGCGATGAAAAAAAGAAAAGAACACGCCGATACCAAAAAGAAAGAAACAAGAGCGTAGAGAAAAAGACAAGAGAAAACGCCGCTATTCCAGCTGAGTATGTTTCCTGAGGTATCCTGAGTATTCGCAATTTCCAAACCCACGCATGCCATTGGAAGAAGAAATGCAATAAAAAAAGAAAGAAAACGAGGAACTCCAGCGACCTGCGCAATTACAAGACGGTCGTCTTGGGGAAAAAGAAAGACATTAGGGAAAAAGAGAAACAAAGCATAGAAAGGGATGCGATGCGCACATGGGTGCAGGAAACAAAAGATTGGGACACACCCAGTGGCAAGGCCGGAGAAAAGTAGAAATAGAAAAAAGGTCGAAAAAAAGGTCAAGAGTTGGAAGTCGCTAGAATGATGCAAAGTTAGGAGTGGATGAAATATGGAGTCTGAGTGAGAACTAGGAATCGGATGTGGATGGCTCAGCAGTCGAACCCTCTCCAGAGGCTTCCGCGCGCAGGGCTTGTCGAGTGCGTGGGGTAGGGCTACCGCGGGCCTCACGAAGGCGCTTTACACGGTCGGTGCGGGCGTCATTGTCCCGGGTCTTCCTACTGACAGGAGGCCAGTACTTCAAGAGGCTGCTGCCACTGCTGGTAGAAAGACCTCGAGACCGACTCTGATCATCTGCGGAATTGCCGAAACCAAGGTCCTCGGAGAAAGAGGCGGGTTGGAATGGTGACACATCGCCCACGGGAGATCGAGTGAAGCGGAGACCAGCACGTCCAACAGGGGCACGGGGAGCGATAGATGAGTCCTCAGACTCAAAGGAGGGAGCTGGATCAAACAAGATGGAAGGAGTCTGAGCATGATCTGCGTGAGCCGCAGTTGGAGACATTGGCTCGTGATCCCCGTGATCTTCGTGATCTTCGACATCAGTGACATCCTCCTCATCGCCAGTGGTAGGCTGAACGGCGGTGGGGAATAATAGACGAGGTTTGATGTCACCACGTCTCAAAGGCTTCACGCTCTTGAGAATATCAGGGTTTTCAGCCAGCAGGTCGGGGCGATTGGCGAAAAGACCAAGGTCATCTTCATCCTCGCCCTCATCTTCCATATCATCAAAGCGCTTGAATATTTTCTTCCCACGGCTAATATACAAGTTAGATTACTAGTACGATAGGTGACTGAGATTTGACTTACTGGACAAAATAAGCTCCATCAGTCACGCTGGTGGTCGAGCGAGTGGCAGGTCGTCCAACAGCTCTTGCAGGCTTGGAAATGAATGAATCAGTCGAAAGTGGACCAACCACAGGGATGCGATCACGCGAGTCCTCATGAATAGAGATACCCAATTTCTGCTCCGCAGCTTGAATAGTGTGCCCTATTAGAGGCTCATCGACGAAGATTGCGGGGGCGTCTGCGGTAGAATGTTTGGGGGTATCCATTTTTCTGCGCTTGGGGGTGGAAGTGGAAGGAAACAGAGAACGTGACGTAGAAGAATCAGAACTAGTTATTTTCTTCTTTGAAGGAGTTTTAGCTGGGGTAGGCAACGCCTGTTCTGCTGAGGATTGGGAGGTGTGATGTGAAGAAGTGCGGGGACGGGAGTGTTCCAAATCAAATGGGGAAATTCGGGAGGCAGCAGTTCTGTGAGAGCGTGCAGGCTTTTTGGGCGAGGGTTTGGCGGTGCCAGGCGAAGAGGGCGAAAAGTTTCTTTTAGATGTTCCAGCTTTGGCAGATGTGTTTGAAAGACTTGGAGGCGGCGTGGTTTGGGAACTCCTTGACGCTCGTTGACCTGCAAGTCTAGCAGAGTAACGTGTAGGGTAAGGTTCGTAGTTGTCGTGCTTTGCTCCATGTCGCGGCGCTCTGGGTACACGAAGCTCAGTTGGTGATGGCGGCGGTGGTGTTGACGCCATATTGATTTGAATGCCGATTGAAAAATTGCCCGATGGTTTGCGAGATTTTGAATAAGAGAGTAAATAATATACTAGTCACAGTTTATTCCTGGGGTTTCCTGGATTTCGCAATCTTGATCAAGTATCGAGGAGGAACGTTGGCAAGGGCGAAACACGTCCGACTCAAGAGACGTTCAACCAAAATGAGTGAAGCACTCGGAAATATAAAAAGTCCAGAAAAAAATATATTAAACGTAAGTATGCAGGTATTCAATTGTCCGAGGCGAGAGCAAAAAGCGATCAGTTGGGGATGAAGGAAGGGCGAGGGTTGTTGTGAAAGGCGATAATCGCCCAGCCACCGGGTATCCTCACCGCCCGATAATTGCGGTGGCTGAAAACCCCGCGTCAATGTTGATTTCCTTCTACTCCAATTGCCTTGTATCGTCGATCTGGTTGGCTGTCAATTGACCTTCGAGCACTTTATACAATTCATTTCAGACTAAGCCCATTTGGGTGTTCAGTATACCAAGATTGCTTGTACATACTTTGACCTCTACTCTGCGCAAATTCAACGCTATGGCATTCCGCACCACAGCAGAAGAAATGGAGAGGCTTCAGCTATCCGATGATGACACAGAGGAAATTTGGAACTCCCCATCCAGAAGAGCGACACACAAAAAGATCAATCCAAGAACCACCGACGAGAGAGTTGTATCCGAACCTCGAGCTTCTCATGATAGCGAGGATCCTCTCGTAGATCACCAGGCGGCCCGAGAGGCTGCGCTCCGGACAGAATTACAAGGTGTGCGGAATATTAACGAAGTCATAGAAGGACTTCTGGGAAGTTTGGACTCTGCCAAAGGAAACATGGAGGTAAAATGGTCCTTCCCATGATGCATGATCAATACTTTTGCTAATCATCTGTGTATAGACGGTATCCCAGACTGTTACATCGGCCTCGACACTCCTTAACACGTGGACTCGGATTCTCTCCCAAACCGAACATAATCAACGATTGATCCTCAACCCCAACTGGCAAGGTGCTACTCAGGATGTGATCGATATCGAAAACCAAGCAATTCAGAGACAGCAAGCCGCACAAAGACGCGAGCAGGCACTTCAGCAGCAAAGAGAGGCTGCGGCGCGAAAAGCTGAGGAAATTGAAAAGCGGCGCGCGCAGGTCACTCGAGGTACTCGAGGAACCACCCGCGGAATTACACGGGGTACGGTTCGAAGCACTGGCTTAGGGAGAACGCCCAGTGTCAGCACAACCCGCACGGCGACACGGGGGTCTACGACAACAACCCAACGGCCAGCCAGCGGGATAGCCCGAGGGAGTGGAATTTCTCGCGGCCGGGGAAGGATTTAGATGGACTGGGATAGTTTATGTACAATAAAATTTTTGACTGAAGAACCAGAATGACATGATACCCTTACTTTGATCTATTCAAATGTTGTCGCCTGAGGCACCAACATGGGCAGTTACACGCGTCGCAATCTGATAAGGATAAGGAGTTACCCCAACTTATTCCCCTGTCTCCGAAGATCATTCCGTCATTCTTCACCTTTGCCGGTACAACATAATGAACTTCGCACCGTATCAAGATCAATCACCGGAGATTGAGCGCGCCCTATCCCCTCCCCACCCAGATGGCCACAGGGTTTCCCCAATCCTCCGCTCACCGCGAGCCTCGGCCGATCTACCCTCCCCCAGTTACTTTGCTGGGGGACATGGCAACACGAGATCTGGGCGAGATATTGAGAGTGGCCATGTAAGCCTAGGGGCTTTTGAAACGAGTCTTCCCATTCGTATGGATATCGAAGCAGCGCTGGCGTATCTGCTTCTACCTCCCGCAGGGGGTGTATTCCTCCTGCTAACTGAACACAAGAGCGACTATGTGCGGTATGTGATGGGCTTTATATGAATCCACAATTAATCAAAAGCACAGTCTTTTAACTATTTTCAATAGGTTTCATGCTTGGCAATCGAGTATGTTATTTGCTACTATGTTTGTGAGTATTCCATCTTTCCTGATATCGCATGCGCTTACATGCCAAATATAGTTCGTTCATCTACTGCTCTGCTGGTCGAGCTTTCTCTCCTGGACATTATTTATTATCGATATTGCTTTAATCGGCTTCCTCAGCATGCATGCTTACCAAGATGGTGAGTCTTCCGAGGTTTTTTTTATGGGACCTCCCAATACAGCCGAGCCATTCAGTGGCAGAAAAGATATCTAACACTAACTGCACTATCTATAGTTGATACGTTGGACCACTTCGAAGTCCCATTCTTCGGCCATCTGGCCAACTCCTTTGTTGATGATGAATGAATATGAACCTTGTCTTTGAGAATCACACGTACTTGAATTATTACCGCGAAGCATGTCTTTTCTTATACCCCTGTCTATCAATAATTGCTGGCTTCTTTTTTGTTTGCTGGGCAGGCTCGGCGTGGATTTTGGAATAATTGTATTTGTGATTAGTTTTTTAGAGTTGTAACTCGTATGGTTCCAAGGCCGTCTCCTTTCATCCAGATGAGGCCGGTATTTTTGAAACCCTAATGGCAGCTAGCAAATTACATCTACCAAATACAGCAATAATGCTAGTTATCGGCAATTATCTCAGAGCAATCTATCATCAAAGAGATTGTACTTGTCCCGATCCAGACAGCCATAGAGCCAAGTTGATTTCACTGAAATTTGTGACCAGAACCATCGTCTATTCCTTTTGATCAGGAGGTAGGTATGTCAGAGATGTCCTCCATCTAAAATCCACCTATATTCAAACAAGCTGCTTGGGTTTGGGTATCTTCCATTTAAGGCTCGTAATTGTTATCATTGCTAGCCCCAGAAGCCAGAAGGGAGCTTGTATCAAAGCTTCTAGAAAAAAATATGATTCTATTCGCCATTCCAAGGTGCCAGATCCCCATTCTCATGCAGTCAGTAGATGCGGGTTGAGATATATGTGAAACCATGATTGAGGTCGGGGGCCATTTCCCATACAGATTCTTTTGGGTGTCTTGATTCTTGCAAGGTTTCCAAAGAAAAAGCCGACATCACCGGTAATGACAACAAGAAAGTCTAGCCTTTCGGTCTTGCTCTCCATTACGACAGAACCCTGCCAGACTTTTGATCATGAAATACAGATTGACGGCAGGAAATAGACCAATGATCTCAAAATGGTTTTTAGGGTTATTTTGCCACCAGACTCAAACGGATTAATAGAAGACTCACCCCTGCTACAAGTGCTGTATCTGTATAGAAGTGGTTAGAATATCCCTACACAGCTCGCAGTACACATATATAGCCTGTTATAAAAGGGTGGTCGCACAACTAGTAAATGGTTGTGCCAATAGTATCCCATACATGTGGGGGTCGACTAGGCTAGATTGGCCCGGGGGCTAAAAGATACGATACAGACAAGCCTCAGCTTTGTAGCTAGCACAGTGAGGATCAACGTGTGGGGAGAAATGTAGGGTTAATATTTGATAAGGTTTCCAATCCGATCTATGTAAGCCCTATATAATCTAGCTCCAGTTTCCTCTTTTGGTCTCCGTACGTAAATCAATTATCCTTTCCTCGTTCCATTTTTCCAAACCCTTCTATCTTATATACATATTTGTATTATGCTCCGTTGGCTTCGGATGTTCCCTAGAGGTACACGAGAATACTTTCTATCCCCAGAATAGGACTTGGCTATACAGTATATAATGAGATTGAAGAGATCCAGGAGAAAGACCAGGGGGATAGCCGAGCAAAAGACCAAGAATGGGGTATTCGCACATTACGAAGTAAGGAATCAATGATATTGCATCAAAGGCACAACAGACATAATATCCCGAGATCCTTACTAGACCTTGTGTACAGAAGCTTGGACCTACATGTCCAGGCCGATCTAGACCCACTTGAGTAAAAATGTCGGAGATCTAAAAACAGGACTACGGTGAGTTGTGTACGGAGTAGACAAATGTTTGATTTGGCGTGATTTTCAAGTGCCTGGTAGCTGACGGTAGCTGACGGACGTGATTGTTCTATTGATTTAGGAGGTGACAGTACTTGGTACACAGTAGGTGGATATTGTTGCCGAGGTCACACGGGAACGAAAACCTCCAAGTCATGTGACCAGCAGCCGCCGAGGTCGGAGGGCGCAGAGGAGCGCCGAGCCAATGAGAAGTCCCGAATTTCTTGACTCAGAGCGGTCGGACCATTTGGGTTTAAGGCGTTTTCTCGGAATCCCCAGAGAAGAGTCACGGCAATCTTCAGCGGTCAATTGGTACTCTTTTTTTTTTCTTTTTTAAACCACTCTCCCCTCAGTCTTTCTGGCTTGGTCTCATACACAATGATGCCTTTAAGACCCTCAAAAAGTGCCCTGCGCACATTCCACATCCAGAGGCAGCTTGCCGGACGTCGACCTTTTTCGACCTCATTTGTGGCTTCGGCCGCTTCGCCCCACCGCTCCTCTGTCCAGAAGCGTACTCAGAGCACAGCTACAGCATCAAATCCGTTAGTCTTGTTCTCCCAGTGATAACAATGTAATTGCAGTCTGATTCTAATTTGTTCAATCGTCAGGGAGTCCAGACCCGTGCCCAGCCCGGCATTCAACCAGGAGCCCCATCGCAATGAGATCTCTCCCCTGCAACACCGCCAGCTCCCCGAGCTCGATGACTCGTATGTAACCCTGATGGCGGCTCGGACACACAGAGACTGACTAGCTGGTACAAAGAATGGTTGGAATGAGTGGTGGCGAGATCTTCCACGAGATGATGCTTCGCCAGGGTGTGAAGCACGTCTGTGAGTATTTCATGCTTGATTTTGCACAATTGGCCGATTCTAATATGTGACATGTAGTCGGTTACCCCGGCGGTGCCATTCTCCCCGTTTTCGATGCTATCTACAACTCCAAGCACTTCGAATTCCTCCTCCCCAAGCATGAACAGGGTGCCGGTCACATGGCGGAGGGTTATGCCCGTGCCTCTGGCAAGCCCGGTGTCGTTCTCGTTACTTCTGGCCCTGGTGCCACCAATGTTATCACTCCCATGCAGGATGCTATGTCTGATGGTACCCCGATGGTTGTTTTCTGTGGTCAGGTTCCTACCAGCGCAATTGGAACAGATTCCTTCCAGGAAGCCGATGTGATTGGTATTTCACGTGCCTGCACAAAGTGGAACGTCATGGTTAAGTCCGTCGGTGAGCTGCCTCGCCGCATCCAGGAAGCTTTCGAGATCGCCACAAGCGGTCGTCCGGGCCCCGTCCTGGTTGACCTGCCCAAGGATGTCACTGCTGGCATTCTCCGCAACCCTATTCCCATGCACAGCACCATTCCTTCGCTTCCTAGCGCAGCTACCGTTGTAGCTCGCGAAATGAGCCAGAAGAAGCTTGAGAGCACCATCAACCGTGTTGCTAATCTCGTCAACATTGCCAAGAAGCCTATCCTCTACGTCGGACAGGGCCTCCTTGCTCGCCCCGATGGCCCCGAGATCCTCAAGGAATTTGCCGATAAGGCATGCATCCCGGTCACCACCACCCTGCAGGGTCTTGGTGGATTTGACGAGTTAGATCCTAAGGCTCTCCACATGCTGGGTATGCACGGATCTGCTTATGCCAACATGGCTATGCAGGAGGCCGATCTGATCATTGCAGTCGGTGCCCGTTTCGATGACCGTGTCACTCTCAGCATCCCCAAATTTGCGCCCCAGGCCAAGCTTGCCGCTACTGAAGGCCGCGGTGGTATCGTGCACTTCGAGATCATGCCCAAGAACATCAACAAGGTTGTCCAGGCCAACGAAGCTGTCGAGGGCGACTGTGCCGACAATCTCCGTCTTCTTTTGCCCCATGTCAAGGCTGTTCCTGAGCGTCCTGAGTGGTTCGAGCAGATCAACGACTGGAAGCAGCGCTTCCCCCTGTCTCTCTACGACCGCCAGACTGCGGACGGTCCCATTAAGCCCCAAGCTGTTATCGAGAAGCTTAGCGATCTCTGCGCCAACCGGAAGGAAAAGACCATCATCACCACTGGTGTCGGACAGCACCAGATGTGGACCGCCCAGCACTTCCGCTGGCGTCACCCTCGTACCATGATCACTTCCGGTGGTCTCGGTACTATGGGCTTCGGTCTTCCCGCCGCTCTTGGAGCCAAAGTGGCCCGTCCGGACTGTCTCGTCATCGACATCGATGGTGACGCTTCTTTCAACATGACTCTTACTGAGCTTTCCACCGCTGCTCAGTTCAACATTGGTGTCAAGGTCCTCCTAATTAACAACGAGGAACAGGGTATGGTCACTCAATGGTAAGCTGTCGTCTATCCGATTTTTCCAGTATATTTGACTTACCTTTTTCGTTCCAGGCAAAACCTGTTCTACGAGGATCGTTACGCCCACACTCACCAGCAGAACCCCGACTTCGTTCCCCTTGCCAAGGCTATGCGCGTCGCCGCCGACCGCTGCTTCAAGCCCTCCGAACTCGAGGAGAAGCTGCAGTGGCTGATCGACCAAGAGGGCCCTGCCCTCCTGGAGGTCATCACTGACCGCAAGGTGCCCGTTCTTCCCATGGTGCCTTCTGGCCGTGGTCTGCACGAGTTCTTGGTCTACGATGAAGGTATGCAACCCCCTAGCCAGTCCTTTTACTCGACACACCACTAACTGATTCATTACAGCCAAGGATTTGGAGCGCAAGGAGCTGATGCGCGAGCGTAATGTGGACTTCCATGTCCGAACAGAGTAGGTGACCAGCCAGTGTCACCTCGACAATCATATTTCTGTACTTTGATATCCATGGCGTTTCTTGACTGGTTCACCAAAAGCGATTGGGGCAATATTTGTCCAAAAAGATAAACAACAAATTCGTTAACCAGTTTGCTCTTGGAGGGGTCTGGCAGAGAAGTTTGGTGCTCACAGGCTCTACACACCTGTCTGCGGTTGCCTTTTGCCATATTCCTTGAAACAAGCATGCCGAACTGCATCGCAACCCATGCTTCACCATGGCCTTTTCCTTGCCAGGTTGTTTCTCTTGTATATAATCATTGACGTCTCAGATTCCTTGATGGGACTTGGGGAATTGATACGTTCGGGTTCCATTAAATAGGAGCAGTTAGTCATCGACAATATTATGTCTCTTGTTTTACTATGCGGTCATAAGCATCTCCTCATACGATCATCATCCCAGATGGCTTTTATATATAATAGCTCAGAGTGTTCGTAGCACCTGTCCCAGACCTCGGAATCGAGGCTGACTGTTTCGTAATCCAAATATGGTTCACCTAACTAGTCAGGTAAAAAGCAGAGGGTTATCCACTTGAATAGAAAGTAAAGTGAACTGCATACCTTCTCCCTGTTCCT